GTCATCGAAGTTGGAAAATTCTTGTACTGTTGTTGCTGGGAATATTGGTCCCAGAAGGGGGGTTTGAAGGCCATGGATATGTGCATGTTTGATTTCAGGGTGTATTGGGTTCTGACTCTTATTGGATGAGACATGGAGTAGGACTTCAATGCACCCTTTTGCGCTTGAATTTGTGCTGCAACTGATATTATCATGTTATCACGGCGTCTGGTGGTGGGGAAATAATAGGATATAGGGAAAACAATCACTCATCGCCTACTCTGTCTTATTATCATATGTTTCGTGACTATGCGTGATTCTCTGCTTGACATATTCCTGTCCTAATAAGTTGTTCTATCGACCAAATTGTAACTATCCCCTTAACAAAATAGATCCCGATTGTTTACCTACTTATTGTTTACTGTCCTTCACCGCTATTTCGATACCACTCGGGCCGGGACTTCCGCTCCGTACGGAAGGTTACTTTGCATCCGAGCCTCTTATTAGCTTGATATATCTACAGATGTTGAACCGCAGAAGTTGAAAGATTTCCACGTGGTTCAAGGATGTTATCGGTGATAGATGGGAATTGGTACATTAGTATCGTTGAACGCTTGAGATATGAATTCTAGAGAGAGCGATAGTGCAGATTGGGGAATACTCTGTTGATTGGATGTGATGAGATGTGCTTCAAGAATCAGGTTGGGGAACGAATCTAGAATGGAAGTTGAAGTGAGGATAGGTAGATAGTTGTTTGAACTGTTGACATGAATCTTGATTGGCTGTTGGAGCTCATTGGCAGTTGAGGTTTCTTATCCAATGTCATGCCTTGATGTGAGGATTATGTAAGCTTGAGCTCACCCTACGATAGCTCCATTGAAATTCAATCAGAAGTCAAATAATTGATCGACGTCTTTCCATCGCATCCAACACATCTCACAAGGCCTCATTAATTTGTCGGACTTGCTCCTTTGCGCAACTCAACATGTCGTCACTCTACAATCTCGAACCTCAACCTACTGCATCATGCATTTTACACACCACCTCTGGCGATATCTCTCTCGAGCTCTGGGCGCAACAAATTCCTCTCGCGTCTCGTAATTTCCTGCAACATTGCCTCGACGGCTATTACGATAATACGGTATTTCATCGCCTTGTGCCGGGCTTTATTCTACAAGGTGGTGATCCTACCGGTACTGGATCTGGTGGAGAATCGATTTACGATGGCGGCGAATTTTCTGAAGAGAATGGCATATGGCCGATGGAGGAGCGGAAAGGTCAAAATGCGGGACCGAGAGGAGTGGGCTTCAAGGACGAGTTTCACAGCAGGATAAAATATAATAGGAGAGGATTGTTGGGGATGGCTAATGAAGGGAAAGATACGAATGGGAGTCAGTTCTTTTTGACTTTAGGGGATACGCCTGAGTTGATGGGGAAGAATACGTTGTTTGGTAGGGTGGAGGGAGAGACGATATATAATTTGGCGAGGATGGGGGAGGCGGAGTGTGGAGAGGGAGAGCGACCATTGTATCCCACGAAGATTACGGGGGTGGAGGTGTTGGTTAACCCGTTTAAGGATATGGTTAGAAGGGAGAGGGTCGCGAAAATTGCGGTTCCCGAGAAGAAGGCTCCAGAAAAGAAAAAGAAGAGGAAGGCTGGGAAACAGTTGTTAAGTTTTGGGGATGAGGGGGAGGAAGGTGTCGAACAACCAGTTGTTAAGAAAAAGGCGAAATTCGATACGAGGATTGTAATGGACGATGGAACTGCAGATAATGCGCCGGAACCAGAACCCAAGGCTAAATCCATACCAAAAAAGAAAGCGCCCAAAGCACGATCATCTGAATCTCCTCAATCATCACCAGAACCCGAAGCAAGAGCGCCCTCCAAACCGTTGCCCAATAGAGCCGCAAAACTCGAACGAGATATTTCTTCCTCTCCAGAGCCTCAAGTTCAAAAGGTTACCTCTTTGCTAGATCGCACAAATGCGCAAATAGCGGAACTAAAAGCGTCTATGAAGCGGAATGTTCAAACAGCTCCCGAGCCGGAGAAGAAGAAATCGGCTTTGGAAGCCATGATTCCTGCAACATCCGTTCGTGGACGAAAGCGCAACGCAAATGGAAAGTCAAATGCTAGTAACGATCAAGCCGCACTAGATATTTTGCGAGCATTTCGAGAGAAACTGGAAACTGCACCACCTGAAAAGGAAGTGGCTAAGCCTGCCTCACATAACGAAGCTGAATCCAAACAGGAGGAAAATGGAACCGTTGATGATGAAGAAGCTGCATTGTGTGATTTACACTTTATTGCAAATTGTCAGTCTTGTAAATCATGGGAAGCGCAAGGGGAAGAAGAAGAGGAAGAAGATTTTAATGACAAAGGGTGGATGTCTCACGCGTTGAGTTTCAAGGAGGACAAATTAGGCAAGGATCTCAGTTATAGGAAGAAAGCCGAAGAAGAATTGGTGGTTATTGATCCTAGAGAGAAAGCTAAATCGCTGAGGGAGGAAATGAAGGCGAAAAGAGAAGCGAAAGCTGGAGGTTCGACGGGTAGAGAATGGGATATCAAGCGGAACGAGAAATTAGCGAGAGGGTCGGCTTTGGCTGGGAGAGGAGCTAAGTAGGAAATTTGTATGGTAATGGTGATGAGGAAGTGTGATGAATGGTTCACATGACGGAATGGTCTCAAATGACATAAGGAAGGTAGATCTTTCTGGTCATGATTCAAGAAGCTAAATTGACGCTTCAGTGGTTTCTTCCAAAGTGATGCAGATGATGCGACAGTGAACAATAAAGATGATGAAATAGGCGATTTATGGAAAGGAGATGAATTAGAAAGGTAAAGAAAGGAAAGGATGGAAGGGATCTGGATCTCTTGGCAGTCCGTAGGACTACCGCTGGGGTGGCAGTCTAGGGGATAAGAATAGATAGCATTGAAGTAGGAAGTTCTCCAAGCAAATTATTTGGCACCACATTTCAGCTTTCAAAGAAAGGTTTCGAGCGTAGCGAGCTCAGGGGGTTTGGGGGCTTGCCCCCATTTACAGGGGTTTAGATGGGAATGTAACTTGTAAGTGATTTTGAAGATGGAAGATATGTTTTCTGTTCTGGATCACCGGTGGATGGATAACTTTCTTTGGATGGGTTGGAACTTGGAAGTGGATAATGTGGCTAGGTATGTGTGTATGATAGGATAGGATATGTATGATAGGTAGGTATCAATAGTATGTATGGTATTGAGAATTGAGAATTGAGAATTGAGAATTGGCTAGGTGAAAGTCTGGTTTTGAGATATTGTGGTTTTGGATTGGATTGGAGTGGATTTGGAGTGGATTTGGATTTGGATTGGATTGGGAACTCCGGACTCTCCTTGTGTGTTATGGATGTGTTGGGGAAGGGGGGGAGGTGGGAGAGATGGAAATTTTTGGTGGGTAGATGGTGGATGGATAGATAGGTAGGTAGGTATTTTTATTATTGCTATTAATGTATTCTATTTCTTACTCTCTCTGTAATATAATGTGAAGCTCTCTCTGTAATATAATGTGAAGGAAATAAATATATTCTTGTAAGATAGGTAGATAGTTGGATGATAGAATGGATGATCGAATGATTGAATATCACCTAGATACGGAGTAGGTAGATAGATAGATAAGGTTAGATATGATATCCATCAAGCTATCAGCTACCGGCTACCGGCTACCTCGCGACCGACGGAACATTCCGAATATCAAATTATTATAAATAAACCTGCAAGATTAGACGAAAATGAAAATGAAAATGAATGTTTGGTGGTGGATACCTGGGTAGGTACTAGGTAGGTAGGTAGATAGGTAGATAGGTAGGTATCTCTTTTTCGAATTGGTGTTTGGAGTTTGAAGTGGGATTTGAGATTTGAGATTGAGGGTTTGGGTTTAGGTTTGGGTTTGGGTTCTTTGGGATTTTTATGATGGGAGGTTTGGTTTTGATTTAGGATAGGATAGGAGATGGATGGATGGATGGAGGTGTAGAGTTTTGGTTGATTGTGAGATGGGTAGGTAATTTACTCTGTAGATACTAGGTAGATATCTGCTAGTGTTAGGCTTATAAGTTATTTTATTTATTTATTATACGTACTCAGTACGTACCAGGTAGGTAGGTATCTCCTTATTCTACTCTACCAGTTCCTCTTCCCTGCCAGACCCACTGAGCTAGTAATAAATATTATCTAATTAAAAAAATGAAGAATGAAAATTTTGAAAAGTCGATGATTTTCCGTGATGATTTTTAGTGATGCACTAGCGATTTATCGATCAGAGGATTGAGAGCGGAGCTTTGGCTGATAAGATTAAGGTTGGTGAGAGACCGGGAGTGGAGAGAGGAATGGTCGGTCAGCCTTGTTATTAGTCAGCATTGTCATCATCGATGAAAGCTGGGGTGGGTGAAATTTCTGAAGAGTGAAGGAGAGTGAAGACTGAAGACGGAAGGAAGTTGTAGATACCTAGGTATGTACGTATACTCCGGAGATGCGGATTCGTAGGGGAATGGGTGGATGTATATGTATGGGAAGTTTTATATATTGTAATATCATGGACTGTTTATGAGTATATAAAGAGAGAGAGAGAGAGAGAGAGAGAGAGAGAGGTATGAAGTTGAAACATCCATCAATTGATTATCATCATATTATCATATTTACACTTGATAATCTGATCCATCTACCCACCTACAGTAGTACCTCCTCCATCTACCTAGGTGCCTAGGTACATTTCCTCTCAATGAAAAACACATCTATCAAACATTAGACATTACCTAGCCTAGATAGACAGAGATAATTTATACGGAATATAATTTATATTTATATATAATTTAAATCTCATAAAAAGATGTCTTCAATTCCCATTCACCTGAGATCTCCCTCTTTCTCTTTCCACAAATACTTCATCTAGATCTAGATAATCAAAAACGTTTCAATTCCCATCCAAAAAAAAAGAACAATAAACTTCAAGTTCAAGAAGAATTCCTCCCCCTTCCCAAAACACACAACGAAGAGGAATATCAACTTTATCAACTTGCATCATACATAACCCCACTACCTATTTCCACCCCCTTCAACCTTTGTTTGGAACAATAACTTATTCTAAGAATCATCTCAACACATCTACCATTGACTCATATCTTCTGTCCATACCTTTGATCCGCCATCATCATTTATAGATACCTTCAATCCTTCCTGCACAATTCCATCAAACTCATCGCGCCGAGCCTCTACCAGAATCTCCCGCGACAATCGCAAAAAAATTAAAGGCAAACATTTTCCAGCATAGAGTAAACCATTTATCTTCGAGTTTGGCGTCGCACATCTATCCTCTGCTTGAAGTCGCTAGGGAGGCTGCAGGTAGCCTCGACTTTGGACCCGTGAATCGTTTGCTACGGCACCACAATACAGCTGCACAATTTCCACTTCTACATAACAGCTCACACTTCGACCTTCACTTCCCCCTTCCATCCACTTCTACAACGACACCTACACATCTCGTAGAAGATCACTTCCACGCCCATCCCGCACACACACCTCATCGAATGTATTCTCCTCATATGTCTTCCACCAATCCCCGAAAAAGAGCTGCACCGGGAGCCTCGTCTGCTATTCAAACACCGCAGATGCAACAAACATACAATGCAGGTACCCAGCTACCCAGTGCCGAATTCTTGCGCTGGAATCAAAACTCTGAATCTCAGAATTTCGCAGATCCAACCACGAGCAATTATATGAATATGTTTGGAGCAAATCCCGGTCTGCCGCAAACGACCACTGGTTTCGACCATTCCCTTGCCGCGCAAACCCATTCCACACAATTGGCTCGTCGACCGAATGTCAATAACAATCGCCAACTTGTTGCGCCGCGGACGTACGACGGTTCGGGTGATGCTTGGGGAGCTTTTGACGATTCGATGATGGATTTACAGAATGGGCATGGGGTGAATGGGGAAAATGATGATATTGAAGCGTTGGAGGAAAAGGCGGCTATTGCGAAGAGAGATGCTCAGTCAAAGAGAAAACAGATCCCACCATTTGTGCAGAAGCTAAGCAGGTAAGCGCTTCCTCTTTTGCGAGCTTCGATTGAGATTGTTTGCGCTGACTTTCTTCCTTGATAGCTTTCTTGACGAATCCAAGAATACGGAACTTATACGATGGTCTGATCGAGGTGATTCGTTTGTGGTGTTGGATGAGGATGAGTTTGCGAAAACGTTGATTCCGGAATTGTTTAAGCATAATAATTATGCCTCTTTCGTGCGACAACTCAACATGTATGGTTTCCACAAGAGAGTAGGACTTTCCGATAATTCGATGAAGGCTAGTGAGAGGAAAAACAAGAGCCCGAGTGAATATTACAATCCTTACTTCAAGCGTGGACATCCAAATCTTCTCTGGCTCATTAATAAACCGAAGGGTGGAACGAATAAGATTCGAAAGGAGGGAGGACCTAGGAGAGGGAAAGCTGAGGAGATGGGAGATGGAGATAGTGATGATGAAGCAAGAGATATTGAAGAATTTGGTCAAAATAATTATACCAACAATGCAGCCACCAATCGAGCGATATCAGCCGCGCCAGAATCTGGACCCTTACAACGACGAGAAATTGCAGTTGTTCAGGGTCAGATCTCTGACATTCAAAAACAACAAAACACCATCTCACAAGCGATTGCACGTCTGAGAAAGGATCATAATCAACTCTATCAACAAGCTATGGCTTTCCAAAATCTTCACGAACGTCATGAAAGTTCGATCAATGCTATTCTCACATTTCTTGCTACGGTCTACAACAGAAGTTTGGATGGACAGGGAGCCGAAAATATTACTCGGATGTTTCAAACTGGGTTAAATCAACAAGGTCCACATCAACAACAAGGCAATGTTGTGGATATTGGTGACCTTGGAACTCCTCAGCAGCAACCAGCGGCTGGAAGTGTTAGTCCGGTTGTTCGCAAAACACAAAAGTTATTGACAGCAGGACCACCGGAACGAGAAAGCAGTCGGGTTACTGAAGCTTCAACGGCTGCTTCGAGTCCAAGAAATCAATATTCTACTCCACGTTCTGGAACAGTTGAAGAACTTTTCGAATCTCCTAGTGATAGTACGACAACGAAGACGGAACCGCAAAGAGATATGTTGAATATTATTCAAAACGCCAACTCACAAAGTCGACCGGAGAATAATGTTATGGACTTTCCGGATATGCTCACACATTACGAAAACGCAAATGGAAATTCCCCGCTGACCTCGGAACAGCGCAGCAATATGCTTAATATCATTGCTAGCACTTCGTCGGCTCCAGGTTCTAACAATGCACTTGTGAGCCCGGCACCTCAAGCTCCTGATCTAGCGCAAATGGCCTATACGCAAGCTGAGATTGAAAACTTGATGGGATTACAACAACAGCAAAGTGATCGTATTGCAAGTCTTTCCGCAAATCTTACGCCTCTCAGTCCTTCGGGTTCTATTCCTGGTGTTCAAGGCGACTCGTATTTCAATGGTGCTGAATCCATTGACCCTCAGCATTCACATCTGGATTTAGATAAATTTTTCGATTCCCAGGCGTTTTATAGTGGAGGGAGTCCGGGCAATCCGAGTTTTAACTTTGATGATTTTGGTAATGGAGTTGATGGGAGTGGGTATGGTGGTGGAGAAAGTCATTTTGACGTTGGTATGGATGGTGTGAATGATGGGAGTGTGAATGGTACCGGTTCGAGTGGGAATGGAGCGAGTAGGATTGTCGAGACGGTGGCGAGTAGTGAGTCGACGAGTCCGGCGGATGATGGGATGGGAGATGGCAATGGGAATTCGAATGGAAATAGTAATGGGAATGACAACGCGAGTAATAAGCGGAGGCGGAAGATTTGAGGATGGAAGATGGAGTGGGTGGGAGATGGTACAAAATGCGAAAATTATGGGATAAGATGTTAAGGCTGGTGTCAAGGGGCGTTTTTCTTTCCATGGAAATGGCTATGGAAATGGAGTGGTTTAGGTGGAATGGATGGGTGGATACTCTGAGAGGATTGATAGTTGTGGAGGGATATTATGTTGGTCGATTTTTACCTCTTTAGACTTCCGGCTCGTGGAGTTTCTTTACATGTTCTTTTCTGTTTAGTCTATTTCTCTGTCGAGGTGAAATGGAATGAATGGATGGAGTGATAGTACATGAGAGAGGAGCAGGAACAGGAGCAGGAGCAGGAGCAAGGAAAAAAGAAAAAGGAAAGGGGAGAAAATTTCATGTTCATGTTCATATTCATATTCATATCGTACTCTTGTGAAGATTGAGGATGGGGATGTATGTGTGTGGGTGGTGGATATTTGAATTTGAACTAGGTATGCTGAAGGGAAGATGGGATACTGATGGTATGCTAGTTAGTGGTGATGTTGGTGGTGAGGGGGGTGGGGGGTGGGGGGTGGGGGTGGAAGTTTCTTTTCCGATTCCTTTCTGTTAGGGAGAGATGGGACAGGCATAGTGGCATAGTCATAGTCATAGTCATAGTCATAGTCATAGCATGTATGCATGGCGTTTTTAACTTTTTTGCTAGCTTACGGTAGACTTTTTGAACCGATTTTCAGATTTTTTTTTGTTGATTGTCGTGTGCTTGGCTTGTGCTTGTGCTTGTGCTTGTATTTTGGGTTTGGTATATTATAGTTATAGGGTTGATGGATGGGGTGGGATGGATGGATGGATGGATGGGTTGAGTAAGTGATAGCTGGAGAGGAGGGGTTGCTGTATAGAGGTTGCAAAGCTACATACATATTCATATGTATCTAGTAAGAAAGAAAGTAAGCAAGCAAGCAAGCAAGAAAGCAAGAAAGCAAGCCAGCAAGAAAGAAAGTCTAGAATGTTGATTTGCGGATTTTGTATCTGGGGGGATGAAGGAGGGGTTTGATGGAAGATGAATACCCTGAGATTTGAGATTTAAAGTTCGAGTAAAATAGCTGTTGTTTAGTGCTAGGAGTGGATGGTGCATTGTTTGAGTTGTATTCGAGGTTTGTGGGTGTGGGTGTGGATGTGTATGTGTATGTACACCTCATCATCGTGATCGAATGTCGGTTGGGAGATAGGAGGAGAGTAGAGGGAGGGGGGTTTGTCACAGATAAGTAGATTGTATTTTTCAGGGAATGGGATAGATACAAGGAAGGAAGGAAGCAAGCACGCAAGAAGAGTGGTATTCCTATTGTCTCTTCTTCTGAAGAGAATCGATCTCGCTTTTTGTTGAAAGGGATAATTAATCATGTCGAAAGTTTTCTTGAGATTTCGGAGGGAGATTGTTGTTGAGTACACTCGAGTAGCGTGTAGGTTTGGTGAATTTTTAAGGGTACCTAGGTAGGACCTAGAGAGATAGAAGAACATCTTTATATTTCTTAGCAACTCTACCGCGTTAAATATTTGTGATTGTTCGTCGAGAATGTAATTAATGACTCGAAGGATATCTTTAGGAATCAGTAAGTCGAGGCACGGGAATGCCAAGATCCGTAGATGGGTGAAGATTTGATAGAAATCTATCTATTGATACCTGGATGAGATGGTTTTTGAAGAAAATATGATATTGCTCCTTTCCTGATGAATGATTATCGATTGGTGAAGCTGTGGAGCGATTGATGGTTTGACTTGACCATCGGCTTCTCATTGCTTTCTCTTGACATCGACATCTTATCTTTGATCAGAGAATCAGATGAACATGAAGGATTTGATTGACAACTACCAGGTTGTGGAGAGGCAATGGAAAATTACCTGTTCTAATGCTAGCAATAACGATATACTATCCTAGCCTATACAACTGATGGAACTCATGCCCGTTATATTTTCAATCCCATGGTGTTTATGCGACCGCGACCATTTCACCATGGATAATACCGAAAGTAGACTCAAATATTGATTTCAACCAGCTATTCGTAAAGACGTTCATGTGATTGGTATGAACGATATTTTCCAAAAAAGAGTAAGTACGCGAATGAACATCAGCATGTCATCAATCATCTCGAATCTGCCTTTCCATAACCATCCCAACCCAGGAGATTAAATACACCAGCTGATGCGGCGAAGTTCTCGTAGAAAACTAACACGTATCTAGCTCATCACATTCTAAGAGGCCGTTGCGATAGTCGTCAATGTGAAGATGTGAACTAGACCAAGGACCCGAATCCAGAAGATTGAAGGTATTAAGTCGATAAGAGCGTAGGATTTTAGACATGTTTCTGTCATCTTTCGTCATGCTCTGCGCGTTCTCACTTACTGAAAGGTTGCCTTTTGAAAATTAGAATGCATCAGAATTAGGCACCGACATAGAATATTCAATGTTGGACCTGCGGATCTCCTCCTAGTCATTGCGGAGCCAAGGAATGTAACTAAATGCTAAAGTAATCGGATGACAGGATTATATATAGCTTTGCAGACCAATAATTCAGCCATCACCCTAAAAGATGAAGAACGAAGAGTACGCCAATGATATATAGGATTCGGATATATTGTCCTTTTATCATGAGCTTCTGTGTATCTGAAGCGAGTTCTCGTGCTCTCCTAAATAGGATATCGTATTTTGGACAAATAGTTCTCAGGGTCCTTACGAGCTTGCCAGTATCGCATTGTCATATTTCTCGTAATTCCGTAGATCCACAAATTGTATATTGCTGACTTGATCTGACATGGCAAGTTCCGTTCCCAATCTCGAGATCCATGACATTGATGTAGATTTGAATGCTCCGAATGAAACCAGTTCCTGCAAGATGATTGACAAGGTCCAGACAATCTGAAAGTGGTTTATAAGAACTGCAAAATTTCTATATTAACCTTAATGCCCCATGCCTGGTATTTGATTCCCGAAAAACATCACGGGTGGCTGAACATCAAAAAGTCAATCTCTTGTTTTTAATTAATCAATCCCCCGCACTTTATTGTGTAACATGGGGGTAATGGCGATTAGAAATCATCTTCAATCGCTTGTGGTTTGCGCTTGCGACTCGAGTTGTGCAACACTATTTGCAACGAAATTTAGAGGATTTTGTCAGGATACTAAACGGATTTGATCCTGTGTTGCATATACATGAGTTTGATGAATGCTTCGATGGTGACGAATTTTCAGTCATACCTAAATCATTGTACTTGAAATGATCAAAATAGAAAATCAGCAGCGGATGTATACCCTTTTTGGGAAATACTTGGCGATGTCAACGTATACGCCCCAGACAATACAGTGCTTACTGCTTGGCTAAACATTTTGCACTGTGTTACCATGAATTTGCGACGTCAGGGACCTATGACGATCCTGCGTAAGCGACGGTTGAACTGAAATAAAGGCCAGGCTCATCGATATGATAAAACAATAAGTTGCTAATTCTCACAAGACAGTAGGTGCTTTCAATAGCTCTGCTTGACAGCGATCACATGCACCATCCAGGAAATTGTCTTTATTTTCATTGTGATTTGAAAGGTTGAGCTGACTTCTGTAAAGTGTGCGTTGTGCGAGCCTCGGACTATTCGTGGGCCTTCGACTGATCTTGTCCCGAATATTAGTGTAGGGAGGAACAAGGTATATAAAGCTCATACCAGTAATGTGAAGCGAGAAGAGAATTTCGGATGATATATAAAGTGATTGTTTGTTACACCCGATATTTCTTGTACATCTTTAGCCAATTGTGACGACCATTGCTTACTGTATTGTGCATTAATTCCAATTAAGCTTATTACTACCGCTAACAAACTCCTAAAGTGTCGATATCATGGCGATTATCAATTCGAACCAGTTCTTAGTTTTGATGGGGCGCCTATCGATAAGTTAAATAGAATCTGGCACAAGTACGCGAGCTTTGTAGATCTGAGCCTTGGCCATCAGTCAGACAGATAGCTGGGTGCAAAAACCTGGGTTCAAAGTTCATTTATCTTTGAAACGGTTGGATGAATTTGTGGATATCGTCCTTGGAGCGAACTTCAGGAGGCGATTCAACGTTCGCAAAATGGTCCGAGCCGTTATCATGTGGCTGACACAACCAATGAGTTGCGGGGAGGATAACAATATCAATCCGAAGTAAAGTGGTCATATCCATTCTTAGGTCAACCAAAAATGGGTTGTAATACGGCTTAACAATACTCCATGTGTATGACGCACTTCATTGGCTTTTGAGTTGACGTGGTAAATTGATTGGCGGAGTTCAAGGGGCTAGAGAATAAATGTGATAGTATAGCCCGGAAAAATGGAGACGAATACAATCTGATTATTGTATGCGTGTTGCCCTGCATCTCGGATAGGTTTCTACATCAAGTAGAAATTCGGTTTGGTAATAACAAATGTACAGCGACAAAAGGAATGTTCGGAGAATCTCGCTACTTATTATATTAGTCGGGATTTCAAAAGGAGGGAAGTTCCGTTCCGTTCACCAAAACGGTCGGTTGACATCTTACAATATTCAATTTTCGTGGTTTCTCAAAATCAGAAGCTTCTCCCAGTATGAAGTTATAACCTTAAACTAAAAGTTTGGTTCTTGGGATAGCCCGCTGTAAATCTGATTGGCTAGCTCGTTCATCTTCCACGGAGACGTCAAGGGGTGGTGGACCCTGCTATGCCTGTCAAAGATGCCTGTTCCATATGCGCCCATAGTTCCCATTTGGAACAGCAATCCCGGTATCTCCAAGACCAGCGCAGTATGGAGTCCAATACCATGATCTTAAATTCCCAAAAATCTGGCTTATGGATACTTCGCCATCTGGTCATGGTCATATAAGGCGACCGGCCAGTAAATTAATCGAGTGGATCATTTGTAGCTTAACCTGGCCACATTTAAACATAAGGTAAGTAGTATATGAATCGCTGAATCAATTATCTGTGGAAAGGTCCATCTCTCATTTTGCTCATAAGCCTAGCCAGCTAGCATACCGTCGGAATCTTCACATCAAGCCATTATCAGGACTGGTTAGTTGATCATAAATTCTTGAACGTAACACATGAATGTGTGAGTTGAAAGTGTATGGAGAACCATCTCAATCGACTAATCATCAACATTCGCTATCCTCTTTCAAAATGGTCGGAGCTTCGACAAAGCAGGTTATAAAGAAGGAAGTTCCTAAACGCTCTCGGGCATTCAGCACAAGAGCTAAGACGGGTTGCAAAACTTGCAAGTGAGTCCATATTTGACATCCTACTTTCTTGATATCGATCAATTCTAGATAGGCCAAAATGCTTTTTCGATGGCTAGGTTCTCACTTGATGACACATCATCAATGGTAGAGCCGTCTATTTTCTGACTTTCTTTTGAACAGCACCGTCGAAACCAAATTCTGTGCACGAACCTGTCAACTGACAAATTTCTTGTAGGGTTCGCCATGTAAAATGCGACGAAGGGAGACCCGGATGTAGGAAATGTGCTGCAACAGGGCGTCAATGTGACGGCTATGCTCATTGTACGCCCAGTCCAAACCCCAAACCTAGTGCAATTTCGTCTTCAATCGTCCCGAAATCTTCCAGCCGTGCCACACATGAAATACCTCCAATAATTCCCGATTTCTTGTCCCCAACGCTAGCTGTCAGTGATCAGGAACAGCATTCTTTCAACTTTTTCCATAGACAAACTGCGCCTCAGCTAAGCGGTTGCTTTGGCTCGAAGTTTTGGAATTGTTTCGTTCTGCAAGCTTCACATCGTGAGCCGGCTGTGCGACATGCAGCTATTGCGCTTGGGTCTTTACATGAGAGGTTTGAGTTGGAGGATAGATTTATCTCTAAGGTAAAGGACGATACTGAGGAGAATTCCTTTGCCGTACGCCAATATGTGAAGGCAATAAATTGTTTGGTGCAACCGAACATGTCCAAGCATACATATAAGTCGGCAAACATTGCGTTAACAACCTGCATACTATTCATATGCTTCGAGGTAAGTGTCTTTGTAATTTCCGTTTATTTGTTTGAATTTTTGAATCCCAACTTATGATGCATCTGAAGACTTTAAGAGGGCACCACGACTCCGCTCTCGCGCATATCGACGGCGGAGTAAAAATATTCTCGGAGCTAGAGGTATCCGGAAACTCAACTCCTGTTTCGTATGATCTGCCTGAAGATCATATTCCCGTTCCAATATTCCGTATGTTATTCGGCAGATTAGATACGCAAGCCTCGGTTTTAACTTCAAGGGCACGTATAATTGATGGCGAGTCTGGCTCTTCACCAAATTCTATTCCAGACAGTTTTCTGAACATTGAACAAGCGCGCGAGGCAATGGAATCAATCTGGACATATAGCGCAAGAAACCTCTTGTCTTGCTCCATGTATAATGGCGTTCCCCTTCCTCTCCCTACCAGCCAGGAAACCAAATTACAATTATTGGCTCATCTCGAGAATTGGAACCGAGCGTTTGAATCATTTTCACGCAAGTCAATCAAGAGAGGTAATATTGAAATAGTTAGTCCGATGGAAATGAGAGCGAGGGACCTTCTCCGCCTGCACAAAACTATGACCCAAATATTGGTCACGACCTCCACAACACATTCTGCAAGGTTTAACGAATCGAGTGAGCTACTTTGGGATGATTTTCAGTTGGAATTCGAAGCGATGGTAAAGTGGGCATCCGATATTATCCACACGCCATCGAATATTCAAATAGGAGGTCGTAGAGCCGCAAGTTTCACATTAGACAATGAAATACTACAGCCCTTGTTCCTAGTAGCCACGAAATGTCGACATAGACGCATAAGAAACAAAGCTATCCTGTTACTAAGCCAGGCTGATAGGCAGGAAGGTCTATGGAACAGTTTGTTGACGGCAAAAGTGGCCGAGAGAATTCGAGAAATTGAGGAAAGTGGATTGGGCGAAATGATAGCAATAGTCCCGGAATCGAATCGCCTACGAAACATCGAAATGAAGTTCGAATTTGAAGTCTATCATGGAAGAAGAGCGTGGCTTGGATATAGGACTTTCTCTGCGTATGAAAGCGGAGAATGGATCCAAATTTATGAACGCAACACCCCGCCCGAGACGTTCAGAACACCGAGCGGGTCGACAGATTCATCTTTTCAGGTTCATGATAATCTGAAAATTGAAAGAAACAAGGAGCAATCCTTCGAATCAGCATGGAGAGTCGGTATCAAATCAGAATTGTAATAAATCTGGCGCAGGATTGGATATGGTAATGTCTGAATATCGACCGTGTTCCTACAGCACGAATTGATGACCGAATAGCGTAATGAACTAGAGAAAGTATCTAGAGAATGCATAAAGACATCGCTGTTCCCATGTATATCCATTGACCTAAAAAAGGTGGAACTTTGTGAAGACAAACATACTCCATATGGAAGTACTGGAAAATCAGATCTTCAAGTGGCTTCCAGTATGGGGTGACTTGCACACCAGAACTCACGGACCCCGGCACTTAGAGTCGTTGGCAGACTTAGTGTATCAGAATCACGGTGACATTCGAATGCAGGGCCGCACAGGAGTGTGATAGTACCGCAGCCACACAGATTGCATGATGCCTATTTACTGTATATGGTCTCATACGATAGAATCATGTACCTTGTAAATATGAGGTATCAGTAAAAGCTAGTTACAGTCAACTAATGCTACTCTGACAAGCAAGGGGATACGTACGTACAGGTAACAAGGGTGAGAAATAAGCCTGCATGGCTGCTGCTTGCAACGAGACATCTCAGCATGTCGTTATGAGACCATCGGATACAGATATTAATTTTCAATTAATCAAATATTATCAAAATGTCGTCACTGTATTAGATCACCCAGTCCCTTTCCAATTTTGTCCAGCAGATGAGGTCGTGTCTCCGAGTTTGAATGTATGTTGGAAGGTAAGATTCCGGAGACTGTTGACGATCATAACATGAGCTTCATTTTGCCAACCTAATTTTGAAGATAATAAGACTCAATTGGTGATTGATGAATGATAATGATAATGATAATGACAAGGGTGATTTACCGGCGTCAAGAGGCATCGAGAGGCATCAAGAATTGTTGTCAAGTTGTTGCCACGTATCACGTGATAGTATTATGTAATCACCAACTTGGTTGGTAATCAAGTTGAATGCCCTTCCCTTCCATCAATCCAAGATGTTGAATCGTACAATATCTTCTACTGTTTTCTAGTATTCTTATACAATTCTGTTCATAATTCAATCTCACTGAAAGATTCAACTCTCAAGACTACATGAAATGATGATCGAAGCATCCGAATTACTTGGATATGCAAACAGAGTGATGTCGATTCTACATTCTGGTCATTTTTGAACGAACTTCACAAATAATTCATGCCTTAAATACGCTCGCTCATGAACTACTTGTGCCAACCACGAAATCACTTCAGGAATTGGAGATCGTGTATCTAGTCCTAACATGTGATACAATACCTCTAGATATCGCAAACACATAGGATTACCATTTTCTTGGCTCGCATATCCTATTGTAACCTACGCGAAGGTTTTCGAGGACGAGATAAGAAAGCCTGCCAAATTTCTCAAATCTATCCTTAGCTATCACTTCTTGGTGGTATAGTTACCGAAATTAATTCAGCAGTATGGCTGGGCAGTGACCCTCATACTTCTGGAATTACTCTTGGTTTTTTAGATGCTGGGCTTTTTGACGCTGGATATTAGACGTCTGGGGCTCTTCCAAGGTTATGCTTGATGATCATGTCCATCTCAAAACGCTACAGCCCATCGCCTATACCAAGATTTTTTGTTTTTGGACTGAGAAAGAACGTATAGAAAGATACGACTTCTCCTATCATACATCACACAGATTGTACTTTCGAATTACCGAAATCGGTCAATCTACAGCGCACGGTAGATCAAGTGCAGTGTTTAAGAAATCGTACTTACATGTCCACCATAGTGATAAAACACCTTCATATTGAAAACATCGACATCAAGGCTATGTCAACCCCGATGTTGTACTTCTGGGATGCGTGAATGCTCAACACTCGCTGTAACCTTAAAGGGTGCTGATTGGAAATCGTCGACCATCCGAGACTGGGCTGTGGACCGCCAACAACCAGAAAGTGACCCCCAACAGGATCGCAGAATCTTGAGACCCAAACCAGATTAGGAAGTCAAATTTACTTTGCGTCTAGTGACTTTCAATGTCGAAAACTCAACACCAATGTTCAAATACATGAATTTGGATATTGAACCACCATGAACGTGGTTCAGCAGACAGTTACTTGAAACGTTTGATTTAAACCATACAGCATCTATTCATCGGAATTGGCAGCGCTTATACCACCTCAAATATAATGTAAAATTCGATGAGTTTTTGGTCGGATCTCCCAATAATTTGACCTCAAACTGATCAGGAAGATTGATAGCACACCAACTTGCATAATGCTGCTGGCTGGCCTTGGCCACTACCCAACCAACAACTTTCATATGATTTTGAAACGTCATTTTATAACATTCCCATTCCAACACTATTTATTCCTTTGTTGCTTATCTATCGATGATACATTACACACACCTCTAATATAGTTAGACGGAATAATTATGTGAAAGAAAGATCACGCCTCGTAGACAAAGACGTCTCAACAGCAGATGGTGAACCTGACCAGATGGTTGAGAATGAGACAATTTAAGAAAGTAAATCTTTAATTGCTCATCTATAGAGGTTCTCGTTTCTTGTTCAATTGCTTGCTTTTTCTCTATTTTCCTTTCATTCCATCTCATCTATTTGATTAGAAAAGTAGGGTCACCATTTGAATTAATTGGCCTTTTTGAATCTTGACATTGACATTGTGGTCAGAGCCTCAGGTTGTTCTAACACGGGTCTACTTTCAAAGAATTGCCGCCACAGCGACGGGATTTGTGACTGAAGACTTGGAAAGTTTCGTGAGAAGAACACCGAAATTACACTTGGAATCTTTAGGGCTTCGTCATTGACTTCTTGACATCGGCAACATCGCGCTGGCGTTGGATGAGATTTTCCAATACTCAAGAACGAGTAAATTGTTGAACTAGCTTCCCAGTAACGAACAAAGAAATTATCCCGTCGGACATCAACATCTATTCCACCTCATTTCTCGAGAGATCAGTAGATCATCAAGTCACCATTGATCGACAACTTCAACGAGGATACCATAATAAGGTATGATGGATCGTCGACCACAATACATGAATGTGCCTAGCTATCCCTCTCTTCTCAAACATGGAACATCCCATCCCTCACCTCTTTCCCCCTTAACCCCACCTCGACGACTCCACCAACGCAGCCTGCTACCCAGCCCACCCATCTCGCCACATCTTCACAAACCCCCACCTCCTATACCTTACCCATGGATTTGGCGCTGCCACATATGTCACTCTGTTTACCGTCTTGGCGTCACCCGTCGCTGCCGTAAGATCTACTCATTTCCCCTCATACACGTCACTTACTAACAGCGAGCTCTATAGTCGAAGACGGTCATTACTTCTGTTCTTTGCCCACTCCACCCCCATCTCCACAAACTGCTTCTCCCGTGTCCCCGTCCCCCTCCACTAGTTCTCTTTCCTCCCTGATTCCCCCCAAGAAGAAAAAGAAACGTCGTCGCCAACCCCGTGGCTGCCGCGCCGAATTTGACTACACAGGTTGGGAACATTACAACCATTGGCGACGGGATATCTCTCTCCTGAAAACCGAATCTCGTTCTCTGAACAACCCACACTTCATCCCTCCATTGAAAATAGGCAAAGATTGTTACCGCGACTGCGATTTTCCCTCGGAATGTCAAACCATACATTTACGATCAGCGATAACCCCCAAAACGCGACAAAAAAGCGAACCGGAGTTAATTTTCCCCATTTCTCCCATCAGTGCCGAGGAACGTCAACGCATAGATGATGAACGAGAAGATCAACAGTTGATCTTTGATATAGCAGCTACTACACCACCAGCCACTCGTGCTCATGGCGAATTCCCTAGTTCCTCAACTCTCATGCCCGATATCACTTCTCCCGATTTTAACACGCTTGTTGAGCGCGATCGGCGCAAGAGTTTGGAAGCGGAGAAACGCGGATTAGAACACGAGGCGCAATTTATTGTTAGTCCTCTAACAAGTCATACCGCCTTTGCGGATATAAATTATGGCGGCAGTGGATCTACGAGTCCGAAAGGAAAAGAATGTGAAAACGAAAGACAGGAATTGAAAGATGGTTTGGGAGTCTCGTATCCTCCTGAACTAGACGATCTAGCAGGAGAAGAAGAAACGGAAGAGGATGAACAGGGATATGTGAGGGAGTTCATACGAGTAAAGAAACGGAAAAGCATAGCGAAAATTGAACAGCTCACGGGATTGAGGTTATCAGAGGTGCAGTATGGAAAGATGGTAGGAGAGGTGGTGGACGGAGATTTGGGAGGACCGAGGGTGGGAGAAGGAGAGGGAAGCAAAAGTCGGAGAGCTAGTGTAGAGATTGAAAGTCCACCTAGTAGTCCGTTGAAGATGTTTTATACAGTAGAGGATAGTGATGATGAGGATGATCTTGATGAGGTCACCCCCTGGGATGAACAGAGGAGGAAGCATATTCGATAATGATCCACATTTGTTTTGATTCGAGTAATTTGGTGGACCTGCAACTGGGAGGTTCTTCGAGGAAGTGGATATTGCGAATTGCCGGAATGTATAACATTTAGCATTGGTTTGGTATTCAAAATACCGCATAATCATTTTGAACATCACATTTACTATTGTAAAGTTGAAGTAATATCCGATCTCATTCAAAATCGATAATAGTACATCGGCCTGAGGTGATTCCGCAACAATCCAGAGAAAAATCGTTCCGAATTGTGCCTCATTCATGGATGAACTCATGTAGCCTTTTATAATCCTATCTCATAGTCCGATCCATGATAAGTAATCAATTCCATTATGAAACCAAGCAAAAAGTGAATATCCCCAAGACACCATCAAACTCTGAACCCTTAGAAAGAGAAGAAGGAAATAGCGCAAAAAAAGCGGAGTGCGTAAATGAATCGTAGACGTGTGTGTTTGCGATAATCATGCGGACTCGATAGTCTTCTTCTTCTTCTGCTCTACCTTCAAAAGTAACGCGCGGTTTATGTGTGGTAGCACACCTCCGAAAGCGATAGTTGCGCGAATGAGTGTATCGAGTTCTTCGTCACCGCGAATGGCAAGTTGTAGATGGCGGGGTGTGATACGCTTGACTTTGAGATCCTTGGCAGCGTTCTAAAATGATCAGTGGATGCTTTTTTACGCAATCGTGGGGTACAGATGTAGCTTACTCCTGCGAGCTCAAGTACCTCAGCAGTTAGGTATTCTAAGACCGCTGTAACATAAACTGCTGCCTTCGCTCCCACGCGCATCTTGTTCTGGGTGTTGTTCTTCAAGAAACGCTTGACACGACCGCAAGGAAACTGTTTTTAAAATTTGTCAGCATGTAAAAAATCTAACAATTAATGCGCAATTCAAAACAAAGAAAGAGGTATTCCGAAATCGAGGTTTTCCCAGGATGAGAAAATTTATCTCGCGTATGCACGTCTTGTTGATATTCGGTGCGCGTCGAAAAGACCTCCTCGACGAGGCTTTGGAGAGATAGTTGATTCATGGATAGGAGTTTGTAGTCATCGAGATTAATGTGTATCGCGACTGTTGGTGATTGTTCCAAGGGATTGTTCGCAGATCGAAAGTTGACGCGACTTGGTGGGGTGTAGATATTGTAAAAATCGTAGTTTCCGTCTCTCTCCGGATCGAACCACAAAATTTCATAGAGGCAAAGAGAAAATGAAATACAAAGCTTGCGCAATACTAACCTGAAGACCGGCTTTGCTTGAATGACTTTGTTGCTTCTTGTTTCCATCTGCGCCAACCTTGCCTCCAGCAGATGACTTTCCACCAGAAGATTTTCCTTTTCCGCCGGCCATTGTAAAATATTGAGAATAAACCTAAATATTAAGGTAGAAGTTGATGTATGAGATGTAAGTTTTGATGTTTTTTAAATTAGGAGTTTGTATGTTGATGTTTAACAGAAAGAAGGCGCGTTGATTTGAAAAGTGACAGTAATAAGATATAAGTAAGGTATGTAGCCGTTCTTTGCTTGATTGGAATCCTTGATGATGACTGGTAGCCGAAGCGAGGCTTGTGTGAATCTGGAAAGATGAGAGTTCAAAGAGGAGAGAAGAAGTTGAAAAGCAACAGCAATACTTGGCTGAGAAGCTTTTAAACTTACTAGAATGATAGAGAATGTGATGATTATCATATATAGATGTATAAATGATAGATGAAGATGGTGGTGGAAGAGATATATAGAGATCATGTAGGAACTCTCACTACCATGAGGAACCATGATTTCGCCATGTGATGGTTACTTTCATAGCAGCCCCACGTTAATGATGAGAGACTTACCTGTGAAGCCGTGAGATACAGATGAAATAGAAGAAGAGGTCAAGGAGAGTTGTTAAGTATTCATAAAGCTGTCATGGTTTGATGTTTGTCGTTGATTCAACAACAATCTGGGGGAAATCTATGAACCTGAGGATCTGATCACGTGTCTTTCTAGCGCACGGATTATTTTTTGGATTTGAACTGGGGTTTATCCGATGACATCCTTACGTCCGTCGTACGTCGTAAGAACATTCTTCGCCTGGCCTTGACAATTTGGATTAATCTTATCATAACTGCGTTCCCAATTCCCTTCGCTGCTGAATTGTTTAAACACTCCTTTCCTCATTTTCATATTCAGCATTCAGCTTGTATCATACCTGGTATGCATACAATACAACATGTAGAACAAGCATGATCTGTACGTCATCCTATGCATCGCAAGGTCCGGTCGCACGAAGGATGGATGGCAAAAACTCACGACATTAGAGATGAAAATCTCGCAAGTCAAACATTTTCAATCACTGGAAACTGTATTGAAATGTTTGTTGGGCCTGGGATGCGATACTGCCCTATTTATTACAATTGTTTTATCCTCGTTTGCAAGATTTATGAAGCAATGCGTTTATCGAATCGGTACGCCCAGTTGTCACTTCAAACTTAACTTATACCTCGAAGCATCCTTTCTTTAAAACGGGAAGCAATGATTGATGTTTTCCATCTAAGTTGGACCTCTACCGATGTTTTGTTTCACCCATCACCCTGGACCTACCATCTCAGGCTCCAACCTCAAGAGATGCTCGTAAATTCCCTATGAGCCTGTTGTTGGATCTCTACATAGTAGGAAGGTAACATTATTCATAAACTTGCTTGATTGGTCCAATTCTAGGCTGCATAGCTGGCCGTCTGTTTCTCCTCCATGCGATTCTGGCATGTGTCATGTGGTTAGCAAAGTGCTGCACTTGAAGGTGGCCACCATGATAATTTTGCGGTGCACGAGTGAAAGGTGATGGGAGCGGTGGGCTACATGATTACTAAAGGGACAGAGCGAATGTTCATGTTTTGATTCAAAAATCAGAAAGCATTCATGCTCGTCGATTTATCATTCAGATCACATCTATCGCATGGTTGCATCCAGTTCTTGCTTTTCGCCCCCCAGTGTGGGTATTTGGAAAACTCTATCATGTTCGAGTCTGAAGCTGGTTCTTTCTAAGTTCAAAGATTATTGATCAGGGAGATGGGGGAAGGGGGCACGGAGATATAGAGAGAATGGCGGATGGTCATTGGCATGGTTAGAACCTGTCTTCCAAATCTTTTCATTCAAATTCTTCAGGAAGTTCCTGCTATGGAGATTCCGTTATGTCATGTCAATATACCATCCACTGGTCAAACGAGTGCCTTTCAATGACGTTGAAAGCTCATCTTAGCCCTGTTTTGGTTGGATCTCTCATTTTTTAATCACAGTTGATGATTGGGATGTTTTAATTTCTTCAAATGATCATTTTACTAATCCTCTAAGCTTTCTACAGAGTCTCCGGGATTCAAATCTTTTGTATCATAAGCTCGAATTTTTCTGATTTCCGTGTCTGCAGATCTACAGAATACACAATAAAGATATGCAAGCGTCTAGGTACAAGAGCAGAAAAACTTAGTAATGCATTGTATCTTTGATTATTGGGTAATATTCCTTCGACCTACTCATTTCTATCTTCGTTATCGATATGTTCCAACCACTCTAACCCTCCCTCGCACATACCTTACTACAACTTGGATGTCCTACTTCTCCACACTTCCTACATCTAATTCTCAGCCACATTTTTGTCCCTGGACAAAATCCATGCACACACGGCGTACAAATATTAAACATCCCTTCCTTCCCAGTGACCGTCTCTCCCTCCTCAACAATCTGTTCAAATACAATCCCTGAGCATTTAACACATCTTTCTCTCCCACATTCCTTGCAAGCTTGTGTCCATCCAAAAGCTCCATCCCATTCATAAGCAATCTCTGTTTCTGCTTTCTCTTGCACCGGTATGCTTTCTTTCATTACCCCCGATTCAATATCCTCTGCCGTCCATGAAAATAGAGATAAGCTACTCGGTCGATAATGCTGACTATCACTTCTTCGACGGTTGACCGGAATATCTGGAGCCCAACTAACGCTCTTTGATCTCTCCACCTCCGTACCTATCTGTCCATTCAACCAACTAGAACTTCTCGATCCAACTGGCTCAGGATATTCATACAAAGGCCGTAGCGATTTTCCCGTTGGCGGTGGACTTCCCGAAAAAAGGGAAATCGACCGTTTCGAACTTCCGGTAATAGTAAGGGATCTGCGAAAAGGATGTAAGGATAATGAAGAAACAGATGAAGATAATAATTTCTCGTCGCCTTTCAAGCTCGCTAGCCGTAAATTTGGATTTGAAACAGATCGAGATCGAGATTGTGATTGGGAATTTTTAGATCGCGTAGTAGATGAGGATAATTTTGAACGTGTGCGATAAAATGAATAAGGCGAGGAAAAACAACAGATTTGATCGCCGCAGTGAATACTACGATATGTATCTTCCTCTTCATTATGAAGATTCTGGGCTTTGGCTTTGGCATTTGCCCGACGGGCTTTGGCAATGGAGCGAGATTTGAATGTTGAAAGGAGTTTGTTGACGGATTTGTAGGTCTCATACTCGCCGGGGTGGATTTGAGGAATACGAGGGGCTGGTGTACTGGTTGAAGAGGCGGATGAACTATTTGATGAAATGGGGGCGCGGGCTAGAAATGTGCGTAAAGGACTTAGAGATGCGAGAGCTAGGAGGGAGTGAAAGGATGAGGTTCGATTTTTATTGTGCAGAGAACCATCTGGGGATTTGGGAGACTGTTGCATTGTGAGAAGAATGAGCGCTGTTCTGTTCGTGAGTACTAAAAAATTCCATGCTGCTATTGAAAATGAGGAGAAAAAAGCGACACGGGCTGCAAAATCTCTACAGTACTAGATTAAATGGATAGACTCGGTATGGGAATAAATCTATCAACGAGCTTCGAAGACTTTACTTTGTATGGCTACAGGTAGAAGAATTTAGTTTCGCTTTGTATTAAAGTGACTAACACAATAGAATACAGATGGAGTATTATGAATCATTCTCGCATATTCACAGCATGTGAATCACAGGAGTGGTAATTTAGTCATTTGGGTTGTTGAACTATTCGACACATGTAGAATGGAAGTGACACGAAAGTAGGCAAGTATTACTAGTCATGTGATCATTCGAAAGACTTATAATCTTAGTACGGTCATCGATAGAATAAAAAGAAAAATTAACTTTACAATCTCAAGCACGTGCTGCAACGGGTGCCTCGATTGTCATTTAGAGGTGAATACACATTTCAAGACAATTCGCTGGAAATTAATTTGTCAATATATATTTATATGTGATTGCTCCCAAGTGAAGTTTGTCATATTTGCGACGACACCTTGAGTTGAAATTTTTGACCTCGATGAAGTATTCGCGAGGTATCCAGCTTCATCTATCAATGTGTTCTCTTCGCGAACCGAACAAGAAGATCGGATTGTATATATGCCCCAGCACTGAACGACTTCCACGGCTTGATCGGATTCACCAAGGATATGTCGAATCTTCTAAATAGCTTTTTGGTGTCAGTTTGTTGGATTCCGTGCTGGAAACGAAACTCACTTCTACGAGAATCTTTCCCATTTCCATCATGGCTATATTCTTCCCGGAACAAGACCATTTACCGGATCCAAAAACTAAATCGGCTGCGAGAGTCATTTTTCTTGATTTATCATTGTCGTCGCATTCGAGCCATCTTTCGGGCCTGAAGATATGGGCATCTGGCCCAAACGTGGCTTTCGAATGCGCAATAGAAATCAAACTAAGTGAAACGTCGGTTCCAGCTGGTATACTAAAGCCATTAATGATATCGCCGCCTTCATGTACCGTTTTTGGTAGAAGTCCAGCGATTACAGGAAACTTCCGGAGACCTTCCTTGATAACTGCCTGCAAATAAGGAATGGCTCTTGCTTCAGCATCAGTTACTGGGGAGGAGATTTCGCCATTTTTGACGCCTTCATCGATAGCAGCTTGCAAGGCCATGTAGCAAGTTGGAGAAGTTGTAATGTGAAGTAACATGGCTCGAATTGCCGTGGCAGTCGTGTCCGTACCAGCGATTCTATCCCTCCATTAGCTTTCCAGGTCCAAGAAAACGAAAAGAGGATTGTTGAGACAAACACTTGAAGCAATGTCTCGGAATTAGCTTCTTCTTGAGTGAGTCCATGGGCGATGAAAGAACCAAGCATATCATTCTGGACCTCTTTTGATTCTCCAAATCGCTTCGCAATAATATCTTTCGCAACTCTGTTACTTGTTAGCCTTTTCTCCTCATGGAGATGTAGCAACCATACTAAATCATTTTTCCAAAATCGAGCTTATCTTTTTCTGTTGGTAGAAATGGTTTGAAGATAAAACTTCGTGATAGAGTTAACAGCCATGGCAAGACTCCTGCAACAACAGCAGCCGGTAGTAATTGTTCAACAGTCTTGATGTAATCATACATGTCGTCATCTTGAGCAACACATCCAAAAGGCGTCCCAAAAGCCACATCTGTAATTGCATCCAATGTGAAGTATTGAATCTTCTTAGCAAAGTCAAAAGGTCGGAAATTGGTTGGTGTTGAAAGATATTGTCGCTCAATCAAATCAATGAATGCATTAAGTTGCCTATCAATTGATTGCTCGGGTTTTTCAACGTCTTTGCCCGAATACTAATCAAGGGAATCAATACAACCTCATAGCTAGGCTTTTCGAAATGATTAACCTACACCTGCAGCAGTCTTCACTTTCAGGTCGGCATGAATTTTCTCGTCTATAGTCGATAACATAGTATCTTGGTCAGGATTGAAAGCGAAAGAACTATAAAATCTCGATCGACGATATCCTAACTTTGCAGTACCCATCCGTCGAATGACATCAGGATCACTACAAATAAGATCATTTGGTCCAATACGTGCCAATGAACCTTCCAGATTGAATTAGCATGGTGAGTTTCAAGTCAAGTCAAGGTATGCTAACCATATGTTTCGCACACATCATTCAACGCCTCTGGCATTCTGCCGGATAATGCTGATTTTAGCTTCCATAAATTTGAGAATGGTGCTAATCGAGGTCCAGGAATATGGCGAAGGCGAGACCATACGAGATATGGATTGACTGTGAGCGCTGTTGTGAGAAATACTATCAGGATCCCGTAAAACGGCATTCGACCGAGTAAAAATCTAAGATTCAGAATAGAAGAAGGCATTTTTTCAACGAGACTTCAACAACGAAAGCTTCATATGGTTTGGACGGATGGTGAAGATATATAGCCATAATATCGACACATTATAAGATGGGCGTGTCAGATGCGGTCATCAATAAGGTTAGTATCTCCACCGAATAAGCAGCATGCACTCCATGTAATGCCCTAACCAGATCGATTCCAATCTGCATAATGCATGAGATTGCGGGTATATATACCTGTCATCTCTTGGTACGAAGTCGGATTGAACACCCAAGGGGGGTAATCATACATGGAGGTGAAGATAGGAAAGAGAACAGTCCGTTGTTTCAGGTTCACAAAATCAGGGCAATCTTGTACCTGTCACGTGATACTAGTCAAATCCGTTTGCTTGCTCGTTCTCTCCTCGCTCACGGCTCACACCCCACGACCGATACCTCACATTTGAATCCAAGAATTGCGGATTGTTTCTAATATATAATATATAAATTAAGGTATATAAGTTCTATTCTATCTAAAAATGCAACGCTCTTACCAGGGTATTGATACCAACGACGCCATCAAAATGCAACGATGCGAAATCATCTCATGAAAAATAATCATAGACAAGTGTACTTCATATTAGTCATTCCATTCAACATATCAGTGTATCCATCATCATGATACATTGCATTACACCACCCGTTCTGGTTTCTCCTCTTCAATCGAAGGTGCAGCAGTGGTAACTGTAGTGCCCGTCTCCTCGTCGACTGGCTGATTGTTAGGTACACCGAAATCGGTTGGAGCATGACGAGACATCTTTCTCAATCTTTCACCATACTTGTAGAACAAGAAAGGAATTGGTAAAAATGCGATAGCCAAGAAACCCAACAAACTACCAGCCCATTGTACACCGAGATTGTGGAACATTGCTGTGGCAAACAATGGGAATCCAGCACCGAAGAAAGATCTAAGGAAGGTATTGGCAGCGATAGCACTGGCAGCGACAAACAAATATGAATCTATGAGGTAGTTCAAAGCTTGTAAGAAGATGGTCATAATACCGGCTCCAGTCAATATACCACTGACAGTTGGAGCGGCCCAGTTGATGGATGGATAGTTTCCTGTCCATGCAAACCAGAATAGACCACAAGGAAATAGACAGGCACCAACCATCATTGGAACAAGTCTCTCCTCTGGAACTGGAATACCACCGTTCGCCTTGAGTTTGCGATTATATCTTGGCTCGAAAGCAATGACGATACCACAACCGAAGAGAACACCAATGATCATTCCCAAATAGGGTAGTGTTGCAACTGCTGGGTCGATTCCACGGTATTCGGCGAACACAATAGGGTAGGCTTCCAAGAAAAGATACAAGATACCATAGATGAAAGCGCTATAGATGGTGATGAGAAATACGATTGGCTCTCCGAAGAGAAGCTTGAATGGGAGGAACAAATGCTTTCTGACAAGATTATCAAAGCTGATGATCTCTTCTTCACTGATATGATGAATGGCGAAGTTACCAGTCTCCTTTCGAATCTTTCCTGCTCTGCTTTGGAGGAGTGTCTTGGCGTATGTTTCCTCGAGGAACAAGATGTCGAGAATGAAAGCGAGAGCACCCATTATACCAGTGATGTATTCGGTCCATCTCCAACCAAGGTGAGAGGTGGTGATGAATGCTCCAACGATAGGCGAGATGAAAGGGCCGATAAATACCAATGCTGAGAAAGCAGCAATAGCAATACCTCGAGTCTCGTTTCCAAACATATCAGCGAACGCGCCACCGACGACAGCCAAGGGGCAAGAAGCGAAGACACCTGCGAAGAATCGACATAACATCAATGTTTGGAAGTCCTTGGCAGTTGCCGCTGCAAACATAAAGCAGGTGAAAACAAAGCATGCTAAGGTTACGGGTTTCTTTCGACCATAGAGTTCAGATATTGGACCAAAGAACAAGGGACCTGTAAGATGTTTATTAGCCGTGATGTTCAAGGTATAAATCAAGGGGATAAACATACCAGTTGCAAAACCACAGATATATAAAGTCAAACCAAGAATAGACACAACCTCACTGACGCCAAATTCGTAGGCAACTGGTGCCACAGCTGCTGAGTATACAGATGAACCCCATGATGCGATAAGAGTATCAAAACCAAGAACTGCAGCAGTTCTCATCTTCCTTCCAGAAGTCCATGACTTTGCATTGGCAGGGTCATTTTCGTCTGTTAGTTCGACGAGATAGTTGCTCTGTTCGCCAACAAGATGAGGTGGTAGTCCTCTATCTTTTCCCAATCGATATGATTTATGGGTCGTTGAGATAACGATCGGTTCATCGGGGCGGGGAGCTAAGTCGAACATCTTGCACGCAAAAGATCCAAAATCTTATGGGGAATTCGAACTGAGAGACGATCACAATCTGTGAGATGGATGAAGAAAAAGATCCATGGTGCGAGAGATCCTCCTTATTATGTTATTATTTGGCACTCTTCACTACTCAATAATTTCCGGGTAGGATGAAAGTTCTAGCGATTAGTATGATGTAAATCCACATAAAATCCACAAAACTAACGACCCACTGCGGCCGTATCATCAAGAACACAAAACTAACGATCCACTGCGGCCGTATCATCAAGAAAAGATCAGTTAACCTCGGCAAGTTTTGAGGGCTTTCTACCTTTCTCTCATAGATCCAAATGTTTACCGCCAGACAACCAACCAGATGGGAGAAAAATTTGTGATTTTGGGGTTCAAGATCATTCTACGCCTGTTCTAGATCGACAACGCCTGTGACGCACGGAATGTGGCACTGATAACTATGCGTTTCTAGTATCATGACCATGGTTCACTATAGGATACCGGTATGGGTACGCTTGCCAAGGTGAAAACTTTATTTATAATTTTGTTTTAAAGGATTTTTCAAAGAGATCAGTAGGACCGAAACTGGAAGAAAGTTCTTTCGGTGTGGTGTGATTGACTCAAGTAGGAAAGGAAATTCCACGTACCACCAAGAATGAACCGAGCCGAGGTACGACTTATCAATATATTGTTCATTTAGGGGCAAATTTCTCGTTTCCCCTACATTGTACCTAGGTACATTTCCTGTCCACGTAATTTGATTCTACATTCTCATTTTTTGCATTTCAAATCAAAAGCAAAGTAAATTCTACACATATGGCATAAAAGATTTCACGTATTGAAAGTAGACTGATTTTAATATATTTTCTTCATCATTGATCTCCAGGCTGTTCGTAGCTTCTTCGAGTCTAGATAGGTTTTCACCTTGGGAAGCACCTATCCGCTCATCAGCCGATCCGCCACATATAAACTCCGACGCTAAAAAGCTTGAGCCTCTCGAGACGCGAAACCAAATCAATCATTAGTACCCATGACGCTCAAACTTTCTGAGATGTCAGACCTGCCATCAGATAACAAAAGAAATACCCGAAATCAGCATAAGCTGTCAAATCCATGCCAAAAGCAATTCCTATGCTTATCTGCCAGCGATGCTGATTGATCTGCTTCTCTAATCAGTTGATCACCTCGATAGATCCAGTTTTCCTACACCCCCATCGGCATTGCTGAATCATTCGGGTGTTTGGCGAATAAAGTTGTGGTTAATTGCAGGGGAATTGACAACGATTGACCCATTGGAAATTCCCAATATCGGCATGAATCCAGCAACCATCATACGCACTGGTACATCTTCCCGCATAGCAGAATTCAGGGAAAGCGGTAAGACGTTTGTTGTCAAATGCCATGTGACCGACAATCTTATATGGAAGTTGACTGGCCATATTAATGTTTTGGCCCGAATACATGCCTCCGATTGTACGGCAGGAACTGTCGAAAAGGTAAACCCAATCATCCGTGGCTCCCGCATCGAGTCTTGCACGTGTGACTGTGACGGCTATGGTGCAATAGCCAGCGTCTGCATGATGGCAAAGATCTCCTCGACGAGCGATTGTTCCATCACGAGTCTCAATGATTTCTCCATCACTAGCCTTGATTGGTTCGTCAAGAGCCTTAACATCAACTGATGCTCCATCACTAGCCTCAATTGTGTTGTGTCGACGGGCATTCATGTTGTTGCATTGGAATACACAAACATTTTGCCACTGATCTTTTCCATTGCCGATAGGGACTCTGTACCAGCAAGGGTCATTTGATCCCCAGCATCTACCAGCATAGCAAATGCTGGGGTTGGTTACAATGCGTCCGACGGTACCGTCTCTGGCGGCTAGTGTTCCGACAACCTTATATGGAAGACGGCTGGCCATGTCGATATTGAAGCCCGATTCCATGAATCCATATCTATTACAGTAACTATCGAAAAGGTAAATGAACTCAGGGAGATCAGCGGTGATTCTCGATGGAGTTACGGTGATACCGATGGTGCAGTAGTTTTCAGGAGCCATGTGGCATGTAAATCCAGGATCAGCGCGAGGTGCAAGTGAAACTGCCTTGGAGACAATTGGGGTCGCGTTGACGAATGGGACAGTGATTGAGAGAAGTGAGAGAAATCCAATCATGCTTGGCATGATGCGGCTTGGATTAAGGGAAATCATTTTGAGGTTGGGTAGTAGGTGTCAGAGTTTCGATTGTAATTTAAGCTGAAGTATCGTCAGTTCTTTGCTCCTCAAAAGAAGTTTCTTTTCACTTACTGTGGATGTGGGGATGTATTGAGGCAAATGGAGACAGGGAAAGATTTAGACGTGGTGTTTTCTTGCGTAGAGAGTCTAAGGCGTTGTTCTGATGTTGTGTTGATAAAAAGTAAAATTGTAGGCGGGAGAGAGCTCAACCTTTTATGGTGGTTGAAGAGCTTGAGAAAGAGCTTGAGATACTAGCCTGTACCGTACCGTTGAATCTTTCATGAGAGTACTGTGCAAAATATCTCGAAAACATAGTATGGTTTAAGCCAATACGGCTTCAGAGAGATAACCGCTCATTTCATTTTGAAAAGGTAATTTGATTCCAAGCGAATGCCGCTTTGGTGAGCCTATCGTATATGGTGATTCAAATTATTGAAGCAACTTGAGGAAATTAGTTCGAGTGAATACTAAAAATTTGCTTCATCTACAAAGTTACACATGGCAGTCAAGAGTCGGGAAAATTTTGATAAGCAAGAAAAGAATGAAAGCCGTATCCAGGTTATTTAGCTAATCTTCATTTACAAAGGTGAAAATGTAGTCACAGATATACACCACGTATTGGATTCATCTTGAGATATATTTACCCTAAGACTTACTTAACCACAAGTCAAGGATTCACTTTGCAACGTGTGAATTTCCTCTACTCTTCCAATATCTCCAAATTACATTTTTGTCCTTTATCTTGAAATATCAGGATGAATCTTAAAGCTTGCCTTCTTAGCCCTTGAATGTACAGTATTCACCCGAACTCCATTTGTCATCCTTTGTTTCTAACTTGTATCTTTGTTAGTACCGCACCTTCGGTCAACGAGAGGGCTGCGTGTTGGTAGTTCCATCGACGTCTCTAAAGCCGGAGCACTCTACTGTTACACCCATACTTATTATTGCTACTTGACCATTTTCCCCTTCGCCTACGTAGTCTGTGTAACTATCCGGTGCCTTAGCCTCGCTTTTCGCATGCTTCGACATTTGGATCTGAATGGCACTATGGAACGAAGTTCATACCGGAAAGCCTGTCGTTTCGAGGCTTAAATCTCTGAGTTAGAAGCATAAAACTTTCTAGAAAGACTCAATCATCTCGATCCTTGGTGGAAAAGCAGATGAATAGACTTGGCGGTTATTCAGTCGTGTCAAATCTATTTTGATATATTCACTATCAGATCCTAGGACATTTCTCGTAGCGCTCTTGCGGATAATAGGGCTGATGCACTCACTTTTGACTCTTGATTCATGTAGAATCATTGATTACGGACGTCTAATGTTTTTTTCCCGGCTGGCTGACACGATAGAAGCCAACACGAGAAGTTCCATATTTCATTCGTAATGCTGTGTACTAGCCAATATGTCTCTACTTACATTTTTCAGCGAGACTATCGGTCTCGAGAAATCCTGCATGGTAACTAACAGTCTTTCTATTTCCAATTGGATCACAATTATCAAGAGCAACAGTTTGTGTTTTGCCAATGTAAGATGCCAAGCAGTACTTTATAATCAACATCAAGCTTATTTTTTCTGCGGAAATGTGGCGCGTGTGGCATAGAAAGTTTTGACTGTCTGTTTTTGAGTGATGTGCGGGATATCCAGAATTCTCCAATGTCTAATGAGAGGAGATAGAATGTCTCCTTTGGATCGAATAGTTATTGATTCTTGGCTGGGTAGTTTTGTCGATTATCAATCATATCTCCCTGAACTGACGAAGTGGGAGTGGAGTCTAGAATAAATTCGTTATACCTTTCACTGTACCATTTCGGAGGGTTAAGTGACTCTGAGGCAGAACATATTTTCCATGGTACATGCCAAGCAATATCCAAAGTATTACATTCCTCAAAAACGCCCACCATCAAAACGCGTGAAATAATTCACAACAGAGATCTTTGGAATGTAGGGAAGAACGTGTCAATATGCGCCGGGCCTCACAAAAGGAGCAGAGATTGCTCAATTTTTCTCGCTCCAGATTTCCGAAGGCATCCTTGGTTCTTCACTTCGACTTTCAATAAGATTGTTAATTGATACCTTTCGCAGCGCATCATATCGCCCTATTCATAACCACTGTTATCTAATAAAAGAACAGTTCCTAGAGGCCAGATATCTTCAAGTGGGTATCTTATGTCAAGATTGATATTGCTCATAACCGCCGAACCCCAACAACAAATCTACGCCGAAGAGGTCAGAGGTCCTAGAATTTAGGACATAAATACTCGCACATTTCCAATAATAAGAAGAGAAAATAAAAACCATCATCTCGACTTCTCGTGGCCATTCAGAAAATAAGACAGTTATCCGCAAAGAAAAGACATAGTCCTACTATTCGTTTCTAATATCAAAGCGTACGCTCATTTCTCTTTCACAATTCTCACAGCTAATCGAGAACTAGAATATACCCACAATCAGGTTATTCAAAATGCAATTCCTAAACATTACTACAAGCTCCCTCAGAGTTATCTTTGCTATTGCTCTCTTTGTCCTTTCAGCACCCACAACCGCAGTGCCAATACCACTTTCTCATACCGTCAGCTATCCTGTTTCTGGTTCCCATGAATCACACTCGGATGAGTTGCCACATACAGAGCTACAGTAGATAAATCTACTTGCACTTGGAATCTTAGGATTTGCACTAGATCTATTTACTGGGGATATTCTTTTGCGTGAAGAAGCTCAATGCTCAGGATATGATCTGGGCTATTCCCATGCAAGTGGAGAATGTAGAAACATATTTTGGTACCAACATTGTGGAAAAGAAATAGAGGGGCCACTTGGGGGACCAAGCGAGCAACCGAATAGTGTAACACGAGCGAACATGGCCTTGAACGCGGCAGTAGCAAACGATCCTTGGCCAGACTTTGACAGAGGCCCTTCACTTTACATAAACTCCGGCGTCACGAGTCGAAAAGAAAATTGAAAACAAGGGACGTTGGGTTCACATTTAGAAACACATGGCTTTAGAGTGCGGGGAAATAATGTTGGAATGGGATATGACCGAAGACCCCGGGCTTTCGAAGCGAGGTCAGATTTGTGGTTGGTGGTACCAAAGTGGAGGATTCGCACGACGTCAAACGTACGTACTGTTGGATCGCACTTGGACTTTGTGGTGGTTTGAGATGCGTCTATTGTACTTTAAATAACATTTAGCCGCCCTCGATTGAGTATTAAATAGTTACCTAGGGTCTATACAGTTATTAGCTGGTGTTTGATTGTGTTCTAGATCTTCGTGTTACCTTCCTGTTCGTGCTGTGGTATTATTAAATGCTGGTGTGTGTTTAACAAATTTGATGCTGAAGTGGAGTGGCTAGCACGGTCATGTGATAACCCCGCGCGCCGTTGAAGGTACATCTTAAAATGACTTTTATTATTCACGATATCTAGCATTCTTAAATTCTACTGAAACTACGAACTGTAGGTACCTCAATAATTCTCCTCTAATGGAGGCCTCGCGCTTCCTTACTCACCACTCAGAGAGAGATCTCTTGTCATCTACAGCCTCATTTTCTCCTCGCCCGGAGGCCTCGCGATGATTTCAACACTTTCATTGGCTGAGGAAGCAGCCAGGTCATACTGGGTAGCAAAATTTCCAGAGCTATCATTGCAGGTGGTCCCGAGGTCGTCTGGATCAATGTGCCCAGCCACCTCCCAAATTGTGCCGCACTTGTTCATCGCAGGGCCTCCGTTTGATTCAGATTGAAATTCGCGATTGCCCCGTTTCATTTTATTCATCAACACTTCATCACAACACAATTCATTTGTACTTATATTCACTGACTGAATAAGGGACATCGAGTCCTCTAAACTGAGATCTGACAGCATTTTGCTGTAAGATCTCAGATCTAATTTTGACGAGCGGAGACGTAGATCTCCGCACAGCAACCTATCTCGAGTTATGATGATTGGCAATTAGGTATGTAAGCTGGTGCGAATGATGGAACCCTTTTGCTCATTCAATTATAGGTAGAAACGACGACTTCTACGACATCCCTCTAGACTTCACAAACTTCAATTGGGATGATTTTGAACAATTCGACACCGATCCATGTTCAGAATTCCTCAATTTCTTCAACGATGAGCCGAGCTCAGAATCACATCAAGATGCTTACAGCATTTCACCCGTGATTACCGATGCCTCACCGTTTGTGTTCCCTTTCGAATCACTTCCAAATGTACCCGTCGATGATCAAGAAATGGGCTCTGGTTTTAGTCGCCCAAATGATGAGCCTTGTTACGCGCAATCACATGCTAGAACTCCTGCCTTGTACAATAGTGCCTACAACCAAACCGATGTCACCTCGAATAGCTATCCTTCTCTTTCGGCAAATGTTTCCTCCAGGAGCTCTCCACAAGAGAGTCCAGGAAAGAAGAGTATCAAAGATGCAAAGCAATTTTCCACTATTTGTCAGAAAGGTTGCAATACAAAAGCTATTCTCAGGTAAGCTCCGATGACCGTTTTCTCATTATTTGGTTAAATTCCACACTGCACAAAAGACCCCCCTTCCCCTTTTCACAAAAGAGGCGTAACAAGATTCACATTCGAAATTCTCGTGGCTTTACATTTTCTCGAGAGTTTGAGACCAACTTTAGACATATCGATATATAAGCTTCCCCCACGTCGCGTTTTTTTCTCTCCAGAGTATTGGGGAAATAATCCGAGGCAACATACACCCCTTTCAAGCCTTGATACTAACTAATAATACAAGACGACATCTCAAGATCCACGATCCGAATCTCAAGTGCGATTTCCCCGGCTGCTCACAAAAGCCATTCGCAGAGAACAGAGATCTCGAACGAGATCGCGCATCTCATGGCATTATTGGTCCTCTACTTTAATTTTGATTGTCGGAAAGTTGTGAAATGGCCCAAAGCAGTGGCTACAAAGGCTCAGGTCGAGCAGACAACATTAAGCGGCATATTAGGAGACGACACGCAGGACAAGATATCCCAGTTTTACCAATGGAAGTATAATAATTATGTGAATCTCTAGAGGGTGTTGATGAAGTCGCATTATTTCATCGACAATGTCAGAGAATTTCGAGCAACATTTTTTTTTACCACCACTACTACTCAAACTCAAACACGCTTGATTCAAATCAAATCATCTAAAATCCTGAGCTCCGACATGTCAAACCCGATCCTGATTTAAGTTTCAAACTCAATGTTGATGACGAGAAAGGACAAATGAAGAATCACAAAGCTGATATTTTCTGGGTAGTAGTGCCCACTGTGTGTAGTAAAGAATGGTGCGTCCAAGCAGCCATTTAATTTTCGAAAATCTACAAAGTGGATTCTAACTCAGGTCCTAAAGATGCATCTCATCTACTTACTCCTCTCTCGCCTGCGATACGCGACTTTCAGATTACTTTATAATGACCTGAGAAGGGGTTTACTTTTGTAGCGATTATGATGAGATTCAACAACGTCCTTCATATAAATCGTCAAATTACATAAATTCATATATTACATTACGCTAAATCATACATTCAATTACGCTTCACAACTCCCATTCCTTCACTTCTTCTCCGCCTTCTTTGGATTTTTCTCCCACTTCTTACACCATTTATCCCAACTCTTTGCGCCCTTCCCCAGAACCCCAAGTAAATCATCCTTCGCTTCTCGTTCCTGCCACCTCTCATCATCCCAGTCCCTCATCCCGCCCTCTGGCATCCCTCCTCTCTCTCCACTCTTAACCCTCCCTCTCATATCCGGTTCCCATCCCATCGCTTTCAAAACCTCCGTTTCTGTCGGTGGCACCCCCGCACTTGCAAATTTCTTCGGATTCTGCTTATGACATAATTCTTTGACATATCTCTCTAAGATTCTTAATTGTTCAGATTTATGAAAGCGGAGGTACAATTCTCGATCTTGGATGCGCATTTGTTCGTGATCATGAATTGTGTCCTGGGAGGATAATCTTTTGGTTACGGAGCGAGAGACGAGATAGCCGCGAACGGAGGTGAAAGTCCATACGGCGTCTACTTCGAAAAGACCACCGAAAGGCCAGATGACGGCGGCGAATGTATCGATTAAAAGGGTGGGGAGGAGGAGAAGAGTAGAGATCGCAGCATGTTTTTTAGCACGGGCTTTAGTGCGGGTTAGTTGGGAAAGGAATTGGTTACGGAGGTCGATAGGTGAATAAGGTATGGTGGGTGGGTATATCAGATGGAGTTCTTCGATTTCTAATGAAAGGGTCGGGAATTAGTTTGATTTTGGCGAGAAATGGATGAGGGGAAGAAATACCTTTTCTTGGCACTCGGTTGAGAAACGTAATGTCTGTATTTTTGATGGAATTGATTCCCCAGACTACTCCTCTGGTGGTTTTGCTATGAAGTCCTTTGAGACTCATAGTTTTACCATCATAAGTCTTGGCTTTCTTGACCTATGGTGAAAGGATGGTCAGCTGTGAATCATGTGATTGGATTCCACATTTCGCAAAAAAAGAAAACACACCTCACGCTGCCAGACTCGTTTTCCCTTATGTCGTTTACCTTCTTTAATGCCTTCAGCTGGTTTAAGAAGATGAGCAGCTGGTGGTGTATATACTAGGTAGCGCTAATTGACTATTAGTGAAATCCCAATATAAAATGGTAGGAAGGTTGAACCTGAGGAAATTCTGCATCAGAAACATCGATTGGTTTAGGGAGAGGTATAAGATATGCGACCACTCTATGAGATTCTCGGGTATAGTAAACTTCATTTGGGTTGTGTTGAGAGATTCTTCGGGGTGGAAGAGCTGGACCGGTATGGATACTGGAATCTGATCTGTCACGCGGGAGAGGTGATGGGTTCTCGGAAGAGCTGGTTTCGTATGATTCAACAGTGGGTATAGGAGGTCTATTCGGAGAAGGTGTTGATGTGGTATTGTGGGTAGAGTTTGCTGAAGTTTGATTCAAGAGATTCGAATTTGATCGACGTGTAAAGAGTGGTAGAGGTATAGCAGATGGGTCATCTCCAGGAACACCTCGAATCGTCGCATTATCGTCAGGTGATGAAGCCGAAGAACTTCGGGGAGGCAATGAAGGTGGTTGTGATGAAGTAAGAGGCCTAGGAGTAGTTTCTATAGGATCCGCTGGGAGTTCATAATATATGTGGTTGGCCATCTTTTGAATCTCAGTTCACTCGACAGAGATGGAAATATGGAAAAGAAGCAAAAACGTTCGAGAAAGAAAGAATGTAACAATTCGCTTTGAATATGTTTGATTTTGATACAGAATTGATAAAATGCAGTTTCATGCTGTTGTACAAGCACATGATGCATAGTGAACACGGCGCTCATGTTTGAAAGGGGAATCCTTGCTTCGAAACACAATGCAAAGAAATTCTCATTTCAAAAGCAATTGTAGCATTGAAATTGCGAATGTGTTGACCCGTTTGTTTGCTTTTTGTTTTGATCCTCATCTCCCTCATACTCCACTGTGTTGTAGACGGGAATAGTCATCTTACCAAAGTGCTCTCAGGTGTTAAAGTCAAGTGACGGGAAGGTGCACGAGTCAGATGATGACATGATCACGTGATAATGATGTTTCTTGTCGCAACTAACGATGAGAAAACGAAGCAAAGAATGATCATTGAGATATGAGTAGAGATATGATCGCGCCATATCATGAGAGAAATCTTCTCAAGTATGTCAATATCATGTGTAGCTTATCGGACTCAACTGATTTGGTTTAGAGCCTCGATGAATGAACTCGGATCGGTAACAAACGCCTCCAATCTCAATTGATCAATCGCTGTTACAAAGCATGAAGAAGAGGAGAGAGTACATAGAAGGAACTTTTAGAATGCGAATTGATCGAACGAAGTAGTCAGTATATACCGATAGCGTCTAGGCGGATGTAAGTGGCTGATCATTGTTAAATAGAAAAATAATCTCGACCTGGCTGAAGGCTCGGCGCGGAGGGATAGATTCCTTCCGACACGAACGAATGGAATCTTCTTCTATATTGGCTAATGGGCGATTAATCATCCTTGGCTGCTTCATCCAGGCGCAACTATGTAACTTGCATGTTGTCAGCCCTATTGGATTGCTTCCCTCGAGCTTCCATACCTGGGCATCATCCGTGTACCGGCAACGTCATGCTCATGCATAAGTGTTATGATGGATGCATAAATTGCAAAGAATTCAAAGGCTTCTTTGGTTCCGAATCAATGATTTTCAAATAGAGTGGTCCGGATAGATAAGATGCATTCACATCCGATATCAGAACGGAGGTAAGATATAGAAGACGGAGGATCGGACATTAACCCGGAGGAAAGAAATGATTTTATGAAAAGGATTATTATGGAGATAGAGTTTGGACTTTTCGTCATAATGCTGACTAGGTATATGTGTACGTACTATATTTACAATGGTTAGTAGCCAGTCGTCCAATCGTGTTGACTGCCGGTACTTCATTAGTAACCCATGTGTAGATCAATTGAGGCGCGGAAACAAACGAGATTCCATGAAGGGGTAGGTCGACGGGGCAGGGCTGTTTATTGACATTTCACAACTTTTGCTTTCTTCCTTCTTTTCTATTATTTCACACTTGAATGACTAGTAACCATAAATACATCAACTTCATTATCAATAATTATGTAGATATATTTATCTAGTAGATACCTAGTAGATATATGTATCTAGTTGATAGATGTACGAGTATCTTCGTCATCTCTTCGTTAACCCGCCAGAACGGCGGAGTTATGTTCAAAAGTTGACTCCTTTTTCTTTAGCTTTTATACGCACGGTACGAATTCATCTAATATAGAGTTAGATCACTGACTATGGTTCCGTCAAGTGTTGTCAAATATTATTATCCGGCACGGTGAGCTGAACAAACTGGGAATCACGAAATCATTCTCCATAATTAAAAGTAAATACTGGTAGTTATTTAACTTATACTTTTGGGGAGAAGATGCTACCCATGTAACACTTGTCAAGAATCGAATGCATTAGGGGTGAAGAAGCTACCTCCCTAGATACCTTTTTATCTTCCAAAGTTTCTATACAGTCGTCAAGCTTGCAAGATTCCTGGATTTCGCATCTTCTACCTATCATCACACACACTAATTCGCATATTCATATGTCTTTCCGATCTCCTGTCAAGAATTTCTGACAGGAATTACCCAGAAGGATCGACAACACTTGCTCTTCATCATTCGAATGTCCATTAATTGGGCGAAGCACCCCCCACTGCTTTAGAGTATCCGTACTAATATCTGGGTACCTAAGTACCGGTATCTCGTATCTCGTATCTCGCTCGGGTCGACATTCGGTATGATATAATGTCGAGAATGTATAAAACTTTCATTAGTGAGCGGATATTGGACCTCAATTATGATCCGGTATCACCTAATCTGTGAGCCCCTTTGTCAATTGAGTAAGCCACTTACCCATTTGACGGTAGTTGAATGGCCAGCTTTGGAGTTGGCTGGATTTTATTTATTTATACAAGAGATATAGCTCCCACCCACTCCATACACATTGAAAAAAGCGTTTGATCTGACTTAATTTCGACTGCATTCTTGTTCCCATCTCTTCATCGAAATTTTGGAAGACCAAAGGAACATTCAGCTCACGATTTCTCTTTGTCTTAACTTTTATGCCCACCGTCGATACTTTTATTAATATCCTACAATTCTATCCTTATCAGTAATAATTATCAGTGACGACATTAGCTATACCCCACATCCACATTCGACAATTGAGCTTGAACCACAGGACGAGTGTGCCAATTAATTATGGCTTCCGCTTCGGATCATGAGCGTCATGATTATTTCCCCGAACGATCAGACAATATTCTGAATCCTCAGTCGGAACACATATCAAATTACGAGAACGATGTTGAAGGAACGATATCATCAAGCAGCGATGACTCTCTCGATCCAGATACCACATTGGAGCCCGTTGAAACCAACGAAACTGCTCGAGAAAGACAATTCGAATCAATAAGGGCAGGAGACCGAGAACAATTACAGAGAATAGCTTCAGGTTTCGGGGGGTCTCAGCTTGGAAGAACTTTGACTAATGCTACAAATGGAACACATGAATTGGAGAAAAAAGATACCCTGTATGGGGTCAAGTTGGGAGATTCCACGTTGGACCCCAACTCCCCAGATTTTGACGTATATAAATGGGCTAAAATGTAAGTTTTGGCATGATCAATCAATTTTTTGGACACGGACTAATTGTGTACTATCCAGGATGATGAGGCTGGTTGATGAGAATGAAGTCATACAAAGACGTGCTGGAATTGTATTCAAGAATCTAAAAGTGTGTGGTTCCGGATCAGCAATAAACATACAAAAGAATGTCGGCTCTCTGTTAATGGCGCCTCTACGATTCAGAGAATTTGTCGGGAAAGGTCCGGAGAAGACCATCCTCAATGATTTTAATGGCGTTTTGAAATCAGGAGAGATGTTGATTGTTCTCGGAAGACCTGGGTCCGGTTGCTCAACGTTTCTTAAATCTTTAATGGGGGAACTTTACGGATTGGACATGAAGTCACAATCGGAAATTCATTATAATGGTTTGTGATATTAATACACCCATTGACTAGTGATGATGCTAATGATTATAGGTATTACACAAAAGCAAATGCTCAAACAATTTCGAGGTGAAATTGTATACAACCAAGAAGTTGATAAGCATTTCCCTCATTTGACTGTTGGAGAGACTTTGGAATTCGCTGCGAGTGTTCGAACGCCTCAACAAAGACTTGTTGAGGGAACAACTCGTTCAGCCTGGGCAAAGCATATGACTAAGGTCGTCATGGCTATTTATGGATTATCTCACACGTACAACACCAAAGTCGGTAATGATTTTGTACGAGGTGTATCTGGAGGTGAGAGGAAACGTGTTAGTATTGCTGAGATGGCATTGGCTGGTTCACCAATTGCTTCATGGGATAATGCTACACGTGGTTTAGATGCTGCAACTGCTCTGGAGGTAAGTAAACATTCACCATAGCAATCACTAGCACATCACTGATTCAAGAAATAGTTTACAAAATCCTTGCGAATGACTGCCAATCTGTGTGGTTCATGTCATTTAGTTGCCATTTATCAAGCTAGTCAACAGATTTATGATCAGTTTGATAAAGCTATTGTGCTTTATGAAGGCCGCCAGATCTATTATGGTCCTTGTGACCAAGCGAAGCAGTATTTCGTGGATATGGGCTGGGAGTGCCCAAGGTAAGTGCAAACAACAAAATGCCATGATTGCATGCAATTATTTGGACAATGCTGACTGAATGTAGCCGTCAAACCACAGGTGACTTTTTGACTTCGATCACCAATCCCTCAGAACGAAAAGTGAGACCCGGCTATGAGAAGAAAGTTCCTAGAACTCCTGAAGAATTTGAGAAATACTTCAAAGATTCAAAGATCTTTCAGAGAATGATGAGTGAGATGAAATCACACGAAGAGGAATTCCCAATGGGCGGCAAAACATTGGAACAATTCAAAGCAAGTCGAAAGGGTATGCAAGCAGACCATTTACGGCCAGAGTCACCATATACAGTCAGCGTTGTCATGCAGACAAAACTTTGTGCAAAGCGAGCAGTTCAACGTTTATGGAACGACAAAACATCCACCATTACTACAATAATAGGACAGATTGCTATGGCTTTGATCATTGGATCTATATTTTACAATACCCCGGATAATACAGCAAGTTTCTTTCAAAAAGGAGGTGTACTTTTCTTCGCGGTATTGCTTAATGCCCTCATCGCCATTTCGGAAATTAATACTCTATACTCTCAACGGCCGATCGTAGAGAAGCAAGCATCTTACGCATTTTATCACCCTTTCACTGAAGCTTTGGCTGGTGTTGTCGTTGACATACCGGTAAAGTTCGCCATCGCTACGTGTTTTAACATCATTCTATATTTTCTCTCTGGTCTGAAAAGGGAAGCAGGTGCATTCTTTGTCTTCTTTCTCTTCAACTTTGTCGCGATTCTGACGGTAAGCATTCCTCTAAAGCGATAATCATTTCACAATACTAATAACACTTTAGATGAGTCAAATATATCGTAGTATTGCAGCAGCAACGAAAACTATATCCCAAGCATTAGCCATAGCTGGTGTGGCCACACTTGCGATTGTCATTTATACCGGTTTCGTTATCCCTAGACCACTAATGCATCCCTGGTTCAAATGGATTTCATGGATCAATCCAGTTGCATATGCATTTGAAGCTTTATTCGTCAATGAACTACACGGCAAAGAGTTTGTTTGTTCGACTTTAGTACCAACAGGTCCTGGCTATGTTCAAACTGGTACCAACTTTGTTTGCGCTGTTGCAGGCTCTGTTGTTGGCTCGACCACTGTCAGTGGTGATGATTACTTGCAAGCACAATTTCAATACTCCTACTCTCACATCTGGCGTAATTTAGGATTCTTATTTGCGTTCATGATCTTCTTTTTGGCTTTCTACCTCCTTGCAACAGAGTTCAATGCATCCACAGACAGTAAAGCCGAAGTCTTAGTCTTTCGTCGTGGACATGTACCAACGAACTTGTTGGCCGCCGAGAAAGCTGCAAAGAACGACGAAGAAGCACATGTCGGGAATGGTTCTGCTGTCAAGGAAGGTGATTTGGACAAACAAGGAGAAGAAGTTCAAGCATTGCCCCCTCAAACGGACGTATTTACATGGAAAGATGTTTGTTATGATATTAAGATCAAGAATGAACCTCGCAGACTTCTTGATAATGTATCCGGATGGGTCAAGCCTGGTACCCTAACTGCCTTGATGGGTGTTTCTGGTGCAGGAAAAACAACTTTACTTGATGTTCTTGCCCAAAGAGTCTCTATGGGTGTAATCACAGGTGATATGTTGGTTAGCGGCAAACCCCTCGACGCATCCTTTCAACGAAAGACCGGATACGTTCAACAACAAGATTTACATCTTGAAACCACAACTGTTAGAGAAGCTCTTCGATTTTCTGCTATGCTACGTCAACCAAAATCTGTTTCTCAAAAAGAAAAGTATGATTTCGTGGAAGATGTTATCAAGATGTTGAACATGGAAGAGTTCTCGGAAGCAGTGGTTGGTGTTCCAGGTGAGGGATTGAATGTGGAGCAACGAAAGTTATTGACCATTGGTGTCGAATTGGCTGCTAAACCTGCACTCTTACTCTTCTTGGATGAACCTACTTCCGGTTTGGATTCACAATCTTCATGGGCAATTGTTTCGTTTTTGAGAAAGTTGGCCGATAATGGCCAGGCAGTCTTGGCTACAATACATCAACCTAGTGCTATCCTGTTCCAAGAATTCGACCGATTGCTATTTTTAGCAAAAGGTGGAAGAACTGTCTATTTTGGAGATATTGGTCATAATTCGGAGACTCTACTCAAATATTTTGAATCTCATGGTGCGGCAAAATGTGGAGAGGATGAGAATCCAGCAGAATATATGCTGACAATGGTTGGTGCTGGTGCACAAGGAAAATCTACTCAAGATTGGTAAGATTAATCCTCGTTCCCTGATATCACAGAGACTAATTTAATATAGGCATCAAGTATGGAAGGAAAGTGATGAAGCCAAAGATATCCAAAGAGAAATCTCCCGCATTCAACAAGAAATGGGCCATCAATCATCTCAAGATGATAGTAATTCCCATGGCGAATTTGCCATGCCGTTTACTGTCCAACTTCTTGAGGTCATGAAGCGTGTATTTCAACAATACTGGCGTACACCGGGTTATGTATATTCCAAACTTGTTCTTGGTGTGGCATCTGCTCTCTTCATTGGATTTTCATTCTTCCACGCCGATGCATCTCAACAAGGTCTTCAAGATGTTATCTTTTCCATCTTCATGATAACAACTATCTTCACCACTCTTGTACAACAGATCATGCCTAGATTCATTCTACAAAGAGATCTTTATGAAGTCCGGGAAAGACCATCAAAAGCATATAGCTGGAAAGCTTTCATCATCGCTAATATCGCCGTCGAAATTCCATATCAAATTCTCCTTGGTATCATGGTATTTGCGTCCTACTTTTATCCAATTTATACCAACAATGGTATTCCACCATCAGGTCGACAAGGTCTTATTCTCCTCCTTCTCATTCAATTTTTCGTCTTCGCTAGCACATTCGCACACATGCTTATTTCCGCTCTTCTGGATGCTGAAACTGCTGGTAATATCGCAACATTGATGTTCTCACTTACCCTTACCTTTAATGGAGTCTTTCAACCCCCACAAGCTCTTCCTGGATTTTGGATCTTTATGTACCGTGTTTCGCCTTTGACTTGTAAGTTCTTCTTTCCGCTGCTAGTAATCATCAATTCTAACGTCTTTTCAGATCTCGTTTCAGCTATCGCATCTACTGGTCTCTCCGGCCGTCAAGTAACCTGTTCCGACAATGAACTTGCAGTCATGCAACCACCCGCTGGCGATACTTGTGGTAGCTACCTCCAGTCATATGCCACCGCAGCTGGAGGTTCTATCTATAACCCCGAAGCTACAGCAGATTGTCAATATTGTTCCTCATCCAATGCGGATCAATTTCTCTCGTCGGTAGCGATTAGCTATAGTACTCGATGGAGAGACTATGGTATTGTTTTCGCATATATTGTTTTTAATATTTTCATGGCGGTTTTGTTATACTATTTGATTAGAGTTAGAAAGAGTAGCGGGAAGAGCTTCAAGGAAAAGCTGGGGGCTTTGGGAGCACTGTTCAAGAAGGATTCGAAGAGTGATAATACGAAGACGACGGGAAAGAAAATGGAGGCTCCGCAAGCTAAGGGTCATTAGTACTTAGGGTGTGGATGGTTAATATGTAATTATTTAGGTTGGTTTGTTGTTTATTAGAAGGGGGCATGCCTCCAGATGGCTTAGGCTTTCTTTTCTTTTCGTTGATATTGCTGTTGCAATTTTTTGTATATTCTTAATTAGATTAATGGTACATACCTGATTTGAAGTATCTACAATACTCGTATATCCCGTGGGTTTCAAGAATGAAAATGAGATTGGTGGGGGTGATATACCCCGCCAAAAATAATCGATGGTGCTTTCCACAGGGGTCGTGCTTGATCACGTCTCATCAAACTTGGACAGTTTTCCGAAGATTAATGCTAAGTAGCATATAAAACCCCATGCATAAACCCCATGCATACTTATGCGAATCTACCTCAAGCTCCCGGCTACCTTTGTGCACGCTCTGGTCTACGCCTAATTCGCTAGATCTACAATAATAATATACCCAAACCCATCAGGTACACAGCAGTACAATTTTAAGCCTCGCAAAGATGGCCATCCTTCCTTTCAACCCAAAGATCACTCCCCACAGCCCGCAGAGCATAAAACGTATACAACGGATCATACTTCGCCTTCACCGCATCCAAACGATCATAGTTCGCACCATAGAACACCCTCTTCCAATCCGGTTGTTGAAAATCCGCCTCGTTGAGATACGCTGCTCCATCTGGAGTCAACGCCGTAAGTGTAGGACCAATCGTATTAGTCAAGAAATTCTGACTCTGAAAATTGGCTGAGAAATCGGAGTACCTGAGGTAGGTGCCAAAGACCGCATTTATGAGCCTTTTCTCCAGTGGGTGTTGAAGGATATTTCGGGAGCGTTGGGAACGACGGTTTTGTTTACTTCGAGGGTTACGCCGGCTATTAGGAAAGGACGGGCAAAAATAGGCCATCGATTGTATCTTGCGCGACGTCAACACCTGTGACTGGAGAGATGAGGAAAAAACCGGGGCCGATGATCCAGACGATTTGTAAGCCGCTGTTGACCATCCGTGGCAATGATTGTAGGAATATTTCGATAGTCTGTTAATATGCGGTAACACCTTCTGTTATGACTGGGGGCGTAAATTGCAAAGTCGCGGAGGATATTGAAGTGACTATGGGATGGAATGCGACAGTTGCGGATATAGAACAATATTGTATATTCCTTTACCACCTTCAGATAGGGCCCAGAAGAGATCTGGATTTTGAGTAGGGGTAACTGTAACGAGTGTTCCTACCTAGTCACGACTTGTTATTCCAAGACCTGGTTAACTGTCAATCCGAATTTTGTAGTAAGCGGTCTGTGTTCATCCCTTTACTTACAGCTGCTAGCTAGTGCGATAGTAGGACAATTCCTAGCAACAATGATGCCGTTGTTTGTATCGGCAAATTCATAGGTTTGTTTAGATACGACTCCTGATCCAATTACTGCTGTTTTTTTGTATATACTAAAGAATTATACGTTTCGATAAGAGAGATCGATGTTGAATGATGTTTCCAAACGGCAAGAGCATTAGTACGTGTTGATTTATTATTATAGTCATGGCCGGTGGTGCGAATCATCAGACGAATATTCAAAAGATTGGCAAATGTGACTGCTTCTTTAACATCGTCCGTGGTAGTTGTATTGACTGTATAGTTAATATAGTTATCCAAAGCACATAATGTAGTATCCGAAAGAAAGGGATTGCACGCGTTATCTGCGAACATCCAAGCCATAGCAGAGGAACAGGAAGAGGAAGAAAGGTGGGTTTCTGGCAGAAACTAGTTTTCTTTCAACATAGCACATGCTATTGCATTATAGGTTGCAAACTGATCGTTGTGACAGACGGCCGCGATGGGGACGGTAGCAATTAGCTTTCCGCCTATTGTTTGATTGAAACTGTCCCAATCGCTGATACTGGGATAGCATTTATCTCCCGGAAAGCAGCGGCATGTAGAGGGAATTATTGGTGTTGACATTGCTTCGTATGATGCAAAGGGTACCATTGAAGGTAACAAAGCTAGCATACTGCTAAAAATAGACGTCATGATTGCGATGATCGAGAAGATATTCCCAATAACCCGTCTCGATTTTGGTAGAGCGGGATCCGTCATTACTATATCGATTATCTCGTATCGGAAAAGACGGAATTTTTGTTGGTATCTTGCTGCCGACCAATGACTTATCACACAATGTACACACACAAAAGACATCGGTCGTAAGACTCTTGCATGTCTGCATAATGGTGTCTCTCAAATTCTCGAATTTCAAGAGTTGGGGTATTGGTAGCCACTGGGTTACAGAGTACATCGGTCCCATTTCTTTTTGGGGAACCAGCCGTTGGGTTTTCACAATATTTGGAACTGCCAGCACTGGATAGTTACATTGCTAGCACAGAAAGATATTGTGTTGCAACGTCCCACAGCTTCTTAATCTGACAGATGCAATCAGCAATACTTTCGGTCGATAAACATGATATGCTCGACTCTAGGGCAACTGGACCGACTGTTAGTGCAAAAAGCAGGTGATTGTGTCGGATCACTTCAATTCTCACATTTCAGATATTAAGGTTAATGCTTGTTGGCCCTCGTTTGTAATTGTCCTTTGAAAGGTTGAAGCGACGTGGCGATTAGTTTCTATTGCGTCTGATGGCTCATGGAAGAAGAAATGCAAATAAAAGGTGATGGGAATATTCAATGGTGTGTAATTATTTCTGCTGGGTGTGCATTAATTAGCTTTACCCCGGAACAATTTTGGCATGTGAGGTGTGCGATTATGAATGGATCCACACTCTAGTGTAAATGCATGGATTACTAAGCTAATCTTGACGACATCTCAACATTCACTAATTTCAGACTTCACTTCACTCTTGTTGGATACCCGACCAAATTTGGAGTGAGTAATATCAAATTTGCTTGGGATGTATGGATTAAGATTTAAATCTAACATACATGAGCCCTTTAGAGCGACCTTTTCAAATCAATGAAAATCAGAGCACCAATGACACCATCGACAAGTTTGAGTGCAAAAGTTCCAAGCGTGACCAGCTTCAGAACAGTTATGACACAAGTCAGACTTTCCTTTCGGATTGATACCTCTGAAAGATTCCGGATCTGGATTTACTATAAATCAAAAATTTATTAGCATCAAGAACATGAATGAATAGAAATAGACTTACCGTAAGTAGTCCACATCTGGAGTTCCAGTTGGTATTGATGAACATCGGAAGATATCAAGAACCCGTAAATTTGGGGTGCAAACCCAAGTTTGGAATCAACTATAGTTTTCTGGCTTTGCTCTTCAGGAATCCACATAAATGTAGAATCTTGTTGTAAGGTGTCATCAAATTCAGTCAAGTGATGACGAACTTGCCCGTCAATTCCGACTTGTGTATTGAATTCAGCTTCGCATTCAGCTTGAGGGATAGCAGATTCACTGCGCTGGTCTGATTGCGAAGCTCCAAAAGGTGGAGAATCATGAAACGGAAAAGATGGAAGCTGATCAGCCTTTACCGGAGTTTTGTTGGCATTGAAAAACGAATAGCCAGATGAGTTTGCGGCGCTCTGAATCAAATCAGCACCCATAGTCTTTTGGGGCAGCGCGGGAGCTGGACCACGGCGTGTGTTTTGTTGACCAGATGGTGTGGGGACTTCGGCTGGGGCAGTGACATTCTTCAGATTGTCTCCGGCAGCTGGAACGCAGAGTCAGTATGGATACCAATGGTGTGAATTCGAATTTTCAGAGTGGATTTACCTCTTTGTTTGGCTGTAAAACCTGCAAGAAACTCTTCGAAGGTTTGTGTCTTGGCCTGGCTCTCAGCAGCTTCAGCTTTCTTCCTATTCTCCTCTGTGGCAGCTGGAACGCAGAGTTAGTATGGATACCAATGGTATGAATTCGAATTTTCAGAGTGAATTTACCTCTTTGTCTGCTTGCAGTTTCCTCAATAAAATGCCTCAAAGTCTTGACCTTGGGCCGGTTTTCACCCTCTGTTCCAGAGAACCAGGCGTTCTTATCGATCGCCATTGTCGATTTTTCTGAATTTATGGTTAAAAAATGCCAACCACAGTCAAGGTTAAGGATGAACAATTACTCACTGGTTGATTGTTGATTGCCTGCTTCTTCAAGCAATTCCATTCTTCTTCTCATGTTGTTGACTCGATTTGCCATCTTTTCCGTTGTTTGAATTTTTCAAAGTAAAGGTTCGAGGTTTATTTCACAACTGAGGCGCTGATAATAGAACTATCGGCTGAAGCTGAAAGACTTGGGCTTGTTAGTGTTATTTTGGCAATCGCTTAATTTCGCACTAAACCATTTTGATCTTATTAATTCTTCAACGGTTGCTACTTGACTTTTACCCACATACAACCACAAAAAATCAACGATCCGAATCAACAACATGGCAGATCTCAAACGTGCTTATGCACTCCCCTATGTATCAGTTGCGCCAAGAATCAGACAGTATCTTCAAGATACAAGAGCAAAAAATAAGAATGTCTCCAACTGGCTGACACACGACGCCACTGATAAATCTCCATTATCTCTGGATCAAAGTCTGAAAGCTATCAATGATGTGGTGGTTTTATACATCAACAATACGGCAACGCCAGATTCTGATCCCGAGATCGTGAAGTACCAAACTGAGCGCCATGCTTGGGTAACCATCAGTAAGTGAGATTCTGAGATGAGGAAAATATCTTATTAACAATGGATTACAGACATGATTTTCAATCTGAGAGCTGATTTCCCTGGCGTTTATCCGTATCTGATCACTCCAACCGCCATACAAACCCCTGAACAAAAGTCCAAGTGGAAGTCTGTTTCTGTAGAAGATGTTGCTGTTTGGAAGAGCATGGGCAACCGTGCTATGTTTCAAGGGAAGGAAACTCTAGATTTGCCGTGGTCGAGACTTCTGAAGACCAGCCTTCATGGTTGGAAGATGGAGGATGGAATCCCCATCCCATTCTTTGGGCGTCTGATCCACCACCGCCGAGCATTCCTCCTGACCACCGGCATCAACTTCCGGACAATGACCAGTTTCCAGAGGAAGGTCGGGTCTCGAATCAACGTCACCGTTGAAAGACCTGATCGAAGAGACGGAGAAAATGCATCCATGGTCTGCATTTATCTGAACATCAAAAACTCTTCTGATTATCGCAAAGATAATATTCTGATGGATGTCGCGTACATTTTGACCTTCCTGAGCATGTACAAGACCACCGTCGGTCAATACAACTCTGGTCAAGTTGAATGTCCTGACATTGTCCAGATGTGGGACTCTTTCGTGACTTCTGATTACCCACATTCTGTGGCGTTTAAGTTGCCCCCTCCCATCGTGGCCCCATCTGAACAAGAAGATGATGACGCTGAATACGACCGCATGGCTGAGGAAGAAGATCGAAAGATCAAAGAGGCTGAGGAGAAGGCAAAGGCCGAGCAATTGGTACGTTATCATCTTGTACTTGTTTTTTTATTCTTTTCGATTTATACTGACATCTTATAGGCAACCAAAGCAAACAAGGCAGCTGAAGAAGCTGAGGAGAGAAAGCGGGCCGAGGAGGAGAAGGCAGCCGAAGCAAAGAAGGCAGCTGAGGCAGAGAAGGCTGCTGAGGCAGAGAAGGCAGTTGAAGAAACTAAGAAGAGAAAGCGGGTCGAGGAGGAGAAGCCGGCTGAAGAGAAGACATGGGTATGTTCTTATTTTGTAGTTGTTTTTTCAATCTTTTCAAATCATACTGACAACTCATAGGAACACCCTCTGATCAAGAATCCTCTCCAAAAACCTGATTGGTTTCACCAGAAGACTTTAGGTGTAAGTTTCATTGTTGGATCCCTTCACTCAAACATGACACTAACCATTTTATATAGTGGATGATTTCAAATTACTCTGAAGAATTATCGGGAGATGAACTCTTAATGGTGTTGAGAAGAGATTTTGGTATCCGTACCAAAGTCTGATCTCCGAATCGTGTTGCGAGGGATGAATCATTTCTGATTCATACTCTGAATTTCAGTGGCATATCAACATTGCTGTGGGTATGAAGTAAAAGAAATAGCACCACAATACTACCTTCTTCAAACGTATATTAGTTTCATTGTGATTCCTTCTCTAGAATGCTTTAAAATGTTACGTTGCTCTGGATTTGACAGGCTGTCATTGGAATGATCCTCAAACCTCAATGTGTAGGAGTCCTAAGAAACCCAATGAAATAAATGAGTAGTATGATCCTAGTGCCCTTAATTATTATACTCGCAGATTGACAGAGAAGTTTGAGGACTACAATTATGTGATGTTGAAGCAGAACTGTCAATTTACAAAACTACAAGGTAAAAATTTCTTCGATATGTCTTCAGTCCGAACCAAAATCCAGGCTTTGGGGAAGAAAGAGACGAAAAAGTTAATCTGGCAATTCTGGTATGAGATCTGACTTGACATTTGCGCCGTAGCTGCACAACTTAACAAGCAGAATAATACGAGAATATCACTCCATGAACACCTAAGAGTACACATGTTCATGAAGACTCATAGAAAATGGCACATAATGCATCAGACCATACTTTTATGGTGGGTATAAGCCCTTCATCTCCTGAGATTCGGGGACTCCACTCTAATACACCCAATCCCCAATCGGTATACAAGTGCCAAATCGTAAACTACACATCCGTGTATTCTAATCACGTATGGCAATGGTCACAGCAGAGAACTGTTAGGCAATATGAAAGTGAGATGATATTTGAGCTAGTGTAGCCATCATGTGACCATGATTCGTTGCGCGGAGACCATGCGAGACTTCGAGATAACCACAAATTCTGAGCAGAACACAAACATCAAAGCACAAAACTTTGCAACTTTTACTTCAGAACTGCACATATCTCAACCAGGATGTCAAATCTGAGACACCATAGAGATTATTCTGAAGATGAAGAAATTCGATTACCTGTTCCAAAACGAGTGCCGATAATTTGGTCTGATGAGGATGATAAAGCTCTTGCTGAAACATCATCATGGGAAATCCGAATCTGGAGGAAAGTAAAGGAGTTATATGGAATTGACGCCACAGACATTATCCCTCCAAACACAACAGCATCTTTTCTATCCGATCGTGGAACCAACAACGTCCCTGTTTGGGCCATACTTCCTGCTCGGAGATTGACAAAGCTACTGAAATGTCCAATTTTTGGTGGTCATCCTAGATTGAACTTATTACATTACTCAATGTTATGAGCCAGATTTCATCGCCTGCCTCATTCGAGTATGACTCCGAACAATACACGAGTACGACAATATCTGGAAAATCATATGCCTCCATTACCCGAACCTCCAAGGAGTCTGCCATTACACTCCGACTTCACTAAAAACATCAAGAGATGCGCTGAACAGAATCCCAGGGAATCGTCCGTAGCTTTAGGAATTTCTTCTTTGGATTTAGATATCATCATAAACTCATGGGATGTATATGTTAGGGAGAACCCTGAACATGGATTGAAAACCGTTGCTGAATATTCAGCTCGGAGGACCGAACGTATACCGGCATCCGAGAATGGGGCAATTTTACAAATGAAAAAGAGAGCATTGGTGAATGCATTTCGTCGACCTGCAGACAGGATTGCTGATGATGCACAAATGCCCGAAGAGCCAAATGATCTCGAATCTCCTGATATGACTTCTGACGACGAATCCCCCATCCAAGGTCAAGAGGATTTTGAAAATCTCGAGCGTCAATCTGAGCCTATGGCTGAAAATCCACCACCTGGGCAGCCAGCACAACATAGACGAGATGGACGGCGTGAGCCTGTAGCTCAGAATCATTACCAAAGTGACAGCGAAGATTCTGAGTATCAACCCAGATCCAAAGCTCCGAATGGACCATACAATCGTTCAAGAAAGCACCAATCAAATAGAGACGAAGAAAATTCTGAACACCGGCCGGACTCTGTAGCTCAGTATCAGTCATCAGAATATTCGGCACAACACCAAAGCGAGAGTGAAGGTTCTGATCACCAGCTCAGCCCCGCAACCCTGAACAAGGCTTCTGATAACTTATCAGTACGCCAGGGAAGAGGTCGGCGTAAGGCCGGAGCTCGGAACAGGATGATGAAGCCTCCTTCCCCCCAAGGAGGTCCTTCTAGCGGTCGTCCATTATCCAAACAGAATCCTCCCGTCTTGGCTGAAGTGATTGTCATTTCCTCTGACGATGAATATCCAATACAAAAAAGAAGCCATAGAGCAGGACCGAGAAGAGGGAAACCCCTCCCTGAGACAACGAGAACACGATCATCTGAACACTTGGCACAAGTAAGACCAAAGAAAGAATCCAAAGCCGAGCCGATAATTGATAATGGGATTGGGCTTTACGCAAGAAGTAGAAGAGGAGCAGAAGATTCCGGACTCGAAGGAGAGGCAGTTGCGACCGATCCTATGACTCGTACACGATTGTCTGATTCACCCATCCAATACCAGGGAGGACCTTCACATCGAACCAAGCTACCTTCACATTCTATGCAGCGTCGAACAGGATGGGAGGATTCTGATATAGAAGACGAGGACAATCAGCCTGAGGTCATGATGAAAGATTCAGCACAAAGCAGAAGAAAAGGAAATTCGAAATATCGACATGAGGCTCTGAGTTCTCTATCACAAACCAGAGGACAGATAAATTCCGAATATTAATTAGAGCCTCCGAGCTCTTTCCCAATCGGGGCGGAAACTCTGATTATCAATACAGCCCCCGAATTCCTTGTCTGACTGCAGACAAAAAGGAAGTGCTGAATCTCACATCCAGTCTCTACCCTCTTCGGCACAATACCAAAGAAGAGATAGAAGTGCTGATGATCAACTGGGACTTACTCCTCGCACAAAATCACAAAATCATTCGAACAATCGCCGAGAAGAGAGCTATCCTGAGCTAAATGACTGGAGTAGTTTGTATGACGAAGATCTTGGAGACGATGAAGAATCTGAAAGATATATCCCTGAAGAGAAATTTCGTGTTCACAGTTTCGGCTTCAAAGATCCTGCACTTGTGGGAGGAAACGATGAGGTGAGTGCTTACGCATATACCCGCCACGCAGATGCTATTCAACAGATACTAATATTTATCAGGTCCGCAGACGAAGACGTGAACAACTTGAATCGACAATCACCAGAAATACTTCTGAGAGCCTTAACGAGAACAAAATTCACAGATCCGAAGAAGATGTAAGAACAAGCTGGCACAAACATACTCCGCACATGCTAGTTGAAGGAGAACGTATTCATGGAGCTCTTGGGCCAGAAGTCAAGGCATTCGACAAAGTTCTGCTACAAGAGGCTAATATACAATCTGATAATGGTATGCGGGCTCTGAGTATCTCGGAGGAGAAGGAGATAGTGCCCTGGAAGAGATTATCTGATAGGAAATAATGAAGTGCGGTAAATATCTGAAAGATTCAGACCTAAAAGAGATGTTGCTAGATCTTTGGATCATGGTTTCTATGGATGGTAAAAGACTAGACAGTAGTATTCTGCACTTGCTTTGACTTCGACGGATTGATTAGGAATACTCCGCTGGGAACCATGGATGCTGAAAGCTTCTATGAAGAACCAAGTCAGAGGTTGATTTCGATCACATGGGGGTTTAGTTTTTGTAGTGGATTAGCTAGCTACTAAGTGAATAGAATCAATTCATTCAATGATCGAAATAGGAAAGACTGTATGATTTGATAGGCTCCTGCCAATTCTTGACATTGAATCACTTGAGTCCCTCGTAGCTTCCCTATTATTTCCCGTCAAAACGAACGAATCTGGAGATTCTTTTGCATACATCTACAGCTTCAGACATAGACTTATATGATTCAACCAATATCTGCTGTAGTCTATCTTGTCCGCGAGTTTCCCGAATTGTAGCAGTGTATCGTGTCTGGTACTCTAGTTGACTTGTTTGATCAAGCAAATGTTATCTACATCTCTGCCTAATAGATTGATTAGACATAGTCTTCAATTTGTAAATTAAATTGATTCAGAAATGAGACTATAATTTTTTTCTTAATAATAAGATATCAATAATAAAGCTCTAATTATTAAAAACAATTGAAAATCGCTTAATTCCACACTAATTTCTTCCAATCTCATTATCTCAGCCATTGCCAGGAGAATTTTTTCCACACACAACCACAACAAAAAATTATCAACTTCAAATTTTAAACCATCAATCATTAAAAATGGCAGATCTCAATTCATTCTATGCGCTATTATATATAACGGTGGAACCACAAATTCGTAAGCATCCCGAGAAGACAAAGAAAGCAAACCAAAATCCGATCAACTTTTTGACGGATGATCAAGTTGATGGAAAAGAGCTGACTCTCGATCAAAGCTTCAGATCTCCGAAGATCATAAATGCCAATTCAAACCCTCGCAGTGAGGTACAAGGAGCTGATTGCTCTTCCACTTACGTGGATTGTTCGATCTCATCTTACTCTGAGTAAGTAAGACTTTGGTTCTCTCCATGAAGAATAATTACCTTCGATCTATCGCTGACTTTTTTTCTTACCAGACCGAAGCCGAAGGTTCTGATCAAGATCGAATTCGATCCTGATTACGTGCTATTCAGAACGTAAGTCTTTTGTTTTCCCTACTCAGAATACTTGCTTTCGATCTATTGCTGACTTTTTATCGTGTCACAGAGAAAAGTTCTTCTGATTCGCCCACCCACCAACTCTGGTTGCTGTTGGACAAGCGGTAAGTGTTCCTGTCACTCACTTTTGGTGAATAATTACTGACGTTCATATTGGATTCTTAGGCGCCATGTCTGACAGCGGTCCTGTCACACCAGCGGCTGGAAAGCGCATTCATTCACCTGAAGGAGAATCTTCAAACAAACGTCTGAGGTCTGCTGATGCATCAGCCAAGGCACCAAACCCAGCGTCTGCACCAGTGGAGACCAACCCTGAAGGTGAATCTTCATCAGCAGCGACTCCGTCGAAGATTCAGTCTCTCTTGTCTTCACCTCTCATCCAATCCACCTCCATCTGATCCAAAGGGACCCTACACACCCCCAAACATCACACTCATCGCGCGCCACATCCAGTCATCATGTCTTGATGAAGCTAGAGATTGGATTCCCGCTGATGGAGATGGAGTCGAGTCAAAATGGGCTCAAGATCATATCATCTTCAATCCCAAATCCGAACCAGACGATGCTTCGTCGTTTCCCCGATTCAGGTACTATTTTGATGCGGCAGTTTACGCTCCCATGAGAGTTGTCGGTCCCAGTGAGAGGTGGAAGTATGCACCTGCTGATTTCAACTCACATGGTGAGATTCTAAGCAAGAGAGTGTCCGTTGGTTTGCCAGCGGTTTCTGATAATCGTCAGATTGTCAGATACGACAAGAAGCCTCTCCGTGGGAGTGTACCTTTGGTACTTCCTGATCACCACCTACCCGACTACGTCGATTTCGACAAGACAAACAAACCTGACTGGCCAGCACAAAAGTTCGGCGATCTCGAAGTCAGACCAGTCCCGGAAACAAGAGAGAAGCTGACAAACGAGGCGGTTTTTCGGAGAAATCAACAGAGGTATAAAGAATCTGGATTGAAAGCACTATCTGGAGTGCCTGACCACGATGACGAGCCAGCATCTGACGAAGCCAACGTTCAGACTTCAACCAAAGCAATTGCGAGAACTGGTCCAAACCCTTCCAGACCAGGTCATAGCCGGAAGGCCAGCCAACCTTAACCGCTGAGTGGGCCGCCAATTATGGCACCGCTGACATCTCAGAACAATAAAAATTCTGATGACGTCTTCGCAAACTCAGTTGTTGGATTCGGGAAGGCTAACACGAAAATTCTGAAGGCCAACCTTCAAGAAGAAATTACAGCGATCGGGGAGATTGATGTTCGAGAACAACTGTCCCCAAGCTACAAAACGAAGTTCAAGGTCAGAAAAATGTAGATCTCACCCGTTGTTCTGAGATCCAGACTCTGAAGGACAAAAATGTCGTGCTCGTGAAGCAGACTGATCGCCTCAGACAGGAGAATGACCAGCTGCAAGCTGATCTGGATAAGCTGCGAGGAGAGCACACTGACCTGGAGCGCCGATACAAAGAAAAGGCACAGTCTACGGAAAATCACGTTAGATCGTACCATGCATATTATCACTCTTTGTGCAATATGGCTGATTTCGCCCGCGAGGCAATCAACTCGGCCCCTTGGTCTTTGAAGAGTCAAGCTGATTGGGTCAAGGCCCTCATGAGCAAGACTCTGAAACAGACTGAGTTGAAAGAGAAAGCCAGTGCGAGGTACAAGTTGCTGATGGATGCTCATACCAAGATCATCACCACCAAAAAGCTTCCCCCACAAGTTTTGGAACTCATCTCTGGTGCAAAATTTCTCCCTTGGGGTGTCCATCAAAATTATCCGTCTGAAGGTTACCCTGTTGACAACGTGGGTCTAAGACTTCTTGATAAACAACCGGATTCCAGGCCTTTCAAATTTATCGATGAGCCTGAAAGCGATCAAGCTCCTGCTGTCGATACAGACAAGGAGATCATTGCGATCAGCTCCGATGAACCCCAATCATCCGATCCAAGCTCATCTGATGAAGAAGATCATCATACTGACATCGCGCCTCAAAATCCTCGCAGGCGTTTGGACTTCAATCAGGCCATTCCTGTCTCCCTTCAAGTTTCAAAGAGAAGTCACACTCGAGTGACGGAACCCACAGCGACCAGTCTACCCGCCGGCACCGGGCAGAGATTAGAGAGACACCGCAATCGATTCTTCCCTCGTGATTCGGAGTCACCAAATCCCTCGGAAAATCGGGCTGCTGTCAGGAAGGCTGATGAATCCGCTCGTCACATTGCTCTTAGTGAGCCACAAGTATCTCAAGATACACAGAGAGCGCTATGATTAACATATCTTCCATAGCTCCTATCCCTACTTTAGAGAGATATCCATAGGAAATTAAAGTCTCAACACTTATTGGTTGCTAAGGGCAAATGTTAAGCTCACATGTATATATATAGGAGTATTTCCAAATAATTCAAATAGTTGGGAATCACATTGCAAAAGTCACTTGGTATTTAGATTTATTTACTCAGTGAAAATCTCATTCGATAGCATCATAATTGCTAGGATCTAACTATGATAGACACTTTATGTCAATAAACTATGATTTTGATGTTGCCTTGATCAATTGCCCACATTGACTTCGTCTCTCCCTATGAACAAAGGATTAAGAGAATTGAAGTAATCTAGAGTCATTCCCTTCCCCCGCAGCCACTCTCTATTCCTCATCCCTATCTCGAACAACTCTCTTTCTTCGCAAGGCTGCAAGATCAAATTTGTATTGACAGAATCTCTCCTTGTACACATCTGCCTTGAAAAGATCTCTCCATGCAGCTGTCATTCCTGCGACTTGCTTGTCCATGTCCTCCTCAACTTTCAGGGCAACCGTCTCGAATTCATCGAACTCCCGATCCTCCATCATTCGATCCAGCTTACCGAGCATGGTTTCTCTTGGCCATGTTGCACGGAGGTTATCGAATCTACGCTTCTGTCTGCGGAACTCTGCAGCTGTATCAGGGTTCTTCTTGCGCTCAAACTCTGCGGCATATTTTTCGATTAATAGTAGCCAGTGAGCAAATCCAGCATCTTTTCTCTCCCAAAATTGGTCTCGTTCAGATTTGAAAGACTTTAGCTTGTTAGAAGCATCTAGCAATCTCTTATACTGGAGTCGCAATTGCTTGACCACTTCTTCCCTATACTGCTTGAAACTAGAATTTTGCATAGTCAAATCGGCATTTCTGGCTTGGAACAGAGACTCTTCCAGGTCGTTGTTGCCGTCTTTGTTGCGGTTTGGGTTTGGAACATGATACTCAGTGTATCTCTTGTAACCGAACTCGATAAGTTCATGTATGTCCTCCGGATGAGAACGAATATTGTCGTGCATAGTTAAGGGAGCGCGGAAATTCATGTCCATCTTGAAGGGAAGATATCGCTCGAAGCTCTCCGCGAGAATGACAAGCTTTTCTCGCATCGTGAATATTCTGTTTACTTGGTTAGCATATAATTTTCGTATCAAAGGGATGGAAGATTCTTACCTCTCAACTGGTCTATTGCTTTGTACTAGATTTTGTAGCATGCGAGTCAATACTTTCCCAGGCTCGTGGGAATTCCAGACAACTTCGTCTGGATTGAAGCCGTCAATTTCATGGAGGAAGGGTGGGTACTCATTTCTGATGGTTAATTTTCCGACATTGCGTAACATGGTAAGTGGTGCTAGTGTTTCCCATGGCTTCCACGTACGGCATATTCCCAACCGCCCAACTTGAGCTGGATTAGGTGGACCGGTTCCTGTCTTCAACATTACAATCTCGATCTTCTTTGGACGAGCGTCGCAGACTGCTCTACAGAATTCGTAGAACTGTTGGTGTGAATCGATTTTATCGACAGATGAATCGACGAGAACTTTCAAGGAACGGGCTTGTGTCATTGCCGAAGACTTGACAGGAATCTCAAGTCGAGTGAGTGGAGAGGTAAGCTTGTATCTGTATCTCAATATAGGACAAGGGCATGACATAACAGGTCTTTGCCCCAAGCGTCCACCGCGATAGCTGTAATCGCACTTGATAATGAAGGTTTGGTCGTACAAGACCTCCGAAGCTTCTGCGTAGACGCTGCGACATGTGCGTAATATGGCCGGTGTGAGTCCATAGGTGGCTTCGACTCCAAACTCGGTGTCTGCTTCAATGGCCTTCATGGTTCCTAGAACTGGATTTACTAAGAGCTCCTTGTAGATCATTCGTCTAACCTCGAGTGGGAGCTTGTCGAGTGCAGATTTTTTGGATTTGGTCATGATGTTTGGCTTTCTTCGGGAAATCCAGCGTGAGCCCTGTCGAGATTGTGTTTGGTTATCTAATTACAGTTAGCATGTTGTAAACCATAGGAGCTACCGAGAAAAATTTGATATCTTACCATTTATGTCCGTCATCTCAATATCTGAGTCGTCTGAAGAGAACATTTTGACTGGTCAGAAGTCACGAAATATTTGAATAGAAAGTGTATTTTTCTCTGTATGAGTATCTTTGAAGTTGGTTTGGATGTTTATTCTCTGATTGAGAATGAGAAGAAGTTGATTTGGATGTTTTTCCTGCGAATGAGAATGGGAGGGAGAGCTCAGTGGATTGAGAGGTTTATATATTAATTGTATTGGATGCCATGTTCGCAAAAGTTGCCGTACACTGTACTGAGTTGGTAATCCTCATCAGAACCGTAACGAATCCAAATGTTTCCTCAAACCGTGCCAAATCGTATGGTCACATCCCAAGTCTTTAGTACGACAGTAGCAGTGACCGTAGTAAACTCAGAGGACTAGCAATTCAGTTTACTATTCCATGTAGCCACTACCGAAGTTGCTCATGACTTATCACCAGGTAATGACCGTAGATAAAATCATGGTGGTAAAGTCCGGCACAATGATTTGGTTGCATCAACTAAATCAAAGTGAATGCAGTACGGTCCTCATAATTTTCAAAAGAGATGATCTTAACCGTACCTAGTTCTCTGTCAAGAACCATACTTGGATATGGATAAAGACAAGTTATACGGACCGTAATACCATATCAACGCCATTAGAAACGGCGCATGGGCCGTAATGAGACATGTATAATGATTGATAGATGACGGTGAATTAATTCTACCTACCTACATCATGGTGTTTTTAAATGGTGTAGAAGCATCACGTGATGCACTATCTTGTCGTTTAAATGCAGATGATGTCCTATCGTCTAATATCTAGGCGAACGAGATGGATTGGAAGATGGTTTATACCCATCATGATACGTACAATCATCTAATAGAGATGGACTCTCGGTAAAGATCTAGTCTATCACTCAATCACTCAATTATTCAATCGCTCAAATGCTCATATTCTCAGACGCTCAATCAGTCATGTTCATGTGGAAACAAGCACTCAAGTTAAAAAAGTATCCACAAACGTGCATGTCTAATAAGTGTTGAATGGAAACTACATATTCACTAGATGGAGTTGTTAATCCGAAAATCTGGAGAATCTGATCAATATCATCCAATGTTATTTTAAAGCAAGTATGAAAGCTTGCATTAGATTTCACAATGAGCCAATCACAAGAGATGGTATTAGAAAGGTGGAAACTCGAGTATCACTACTAATTCAATAGTCAGACGCCTTTGATGTCTGAATTCTGGCAGGATTCATTGCTTCGGTATAAATCTCTTTTAGCCACGCTATATTGAGCTTGAAGAACTGCTTCCACTGGTTCCAGGTTGTAGAGATGCTCCAAATGTCGCGGTTGAAGAATAAAGTGTATTGCGAACTCAAAAATTGTGACTAATCGTTCAAATTAGTGAAGAAGTGCCGAAAGAAAATGTTTCATGGGGGATTGAATTCTTGATATATTAGTTCCTTACTTTCCTGTTAGCCTGGTGATAGATTAATTGGGTCTTTTGATCGGACTTGAGCAAGAAAATTTATCAGTCGTTAGATCTGTGATCAGAGAGAAAAGTTATCTTGCTTAATGATTTTTGCAAGGGGCCCTTGTACCCCTCTTCTTCCTACATGTTTTACAGTCTCTTAACATTTCCCTAGGTGGTTTCCGCAAGATAACATAAGACTGTGTTGAATGATTGTCGGGATGATGAGAGGGTACTGTATTAGCTAGCGAGGCGCTAGCGCTTCCATATATAAATACTAGCTTCCCATGATTAGTAATGATCAAGAACGATTACAATCATAATAGACTAAAACACTTTACACTTATCAACCAAGTTGACTATCAGCAATAATAAGCAACACAACAATCTTGCGGAAGGCACGCGATTTTTTTAAGGATACAATTCTGTGGTCCAACTTGATACAAGTCACGACAGTGAGATAGCAGGGACTGAGGACAATAGCAACAGAGAAGTATGGTGTGCTAGCTTTATTCATCCGCTTTTCTAACACTTCAATGAACAGTCACGAAAGACTCCTAGAATATCATCTGACTGCCTCTGAGCGATCCAATTTTTGAACATCTACCACAATGGAAATCGAAGCCGTTCTTGATCAAGCCGATCCGCCCCCATCACTCAATACACTGCCGCTGGAGGTTCGATTCAAGATCTTCAAAGAGCTACTCATTAATCCTGTTCTAGGAGAATTGGAATCTATTCTGGGAAACTACCAAGTCCAGGCTCCATATGACCCTATCAAATATCATCTGCATCCTTCGATTCTCAGAGTCTGTCGACAAAACTACGAGGAAGGATGCGAGATCTTGTACTCTCAGCCATTTTTACTATGTTATAACAGAAAACTGTTAACTATGGGCCATCCGCAAGGGGATAAAAACATATTTACTCCTCTGTTGAGGTATGGTAATTCATACCGCCAAGAAGGCCTGGATTGCAAAGAAATCAAAGCAATAACACAACCGGCATTTAAAAAGGTTCGACAATGGAGAATAATTATTAGCTCGTACACGGTTAGCAAGGAAATAAGACCGGAGTGGGAGCACAATCTGTTTCAACACTTCTGCGACCTTGTGTTCGGTGTTTCTATCAGAGAGCTTGAGGTCATACTATGGGACCTAGCCGTACCCGAATATGGCGGGAAACTTATGGAGCCACGACAAACTTTCCTGCCTTTGACAATCCTTCGAAACGTAGGAAACTTAACTATCAGGGAGGCGGCACTGGATGAATTCCCACCACCTGCACCACGAAAGAATAGTCGCTTTTCGCAAAGCAACAGCAAATTGTTGCTCGCTTATCCCGACGAGTCGAACCTCTTAGACAAGAAGTCATACAAAAAGTTGAAGCGCTTAGTCGAGGGTAATAGACCGGTCGAGAGGTAAGTTGTGACATTTGAAAAGTAACTTTACAGCGACAACAACTAACACAAACAGGCTTTCTGAAATGAACAGACACCTCATCAATTTTGTACTGTCTTTCGAGAATTTTGCTCCATGGAAGCTAGACCTGAGAAATATGGGTGAAGATGTAATAGCAGTAGCTCATAGTGGAAATGCGCCATTTCGCGGGCGAGAAAAGTGCTTTGACTTGAACCCCTATATGACTGATCCAAGAAACTTTCTTGAGGAGGCGTTTAGAAAAGCAGCGAAAGCCTCGCTGAGTTTTGATAGTATGGGATTCAAATCCGTCAGAGCGGACATCGTTAAGCATCTTCAGCCACAGTACAATCGCATTGTTAATGCTTCTCGTGTCTTGGTAGCTGCCATTGAAGAGGACAAAAGTAAAATGTACCGGGCTCTTAATCTACAGTCAACAGGAGGATACGATCACAAATGTGAGGCTGCTAGACTGGTGATTTTAATCGAGAAGTATGCTGCAGCCTTCGAACGTGATCAGGATGAGAGGACTGAAATTGCATTTCGAGTTGAAAGAAAAGAAATAAAGAGTTTTCGCTTGGATCACCCAAGAGAAATAATGCTTTGAAGACTAGGAAGAGCCTTTGAGCACGGAAGAGATGACTTGTTTATAGACGCGTTCAAAGATTTGTTGCGTGATCTACAGGCTCAGTTCTCGGAAATCAAGCAGAGCTGGAGAGATTTATTCAAAAGCGACACACATGGAAATACGATGCGTCGTACAGAGTATGATAGCTATAGCGGTAGTTTGGATGGTATTATCGACTTGGCAGTCTGATAACCAACTATTTGGTTCTGAATTGGGACATTCAGCAGGGTGTAAATGGTCATTGAAATAACGAGGACATCAAGGAAGCAGACAAAAACTGTGGTTATGCATGAGCATTGGCAGTCATGTTCAGCTTGAATCAGTTTGTTTGAGTTTTTGAAATTTGGGTGAAATTATGGAAAGTTTGTCTTTTTTTCATGCTTTCTTTTCTTAGAGAGTTAGACAACCGATCAATCACTCTGTATCAAATACTACCTTCTCCATTCATACAACATTCCCAAAGATCTCAAATGAACTTTTTGTAAGAGTGATTTCCTTGTAAATCAATAAAATGCATACTTTGCTATCATGGATTTCTCAACTTCTTCCTCCCTGCCATTCTCTTACGTCTTTCTTCTTCTTGTCTTCTCAAATCTCTGTAAAAAGCCAATTCTGGATCCTCATCATCCGACTCCTCATATTTGCTGACCTCTTGACGACTTTCGCTAGAAATAGCCACAGGTTTCCTAGCTATATTTTCCTTTGCCACGGGAGAGTCTGGCTCTATATCCCCACCAAAATCTAGTTCCTCAACTTCCACTTCCACACTTTTACTTGGCTGTTTCAAGTTAATACCCTCGTATCGATTTCCAGTCTGAGAAACTGAACTGCTCTTCCTCTCCCTTCTTCCTGCGCTCAACAATTCAACATTTTCAAACTCCAAATTCTCTGTTCCCTTCCCCACTTCAAGTCCCCTTAACCATCCAATTTCCGCCAGAAGTGCAATATGCTGTTGTTGCAAATTCCCTCTTCTCCTCTCAAATGCTGATCCATCCCCTAGTACCCATTGCAACCTCTTCTTGACCGGGATATGTTCACCTTCATAAACCTCTTTTCTACACCCTTCCAATAATCTGCATATGTCCAAGATACTTTCTCTTACATCATTGATGATGCCATCTAATCTTTTGGAGGCAAATGGGCTTCGAGAAAGATATTTAGAATGTTGGGAACGGAGAAGAATAAGATGGTCTAGGTCAGTAGAAACCCGTTCGGTGAGGGAGAAACAGGTCTTTACGTCTGCTGGAGTATTTTTGATATCTTTAACGAATGCAGCGATGGCGATTGAATGAGATAGAGCCTTAAATGGGTGAATTAGTATTTCTAGGTGAAATTCGAGAAATATGTGATAGAAGAGGGACGCATCATTGTGTGTGCATTGGGAATCCCAAGAAAGACATGCTTACTCCGGCTACACTAGCTATAGTGCTAACAGTAATAGGGTCCGGCATGATCAGTCAACTGGAGAAAGATTGAATAAATCTTAAGGGTGGAAAACAGCTGTCGACAGCTTCTTGAGTTTAAGATAGTCTACAGCGATGATATCCAATGGAGAAAATGGGGAAAATGAGGAGAAGTGATAACATGCATGTGCGTGATCTAGGTAGCTTATCAGCCTCTGCCACACTGAATATTACTCAGCCCCAAAAGCCTTCTGCAGCTCCGCGGCTAAGTAGCTAGTCTTATTCCTGAAAATGCATTACTTTTGTGGGACTTGGAACTCTGCAGTACTGAGTACTCTGACTAAGAATTTGAGCAGTTTGTCTAGAACAACCCAACATCTTTCTGGAGCCTCATCTTCTCAATCTATGACTAGCATCTAATCTTCCATATAATGGAGCACTTATGGATTTTGTTTATTGATTAATATTAATGCTACATACTCCTTTTAGAAGTACCTCTAATACCTATCCCCTTAAATCGTTTCCCTCTCCTGCTCACAAACAACCCTCCGGCGTTCTTTTCCGTCTTTATTAATTACCTCCTCTAAACTAGGGAATACAACAATTTGGCCCCTGTTGTCCGATTCCAATCCTGCAATTGTTTGCCAACCGAACAGCCAATTTCCTGGTTGTGCTAACAGCAGCAATCCGAACTCCCTCCCTTGATAGATGATTGAGGCGAGATTCTCGAATTGTGAGCTTTTGCTACTGGGTTTTATGAAAGGCTGGAGTATGGAGTTGAGAAGATTGATAATTCTTGCTATTGATGGATCTTTCGAAGCGTCTTCTGGAGATTTTGATGAAGATATATGACGTGTGGATATTTCTCGCACTCGGGATAGTACGTTTCCGTGTGCTGCTGAGAAAAGTTTAGAAATCACTCTATAGGAAAGACAAGAAGTTCTATGAAAAAAGGTGCTGAAAAATGGATAATACATACCATCCTGTTTGTTCAATTGCTTATTGTCCTTCAAAGCTGAACGATAAAAGCTTGTGATCTCATCGGGCAACAATGAATACTCAGAACCACTATTTAGCTCTACCCCTCTCAAGATGACCCATGCGATAAGACTTTTGATTGCTATCTGTCGCTCACTAGAATTGCCAAGTAGTGATCCAAGCGTAGAGATCGTAGGCTCAGTTCGTTCCGAATATCCACATTTCCTCAACGTCGCCGCGAAATCCTGAGAGGTTCCAGTATGTGGTCCTGTAGTATAGTGATTTTCGACATGTTGGTAGATCAATTCTCCAAGATTTTGCATTTGGTGCCGCAATTGACTATCATCTGCTCGTTCAGCAATGATATAGCTTTGCATCTGTGTCTCGGGATGTTTGGATATTGCAACACCATGATCTGTAGTAGCATTTCTTTTGCTGTATCCATTTTCAGAGCTCCAGGGTGTTTTCGATGCTCGTTTTCTCCTAAAGTAAAACCAAAGGCCAATCGAACCGAGAAGTGCACCGACAATGAAAGTAGCTATTGCGATACCAGCAATGGCTCCTCCAGATACTGAAGAGCCATGGTGACCAGTCGCGGTTGAATTTGCGGGACTAGTGTAGGTCGGAAAGCCTGTCGAGGTTGGCGATGAAGAGGTTGCTAAAGTAGTGGATTCCGTAGTAGGGCTTGCTGTGTTAGAGGTTGGCGATGAAGAGATTGCTAAAGTAGTGGATTCCGTAGTAGGGCTTGCTGTGTTAGAGGTTGGCGATGAAGAGGTTGCTAAAGGAATGGATTCCGTAGTAGGGCTTGCTGTGTTAGGGGCTCCCGATGCAAGACTAGCACCAGAAGGATTGGAAGATGCATTCGAACTTGACATGATTGAATTGCATGAACTTTTGAAGATACTCAACAAAATCAAATGCAAATGCCAATCTTCATTTCCAGATCAACAAGAAAACAAAGAACAAGCTCTGGGGGAACGGCATCGCGTGGGATTGCTCTCGGCCTTAGAGCGCAGCGCCGCCTCATTAATCGGTTTGGACATGGGATGGATTAAGTACCAAGATTAATCGGTGAGTTTCCTATCTAGAGAGGAGACTCCACAAAGTTCATGTAAGCAATCTAATTTGTGTTGCATTGCATAGACATTGAATTAATCTGTGCCGCAATCCTTCTCCATTCACGGATATTTCTTCAATAAGCATTGGCTTAATTATTTTGGGGTCCAAAGCTAGTGCATGATCCTTGTCATTCCTAGAACTTTTCCCTTCATCCGGTCACAATGTTGCCATTTTTGCAGTTTTATCTTGGAATACTAACTGATATTTGAATCGCTAAGAAGCATACGAATAAATAAGATCAATCTGACAGGTGTCTTGCAAAAGTCTTGCCCTGGTACGGACAAAATAAGTTCCACAGCAAGGAAACCATTGGGTCAATATTCTAATAAATTATACAATCAAATGCTGTCAACGCTCCAATTTGAATTTACAGATCAAATCATTTTGAAATTCCAGAACAGATTAGATGTTCATATACATACCCTACTCTAAATCAGTCTACATGCTCGAATATATATTTGAAAATCCATTTTGGTGTGATTTAGTATTTATTTTCTCCGTGCGGAGCCTGGTCTTTAGCCTCCACATTTACTTACTTTGTGGTGACATGAACATACATGAGTATGACAGTCTGGAATAATAGAATCAAGCAGGGATAGAAACAAGGAAGTTAATAGGCTGATAAGATTGCGGTCGATAGATCAGTTATTGGCTAATCACCCAAATAAGAATGTAAATCTGGGGGCTGGACTTATAGCGACATTGTCAGATAGATTACAAATTACCATTACCTGGTTGATGATTACTTTTTTGGTCAAGTAGCATCGCAAAAGTCAAATTATCCAAGATGATTATGCTGTGAAATCAATGAAACTCTTAGAGGCAGGTACACCTTGCTCATAATCAATCAATTTCTTCTCGATCAAAAGTTTCCTATTTTCGATCCTTTTCGATTCCTCCCGGGTAAATTTGCACGCGCAAGTAAAAAAGACCACTTCAGTCACGATGGCTCCCTTCGATGATAACGCTCCGGATATCATAGTGGGGATTGATTTTGGGCAGACATACACTGGTAAGTCTAGCAACACACTGAGTATACACGAAATACTAAACACCACTTCTAGGAGTTGTATGGTCAAACTTGAGCAATTCCAATCCCACCAAAAGCATTCAAGAATGGCCCGGATTACCTCCGGATTCAGTGGAAACAAAAGTTCCAACGACGATTGCATATTCACGCAATTCAAATGGTAGACACGAAACCGTTTGGGGATTCTCATGTGATCCCGATGATGAATATCATGAATTTGCAAAAGTACATGAGCATTTTAAGATCTACTTAGATCAACATAGTTTGGATTTAGCTCGGAAGGGGGGTGTAAGAGATATGCCTGAAACTGTTGACGAAGCAAAATATCTCGTGACGGATTATTTACACCAGATTTACAAGCACGTCAAACTATGTATCGAAGCTATTACTGGGAGTTGGAAAGAGAAGAGGATCGAATTTGTCTTTAGTCTTCCCACCACCTGGGATGCTTTGGACACCGTTAATAGATTCAACGAAGCGATTAGTGCAGCTGGCTTCACATCTCAAAATCCGGATAAGCATTCGGCGAAATTAGAATTGACAGAAGCTGAAGCTGCAGCTGTTTATTTTGTGACAAATTCCGAAATTGAACTTGAGAAAGGAGATATCATTCTCATTTGTGATGCAGGTGGAGGAACAACCGAGTAAGTCCTAACTTAAGTTTAGATGTTGATGCACTGTAAGTGTGTTAAGTCATAGTCGCTAATTGCCTCTCTCAGCCTTGGTCTTGTCGAAGTAGCGGATCCAAACCCTCAAAGACCAGCATTGAAGCAGGTAGCAGAAGTTAAGGGTGTTGGTATCGGATCGACAATGATTGATCGAGCATTCGAACGTCTCGTACAGAATCGATTGGATGCGTATCCCGACATCGAACTTCCAGATAACCTAGCACATAAACTAGCTAGAGGTTCGTCCTTTCAGTCTATTAAACATAACTTCGGTACGACTTCAGGCAATCATGCTGTATATATACTACGACTCGATAAATTGGGAATTGGGATTGACAAAGATCTAACTCACCCGGGACTTCGGATTGAAAAAGGTAGAATGCAATTTTCAAGGTGAGTGAATGAGTATATAAAGCGATCAATGCTAATAAAACAAAGATTCGAAATACAATCCCTGTTTGACGTGCAAATATCTGGTATAATACGTAAAATTGACAAACAGCTGGATTGGATGCAAACGCACAGAAGCCATGATGATGTGGTAAGTCCTTCCAAAATGAAAAACGAGATCTTGACTAAAATTTAAAGAAATTTCTTGTCTTGAGTGGCGGTCTTGGAGGCTCACAATATGTAAAGACCAAGATTGAAGAATACTTTTATCGAAATCCTCGTCAAATAGCACATCGTATAAGAATTTTGAAATCTCAAGAGCCACGGCTTTCAGTGGTAAAGGGATTGGTGATAGATAGAAGGCAAAGAATAAAAGTTGGATCGGCGACTCTGAAAACTAGAGTGTTCGTATCTCAAACATTTCGCTTTTCGTATGACGGCAATACTAACACAATGAGAAACACAGAGCAAGAGCGAGTTACGGTGTCTTATGTCGTCAGGAATACAACCCCGCGATTCATGTAGGAGAAACCATCATAACTGATCCTTACAACAAGAAACAAAAATGGGCCACGATGCAAATTGACTGGATCATAAAAAAGGTATATTGAATGCAGTTCTCCAGAAACCGACTCCCAATTCTTACAATTATCAAGGATGACACTATCGAGACTGATTCTGCTCGAGACCGACTGTTCACGAGGAAGATTATTCCGGGAGACAATAATCGAACTTGGGATACAACAATTGTAATTTCCCACGAAGATCGTAACAATCTACCCACGAGTTTCAGACACTGTGAGTTCCAATCGCACCAGCATAAATATAGAAAATTAACGAATAGCTGCAGCCAATGTCTCAAAACTGTGCACAGTGCACTCGGATTTGAAGGAAGTCGACGAGGAAGAATTTGAGCCGAAAAATCGAAAGCTCTGGCAACGGAAGAAATACTATCTCGCCACGTTTACCGTGCGAGTAATAGTTGCACCAGCAGATTTAAGGTTTGAACTATGGTTCAAGGGGATGAAATATAACAGAAGTCATGAGCCGCTATCGATAGATTGGGATCCCGCTGGAGCTTCATTGCGACCACCGTCAATTGATAGACCGGTGGATGGATGGGAAAGTCGTGTGCAGTTGTAGGGGAATTTGTTGTGTAACTATTATAGTCAAGAATTCCAACGTATATTGAATAACTTATTAATAGTGTGCTGTTACTATTTAAAATAGTGTCTCTGTTTGGGGAAGATGTCGCAAAGTGGAAGCCACAGCCAAGCACAATTGTGGCTGATGCGTTTATTGACTTCCTTCACACGGATGTCAACTGAGCAGACAGCATCAAATGAAAATCGAATCCATCAAAAATTATAGGGGTCCGACAACAAAGCTTCAGCAAAATAGGACGCTAGGTGGTTCTTCCTATGTAGGTACTGAATCATATTCAAAGCTATATACACAATGATTCTAAGCGTCTCAATCACGCTGCCCCTGCCAATTATGTACAAAACTACACCCTTGCCCCTCTAGTCTAAACATAAGCAATGGTTACCGACTTATCAGTAACACTAGACTTCGTTAGGACAGTATTCGAGCTAGTCTCAATATCCAAAATTACCGCGCCAGATGGTGTGACCGTTTTGGAAGCAGTAGTAGCGACTGCGTCGGAGAAAACAACGCTTCCATAGTTTGCGAGACCGATAGTGCTAGAATCAACGCTCAAATCCTCCATGATCCATTCAGCACTAACACCACACAAAGTATTCGCCGAGGAAACGGTCTTGGTGTATGATTTTCCTGTGGATTTATTTTTCATAACAACGGTTCCTTGATTGAGGCCACTAGTGGTGATATTTACGGAGATAACCTGGAGTTGTTAGTTTGGTTCCTGCATTACGGCAATAAGACTAGGAAACTTACATCTTCAGCTGTGAGAGTACCTAAATCAATGACTTGAGTTGCGGCGGGGTACCATTCATACCAAGCATAGTATGAAACTTCACCCGTCGATTTCTCAATTGTGGCATCAACTCCCGCTTGCCAGAGGTTGTTACAATTGTATCCATCAATACCAACCCAGGTAGAAGCCGTGAAATCTGATGCTGAGGTCTCTCCTGTAGTACCAATCTGTGGCTTGGGTATCGAAAAAGAAGCAGAAACACCAGTATAAACAGCACCAGTAAGAACGGCACCGGACCAGCTCTCATTATAGTATTCAGAACGAGCAGCGTTCTTGTTTCGCTGAGCAAGTCTTTGCTTGGCGTTGAGCTTCGTTGTTGGTGCTGCAACAGCCGAGCTTACAAGGAGAGCTGCGACGGCAATTGAGTACTTCATGTTGATAGATGGTAATGATAGTTTCAAGAACGAAGACAGATAAAACAAGTAAATATTTGAAGCAACTTGCTTTTGAGAGAATTAAAGAGCAGAACGAGTGAATATAGCTTGAAAACTCGTCAGATGAATGATAGACTTCAAAGCAACTTGGCTGAGCTTAAGTTATATAAGACAAGACACCTTTCCCAACCATCGTATTACCATGTAATTGTCTAATCTGTAATTTCAAGAAGTACGGTACATACTCGCAGAGCAGTACGAATTCTTCTAATTTCCATATTGCCATGGAAATTGTAGAAGACTGGTAGAATCTCGTTTCAGTTTCATATAGATTATCTTCGAGGAGATTCAACTGCCGATTACCATTTAGCAAACGGCTTTCAGTAAAATCAGTGGAATCAGTGGACCCATCATATCATGGATGACACTCTGTCTCAGATCTTATGGTGTGCACGATACGAGAATCAAACTCTAAAATCTGGAGAACTGTTGCTCATCTATTCCGCAAGCTGGACATATTGCCAAGTGCACTTAGAACTGGCAATATAAGTCGCGTGAGGTGATTGTGTGAATGTTAGAATGGCTTTTGGATGTCATGATGAGTTATTTTCTTGAGCGAACTGACTGAAATTCAAACCAATTCCGCTTACCTAATATTGCGGATGCAAGGGGCTACGTTTCGATTGGTCTAGAACGAATTAGAATTACTAGGTCCTACGTAACAAACGAAAAAAAGGAGATGTCAGCCTTGTCAAAGTTAACTTTACAAGGCTGTAGATACAATATCATCGACTTGCATGATAGATTGCGATCATCAAAATATGTACACAACATATCCAGCAACAACCTTCAATAATACGCATGGGATCTTTTGACTGCACGTTAAACGTGATACTGCATGATTTTCGATGACCATCACGAATCCCATACTGTGAGCCAATAATCACGAGCTCATAAACAAACCCACCTGGTTTCATCCGACAATCAAATAAAATAACGACAAATTTACTTCCAAACTTACATACCTCTAAGCCCACGATCGTTGAGGCTGACCGAAAGAATCTCATTTTAAATCGTAGAGCAAAATGACATCCTCATCAACATCCTCCTCACCTCCACCACCCGACCCTGACGACTACCTATTTCAATCACACTACCAACCAAATCCTACGCATCTCAATCCCTCTCATCCCCTAACACCCCGACCACATTCTCGACCCAGCTCGTCCTCGTCCTCCGAATCCCCCTCACCGCCCCCTCTCCAACACAATTTCTTCGCGCCCCCCTTCTACAACCGACCTCCTACACCTCTCCCCCCCTCCCCCTCACTAACCAGTCTCCTCCGACCCTCTCGCCCCACCACCCCCGATTCCTCGGCCGATGAACTCGAGCCTCCCGTCCCGCGGGCGTCCCCCAAAGTTCCAACCTACGAATACTACGGTTTCGTACTCTACCTTTTCTCCTCTCTAACCTTCCTGCTCTACCTCCTCTGGTCCTACCTCCCATCTCCCTTCCTACACGCTCTAGGAATCTACTACTACCCCAATCGCTGGTGGTCTCTCGCGTTACCGAGTTGGATCGTTATGCTCCTCGTATATATCTATGTTGCGCTCGCGAGTTATAATACCGGATATCTTACTCTAGGTATGAGTAATGTGGAGACGATTATAGATGGGGCTGCGAATGTGTGTTTAGTTGATGGGAGAGGAATGGCGGGAGCGAGTCATGCCAGTCAAGAGGAGAATGCTAGGGAGAAAGATAGGAGGAGAGGTAAGGAGAAGGAAAGGGGTACGGGCTATACTGGGGGAGGGAAAGAGGCGGATGTGAGGGCATGGAAGAAAGTTTGGAGTCGAGGTACAGATGCTGTAATGGATGTACCATTGGGTGGTGTGTGTGAAATTTTATATGGAGATGGGAGGGAAGATCTTGAGATGGTCGATGATGATGATTATTATTGAGCTTAAAAAGAAAAACGGCCGCCGAAAGCAATCTATACCCATATCTGTTGTATCTTTAGTGCTTAAGTGTAATGACATCTAATGAACACAATTTTGCAAGATGCCATGCGCAAGTCCGATCTCAATTACTGGACCAGAACATCCACCCTCTATCACTACCTCAATCTTATTACAGGGGCTACTCATACATGACACGATGAAAACTCTTATGTGATTCCAAGAAAATAGGTATCTTCATTCCGTTGTTTGTACAAGATTGGCCTCCGCTCTATACTTTCCCATCACATAACCCATATTACCCCTATGCCTTCCACTTCCGTAAACGAGTTGAGCAAATCATCTAATCAGCTCACACTCACCCAGGCACCCACCCATCAAAACTACACATCCACCATCCATTTTCCTCCCTTCCATCATCAAATCATCTCCCACCAGTAATGCTAAAAGGCCAATCAAAAGGTTATCAGCAGACTCACTTCTGCCAAATCAAGAAAAATAAAAGTATCATCTAAACTACAAAAACATTATCTCATCTTTCATCTCATCTTAACACATGCCGTTTTCCACCTAGGATTGGAATATTTTCTCCAAATTTATCGATCCCTACTTTCTCTTCCTAGATCATGAAAGTACAATTCGGCTGAAGTATGCCCTCTGCCACACGAAAACAACCCCCAACTGTGTGAGAAGACATGTTGATTGGTGAAAATGCAAAGAGAATGCCAGACAAATCAGAGAACATTCATATGTGAGATGTAATGCATATAACATTCAACCTCATCACTCCTTTCGACTATCCGTTCATTGATTCCATATATCCATGTAGAAGACGTATATGCGTTTCATCTCAAATGGAAAAATTAGAGGAAAAATATTGAATATGGGGTATTATCACAAATTAGCGCGCAAAAACTTTTACGACGCCATCACCTCCACCACTAACGATCCATCTTCCATCTTGACTCCATACGACTGAGCATACACCTTCCCCACGCATAAGTCTATGACTTGTCATCTCTTGAGTGCAGCTACGTGTCTCTAAAGACCAGAATCGTAGACTAGCATCATGACCTGCAGAGACAAGCTCACGTCCATCAGGAGATAGTGATAGAGCAGAAATAGCTGCTGGATGAGCAAGCATGTTGTATGTGCATTGACCTAAATTAATTAGTCATGAATTGTCGGTGAGGTTAAGGGGGTAACTTACCGCTATTAGCATCATAAAATCTAATGAAGCGATCCTCGTGTCCACTGATGATAATGCCTTCAACACCACCACTTCTACCTGTTGCTCCACTAACAACATTCTCATCTTCAGACATTCCTCGATTAGAATCGGAACTCAAGGAACTATCAAGACCGGTAGTAGTTGCAACAATTGCATTGACTCCTGTTGATTGGGTGCCATTAGATGTTTCCAGACTTGCCATAGAGGCAACTTCTTCACCAGTTCTTGTATCATATACCAGAACAGCTGCGTCAGAATAAGACACGGCAAATGATTCGCCTGAAGTGGCTAAAGGTGTTATACAAGTAGGGGATGCGGTGCTATTAGGTCTGGTTATAGAATGTATTAATGTGTAATGGAAAGGCGAAGTCGAGGCAACGCTTGGTTGAGGGGATGATGGGAATGCTGAGCCAGATGACATTGAGTTACCTCGAACTCTGCCACCTCTTCGGTTACCTCCGCCAGAAGGTGATACAAGCTGTGGAGGTGCGCTTACAGACCACACTTTGACAGTGCCATCTGCAGCACCACTTGCTAAAATAATACGATCTGGTCCACCAAAAGCATTACTTTGACCAAAAATCGATCCAGTTGTACCAGGAAGTACGCAGACTGCCCATACTGCATCTGTATGACCATCGAGAGTCGCCTTAGGATCAACTCGCCCTCGCTCCCATACTCTAACGGTAGCGTCTTGGCCACCAGAGAATATCCATCCGTCACCTTGTGCACGTCCACCACTGGCAAAGTTTTGTGATGGAGACCAAGCAGTCAAGCACATGACAGCTCCAGCATGACCACGGTGAGTAAAATAACTTTGGATATCCAAATCATTGGCGCTGACATGGAATGTGCCTTGATCTTCATAACGGGCGGGAATGATCCATCTTTTAATTGTACCGTCGTCGCCTGCTGTGCATAATTCTGGTTCTCCGGGACTTCCGCCTCCAGTAAATATTACCGAACGAACTGCATCTAGGTGACCTCTGAGTCCGAATCGAACTTTGAAACTACCACTATCCGGCCTTTGTGTTGGATTTAATGAGAGTTCATGTTCGCCACTTTTCCTTCTTGATATAGAGGTTTTTCTCCTATGTGAGCCTGGACCACGAATAGGCGATTTTGGTATATCTTGAGCTGATGGAAATACATCTGTATCGGGCCTCTGAGTCGCAATCTTATTTTCTTGTTCGATAGTTTGAGCTGGCTCATTGAAATCCCATCCATCGGTGTCAGAAGAACCTGACTTCTCTATTGCTTCTTCATTTTCAATAGGTCGTCCATAGGAGTCATAAGAATGATTAACTTTTGTTATGGGCTCTTCCGCCGGTTGGGCTTTCTCTGGAGATCTAAATGTAGAAGACCATTCTTGTTGAGAAGGTTGTGGTAAAGGTAGTTGGTCTGCTAAAAACCTTGGCGCTGAATTATCGGGATTTGGTACAGAATGTTTATTAGGACTTGGGACTGGTGGTGGATTATGGTTAGGTGTCGGAGAAGGCGCAGGAGGAGCTCTTGATAATTCTGGTACTCTCATGACTTTTGATCCGGAGTATCGCTGTTGCATTTCTTCGATATTTTGCTGCTGAGCTTGGCTAACTCCGAAAGGTAGAATCTCCTCCGGTGGTTGTGGGGCTTCTCGTGGTGGCATAGGGTTTGGTGGTGCGATCAAGAGATAAGTGAGCTCTCCTTGAGATTTGTCCATAAAATCTTTCATGTTACCTTTCTCCGCTTGAACCGCCTTTTTCGCATCGGGTTCCCCGTCAACCACGAGGAATGAGTTATGTGCCTCTCTTTTAGTTGCTACATCTATTAGTCTTCAATAAGCACAAGATTTTCAATTGACTTACGACGCGAATCTTTATCCTTGGTCTCTTTATTTGCTGGCACCGGCGCTGTACCACCAGATTTGATCGCTTTCAATTGTGCCTCTCGATCCTTGGCCACTCTCTCCAACATTGTGAGGAATTTCTTCAAACTCTCATTTGACCCTTCAAGTTTTCTAGTATTGCCCTCTAATTTGGCTATCCTACTTTTCATTTCTTGTCTCTCGATCTCCCAAGCATTGCGTTCCCTCTCATGTCGATGCCACTCAGTTTGTAAGAATCGCATAACACCTAACTGCGAATTAGTTTAACCACAAGAACAAAACGACTAAGCGCATACCTTGTAGTGTATATTCTGTCCCTTGAGGTTGATTTGCTTGGTTCCCTCCATCACCTACATTACCACCCCCATTATTTTGACCTCCACTACCCCCCATACCAGATAGAGACTGCCAGGCCATCTCGTTCCCCAGGCCCAGGCCAGTCCCTCTTTTATAACCTAGAATCCGCCTTGTGCGCTAATTTCGCATCCAAATTCGAGGGCACGATGAGCATTTGTTAATCTTGGTTGGCGCAAGATATGTTGAGTGGTCGCCAAAGACAACGAGGCCTTAATTTTTCTCCAGTAAACTACCAATGCTCAATTGAACATCTTTGCGCACAGAACTGTTCAAGATAACCAAAGTACAATAGAGGTCAATAGACTGAGATTTGTGAATCTGTAAATCTTTTATGATGCGTCTGTACAAGTTTGTCGCGTAAGTGAAACGTATGACATTCAAAATCATAAGAAGGAAGTCTGAAGGAGGGCGTTTCTTTCCAAATAGAGATCGTGAGCTACCAACGAGCCAACCAAGCCAACTATCCAATTCTAAACCGATATCCATGTGTCAGGCCGCTTTTAAGGCCATTATAAATGCTTCGCCTGGGGTATTGTTGTCTTGGAGGTGTAGGTGACGCCGCCTTTAACGTAAAGTGGTCATAGCTCCTGTGGTATTTGAGTTTTTGGGGTCTGCGGATAGATACAATCTAAAAGAGACCCCTCGAACCTTAAGGTTAAAATGGATGTTATTTTTGCCTTCGTGTTGATCTGTTGATGAACGTCTATAGAAGACTTATAGATAAGTTTCTCTGTTTCTTATTGCTCACACTTAGAGATGTATCGAGTCACCATTCGCAAAACCAGTACAATATGATACTTCAATTTGTAGCAACAAGACAAAACATTCTGATACCCGCTATTGGTGTTGTATCAGCCCTAATGACCATATTGATATCAGACAATGCACAAGCTCATCTAACGCGTTTCATAAGGATAACTTTGATATCGGTGTTCTCACACAAATGCAGCGAGCTGGGGGGGATTGGAGGCTTGCATGAGAGGAAAAAAGGAATGTGTATGTACATCCCTGTCATATAAAAAGCAAGTGTTTGAGTATGGTTATCGCTGAAGGCTTCCTAGATATCCTTCGTGTACATTCACATATGCATACCTCGAAGATTAACAAAGTCCAGCCTTTCCAGCCTTGATCATGACGATCATAGATATGACGTGCAAACTCCAAATCCCTTCCATATCGCTCTCAAGACTATTGAAGATACAACCCAATGTATCGATGCCCATACCCGTACTCATACACATACCCATACCCATACAATTTCCTTCCTCAAAATTCCAATTCCTCAACTTCCATCCCGCACTCTATACAACTCTTTACGCTCATTCCATCCTCGTTCTCCACCGTTTGACCCCATTCATGTTCATGTTTCCCATTACTAATCACATCTCCAAACTTTCCACCTTTTCCATCACCCGCTAAGCCCCTCCTATATGCTTCGGTTCTCGTCTTTTTCTTTAATTCTTTCAGTTTACTCTTGAACTTTTCTTCTTTCCTCTTCTTCTTCTCTGCTTCTCTTTTTTCAAATTCCGCATCTAGTGCTTCTGCACTTCCCCACTTCGTCTTAAATGCATATTCCTCCACTTGATATCGTAGGAACAACATCATATCATGCCAATGTGATTTATGCGGATTGGGCTTATTGAGATGTGGTAAGAGCTCTCCATCTTTTAATTCCGCTACAAAGAACATTAGTACAAGCCCATTATCATGCAGAAGCTATGAAACTTACGATCTGTAATGAGATAATCCTCCTTTGCCTCCGTTTTAGTTAACAAACTATATTTCTCTGGAAACTTCTCCTTACACCCATTACAAACCCTACACTTGAAAACCTCATCCCACACAAAATCGATCTCTAAACTTTTGCACTCCCGGCACTTCTTATTATCCCCTCCAAGTACACTCAACCCGGGTTCAAAGGGTCCCTCTTTCCTATTTCGCAACCCTTTCAATAGCTGATGTCTTTCCCATTCCTTCAGTGTCATATGCGCAGGTTTCTCTCCATCTTTCGATGCATGTAATGCCTTATTCCATGGATCATCTTCTTCAGCTAAGAATCCACCTTTCGTATCCGTCATCTTGCTAAAATCATGATCAACATATTTCCGAAACTTCCGCGCAGCTTGCAGTGAGGAATCATCGGCTCGCGCCTCTTTGGCAGCTTGTCGCGCATCGCGAGAAGTGGCGGGAATTGATGAGGTTGAAATAGAAGAGTGAGTGCGTTTTTGACCCGCCAGAGTTATATCGGGAGTAGCAATAAAACCCGAGGGTGTACGATTGGTATCATTTACGGAGGACGCTTTCTCACGAGCTATAGATTGTTCGCGGAGTGCTTTAGCCTTGAGTCTGTTCTCTTCCTAATGAAATAACTTAGTAAATGAGAGGCCAAATTGTTTGAATGGTTGCCTTGTACTGACTATTCTTCTTTTAACGTCGGGTGTTGGCGGTGACGTAACTTGAGATCTAGTTCTTCTTGCAGGCGGGGGAGTATTTGATCTTTCCATAATGTCAAATTGTGTAAAAAATGGCAATAATCAAATTCCTGAACTTCCATGTATCTAATAAAGTAAATTTGTAACAAGGCTGAACTCTGGAAGTGGCGAGAAGTTTAAAATGTTCAGCCTCGGTGTTCTTGGGCTGCGCTAAAGCTAAATTCGTCATTAATACTTTCAGACCACAAGGTGAATGTATTGAACCACAAAAAAAGCTTTGGGAACTCTATGAACAATAATGGATAATGGACGAATAGAGTATAACGTAGAAAGTATTGATGGCATTGAAGGGTAGTTTCCATCTACTTGTCTCTATGATACAAACGAGATAAAAATCTCTTGCCCGTCCATCCCCCAGTTTTACCGCTCCATGCCCCTGGACTTGAAGTCCAATCCCCAGTTTCCCGATCCCCCAGTCTTTGAAAACATTACATCGTGTATGTCTGATGTTTGAACATCTATTCGTCCTTGACACCTCCACGGCCTGCCTTCTCAGCAGCCTCAATAGACTTCTTATCTTGTGTTGCGGCAGCTCCTCCTTGAAGACTGCTCATCAAACCAGCTGGTGCCTTGAATGGTCTCTTCATGTCCCCAGTGGCTGGCTGTCCGAAAAGATGAATCTTAACCATGTTACCCTCGAATGCGCCCTTGAGTGGGATAATAGATTGAATCATGAGAGGGTTGGTGTATTTGAAATACAAGTGCATAACAGCCATCATTCCAACACCCATCAATTGTGCCTTGTAGAGAGCCTTCATTTGATCGCTATCATATTTGTGGACGGTAGTGGTAACGAGTTTAGGTTCTTCGGCGGAACCCATTTGGGGTTGTTCAACGTATTTGAGAGTAGTCATGTCTATAAAATTAGTCTATTAGTATCTATAGTAGCTATGCGCAACGAGTTAGGCTACATACCCTTCTTCTTGTTGATCAAAAATTGAGTATAAGCGTAGACGCCCGCGATGATGATGTTGGATAGAATGTAAATCCCGCGGACAATGTTCAAAACGTTGGGATCCTCAAGAGGAACACGTTTAGAGACTTGCATCATCCCAAGGATGATGATCAAGTTGGTTCTAGTCAAATCATCAGTAACAATCTCAAGAGAAACAACAAGACGGAGTTTCGGGAAAGTTGTTCATACACTTGAGGACTGATAGCCATTTTGTCTTATTTAGAAATAGAACCGGTATGAAATGATGGGATTGATAAGGAGATCGTAATTGAATACGACCAAATGATACTTGAAAGAGATATCAATAAAGAGACAAGAGTTGTTGGTCTCTTCCTAGACTTTATGTTGTACTCTTTAAAGAAATTGACAGATCCCAAGAAATAAATTTGAAAGAGTGGAAAGAAGACAATCGTCGCGATTAGAAGCGGCGGCCCTAAGCTGTACTGTGCCCGAAGCTTGCCTAACAAAGTCTAGACCCTTATAAAAGTGGCTGAGGACAGATTTGATTTTATGTTTCACTACTCCGTCGCCATCTATGTAACGTCGTCGCCATATTGATAATTCTCGAATATCACGAAGTAAAACACATACGATTTATTAGGCAATCAATACAACATGTCTAGTCATGGCCTTGTTACATTGTTGGATTTCAACTTAATCAATCACGAGATCGAACACGCCCGGGCATCTATAGAAATACATATAATGAAGCAACAATTTCAATTATCAGCACAAGAAGAATGAAGTTTCGAGGCAATCTTCATGTTTTCTTTCAACTCAATATGCAAATCCTTTACTTATACAATAAGAAATAACTCAAGTGAGTCTCAATTCTAGAGCGAGTGCATCAAGTGCTTCTATCGCAAGAAAACTCTTCCTCGTTTCCTCGCTATTCCAAACTTGTCCACATCTTCTAGAATCCCTCGGTGTTCTAGGTTCTCGTAAGTTTTCCTTGTGACATGTTATCTTTTCCATTTCGTCCTTCTCCTGCTCCTGTCGAGAAGCCTCAACCTCCAATAATTGAACCAAGTTCTTTGTCGAAACTGAATGTGGTAAAGGATGATGTTCAACTTCATCTACTGGAATCTTATGGGCAATAAGTTTCCTTTTCGGCTGAAGATATGCTGGTACCAACGTAGATATGTCTACAAGTTCGGTGCTCTTTGCTTCTTCGCCAATCTGCAAAACCCCCCAAGAAGACGCGCCATTGGATCCTACACTACCACGGTTTTCTCCGTCGCTTCTCTGTTGGGCGTTGCCGATTTGAGTATGTTGTTTGGGGCTTGAATAATTCAATATTGTTTGTGATGTGGTTAAAGCCATACCAATATCGTGGTTAGAGGTTGATGGTATATGTGGTTGATATGGACCATAGTTCGCATTATATACCGGAGACGGGACTCTTCCTATTGCAGGCTCGCCTACTATTGTCTGACGTTTTGAAGTCTTGACAGATACCCTTTGTGGAGCTGGATCGAGAATCTCAGGAGTGAGCTGTACAGGTAGGAGTGGATTCTGTGCTAGAGGTTGGTCTTCGGCGCCTGATGTCCGCGCGGCCTTAATGGATATAGAAGGACCTTTAGAACTCTTCCTGGTGTCACTAGCGGGAAATGTCAGTTTGGTTCTTGTCCTCGTCAATATCATATCGCGTAGATTTGAGAACGTTTTGATTTGATCTTCACATACCTGAATAATGATGCATGTTTGTTACGAACAGCACCAGAGCTACGACAGCGCAGCTTTCGTAGAAAATGTGGCATCTGACGTATTTTATTACGAAAAGGATTCAAGACTTTCAAATCCTTGACACGGGGACGATATTGTAGACAGCTTCGCCAAATTGAACACGAGTCTACTCTTTCATAATAAATTTGGCGTGAACCACGATTGGGATTGATGATATTGAACGTTTGTGGGTTGTTCATGTTTTTTGGAGGGTAGCATTGCAGTGTGTCTTGTCACAAATGGGAAGAATATAGTAAATGATTCTTCTAATGCATTGCCGACCTATGATTCAATCATTCCTCAGAATCATATGTGTTAATTAGCTAGTCATAACTCGGCGACATGGAACATTTTATTTATTACTGTAAAGTTACAGTCATATTCATTGGTTTCATGTTCATAGGACAGCATATTCAAACAAACATCCACAAGTTTGCATAGTTGTATGAGTAACTGTTAGAAATCTCGTATTTTACTATCTACTCATTATGTAGTTTAGATCTGACAGATGTATTCTAGTAATAGCCTGCCATTGATGACACAGAAAATTTCGACAGTAACGAAAGGAAAGAAACGACTCCACTGAACCTTGCCTTCTGGCCCTCAAGGCTCGAACACCATTCTTTATCTCAGTCCGGCTAAGAAGGGATTGTGTATTTGACAGAAGATATGTGCATCCCCTCCCCCAACATATCAACTCTCAGTCCGGCTGAGATATGAACATCCATTACCAAAATGAAATACAGAAAGAAAAGAGAAATTGATAAACGAAAACTGTAGCACATGCCCTGGAAGGTTTGACGGTGTTGAAATCCGAATATTGAGATAACGAACGATATTCAGAAGTTGGTCATTGGACGTAGATGAACGAAACAGAATAGGATTAAGAGTATTCAGCAAGATCTTTGCAGAGTTGAGGTTTGCGAAATAGTGTCATTTGAGCTCGTAAATCTGCCTCCGATACTAATCAAAATTGAACTCAATAACCATAATAGATGAAATCATAAATTGCATACCTTGATCATTCAGACTCTTTCCGCACCTTCACTCCCAGATCTCAAGTCTATCCCCACAAAGCAGGAGAGTATTTATTAACCTTCTCATTCTTGCTCGCTTTTTTGATACTCTCAAAGCATTTCGTACACCAGCCATTATTAGGCTCCGTCACAACATCGGTTGCTTCTGTGGGGATTTTGTTCGTACAATCCTTCTTGACAAGGAGAGGTGTAATTCGATGACCAGTGGCTTTTGCGCAAGGTTTGATTTCTTTTGCATCGGCAAGTCTTGTTTTTCCGCAATTATTGCATTTGAAACCGTATCGAATACACATTGTTTTGGGTGATGGTTGATGTTCTGTGTTCTTGTTGAGACGGGGAGTTGTTGAGTTGTGGTATTCTTTGGAAAAGTGGAAACAGATAGATACGGACTGGGAGGAATCGTAACTTAAGTAAACGAGAGCTTCTTGTCGCCTCTACGAGATGACTCGATCATAATACCAATTTTCGCATTATTCACATTTGGCGGATCTATGCATGAGTCTTTTGACTGGATTAATCATCATCTATCTCGAAGTGACTAGGTTTAATTGATACCAGGTGATTTCCCCTCTTTTGCGCCACTCTTACCTTTTTCTTTCCTTTTCATATAAATACCCCAAAAGCCCATATGTATCCTTATTACCCTCATCAAAAAATCCACGGATAAACTTCCCTTGCTCTGTGCATCTCACGAACACACATTGATCCCCATTGTCAGGTCTTCGAGATCACCAAATGAAACATCATTTCAACCGCTATATCTTCTTGCATTCGCATAGCCATATGAAGCAGGCAGGATCATTTCGAACTTCCCATAAAATTGGTTCTGCTTTTGACGTGGTGATTTGCACAGTGACGTGAGCTTTCCAGTGATTGAGCTGACCATGATTCGTATTCAACTGCTGCCGAATAAACAAGAGTATACCACTATTGCACGTGCCTCTCAGTTTTGTATTTCGCATCCTGTTATATTGGTGACGGGCTTGTTCCAAATACAAGGAAACAAAAGCCCCGATATGCCCACCAATACCATTTCCTAGCCATCCACAAAAAACAAACTCCCAATCAGAAATTCACTCACTAGATATCTTACTACCACCCCCCCTCCCCCATCCTATCCAAACTCAACCCCACAAACCCCAATAAATAAATACGCAAACCCCACCCTCTCTCGCACAAAACAAATCTGGAGCTCTCTGCCGTGTTGGCCTCTTTCCATTGCGCATTCTGCATTCTGCATTCCAAGTTCTCCATACACCCTTGGGTTTGTCCTTTCATCGGGCAGTGGTAATTTATTCTTCCATAAAGTCAGTCAGATTATGTTTCTATCATTTTCTGGGCATTTATTTTGAAGATTTGGAGATGATGTTGAGTTTTTTAGAAGGAGGTTGGTGGTTGGAGGTGAGCAGTTGGAGTGATTTTGTGGGTCTTTGGGGGGAGGGGTGGTTATTCACTCGCGAGAAGAATCTATTGATAGATTTGAGAACGCACATTTTATTACTGGAGTAAGAATCGACATGAATCAAAAATTATTCAAAAACTGACCTGCACTGAATTCCACAACTCAAGCAAGCAGCAAGTATAAAAAGCATAGCTTTCTTCTCTTATGGATACCTCAGCACTATAATCTACACTCTCCCAACCCTCTCATCCCACACCACAATTCCCAGCTCCACAACCAACCTCCTCCCATCAAACCCCGCATGCTCAAAGCCGCTCATAGGCCCCTCCACTCCCTATCGCTTTCCCCTTCCCCTTCCCCTTACTCTTCCTCTCCAAAATCCACCTCGGCGTCAAGCGTGCAGCGATCCCCGGATGCAGTCGAAAATACTCCTTTTCACAAGCCGGACAGAGATGTTTCGGAAACAAATCTCTCACTTCTCGATTGAGTTTTACGAGACCCGGTGGACACGCGCATGTGCTTCGATTGCCGGAGCCGAGTCCCGAGTGGTAGACTCCACAGCTGTTACCGTGGGCTACTTTGTGGGGACAGAGTTTGAATCCGTAGAGGAATTCGGGGGGTGGAGATTCTGTAGACATGTGTTTTTCTTTTTACTTTGGAGGTTTGGGGGTTGGGGTAGAGAGTGGTGATGAGTTTGTGTTTGATTTTATTGGAATGGCTGTTGGTAGATACTTATCTTTATAGAAGACAGGTCGATCATGCGAATCCGACTTCTGGTACATATCATTCAGTGTTGATGTTTTCAGACAGATGTTTAAATTTCCTAGGTGATGATTGTGCTACAGTTGTGAATGTTTTGGTGCCCCACTTATTCACTCCCCTAAATTTCAATCCTCGCTAAATGCTTGGCTCTCTTCCTCACTTATTGAAGCCAATCATTCATTCGGATACGACGTATAGAATGAAAGAAATACAGGTGACGGTTTTCATAAACATGAGCTCTTTCAACCCTAGAGAAGGGATTGGTTATTCAGAGCAGTTGCGACGTAAATAATCGTCATTGGTAAAGTGATATGTAAGAGAAAATCATATATGTATATTATCTCCGGTAAAAGGTAGGCCCATGCCGACTAAGTTTTAGTTATTAATCGCCACTCGTAGTCTTCTCAATATGCCAAATACCTGTTGTGTATATAGCTTCTATGTACGCGACTAGCATAGATTCGATACTTGTTGATGTATTCTGGTACAGAGTTGCATCCACTGGCCCCGTGAAATATCCTAAGGATTTGAATTGTTGGACAGTAGAATGCCATGATTCCAGATTAAAATGAAAGACTGAATTGATCATGAAAGCAAGTGGTTCTCTCTTCAACAGATACCTATCTGAATTGCATCCTCAACTAGCTTTGTAGTACTTGAGCTGTCCGCGTAGAGTCACAAATACTCATCGGTAGTGAATCGCATACTTAATCCCACAAAACTCTCGTTATCTTAAAGCTTTCAGTTTGATCTTTGAGAGCAAGGCTCGTCCTCTCCATGGCAGTGAAAATCGCAATTTGGGAACGCTCTTGGATCTTGAGGAGCAAAACCTGGAGCATCTGATCTCATCAGATTGAGAAAGTCGATAGTTAAATCCTGGTGGAGGCTCATGGCTGTTGCCATATCCTCAGTTGTCCAAAAATTTCGAATATCTTCAGAGTTGTATTCAACGAAAATATAATACATGCAGTGACACATAAGCTTTCGAAGAGGAGAGTCTTTTGGTGTCATTTGGTATACATCGCTGACCAAACTTACCCTGGGGAATCTGTTAGACTTCTCATATGTATTTTTGTATGTGTCGAGAACAAGATCCATGAGCTCAGGCAAGCATAGCTTATCCGCGAAACTATACAGCGATAGTAGGTTCAGGTCATGCTCAATCTTTTCTAATGAGGTAGAAGCATTCAGGACTCGCAAAGTACCAAAATATATCCAACCCATGAAAAAATCAAAACATTTTGGATCATCTTCTGGAAAGAATGCTTTACCCTCCAATCCCTCGACGAAACCACTTGAAAACATTTTTCGGAAATATGGCACTTTATCACAAAGTATACCTCGATGGACTCGGAAGAGCTTCTTCTGTGGTCCCACGTGAATATCAACTATTTCTGATCCCATAATCCTAACGCACAGTTAGCAAGCCATGATTCAAGTGACAGAATAAATATTAACTTACTCAAGAAATTCAGGAAGATCACCTCGAGATTTCCTCAAGGATATAGCTTCTGTTCTCTTCTGCTCTGCCACATCTCGGTCTGTTTTAGCTTTGGCGAGGGCAATCCCACTCTTTATAGTTGAGGGAGAACTTTTTACATCATCGTTTTTTTCTGAAGATGAAGACGAATGTGAGCATGTGCTTTGCTGATCTACCTCGATCGGAGATGTGAAAATAACCGACATATCGGTTCGTTTTTCCTTCAAGCCTAGTCGTAGTTAAAGAGTTTCGTTATGTCAACGGTGGAAAGACAGTTGGGTCGTAATGACAAATTCCAGATCTGAATTGAGTATTGATTACTCGCAGAACAATTAATAAACAACTCAAATAGTTGTGTTTGGTGTGGTGATAAGACTTGTCACAGTAAAAATTGGTTCATCTTGAGATTTGAATTCAGGAAAGATTTGAAGAGGCTATTTATAAGTTTCGCTATTGATTATACACGGCAGCCACGTGTGATTCAAATTAGCCCGTACATTGCCCCAAGCAGTTGAATGGCCGTAAGGTCGTTAGCCTACCTACCGTAGTATTCTTCGCTAGAGGGGTAGTATCAATATATAAGGATTGCTTCTTCCTGTTCATAGCTAGATCTTTAGACTGAATAAAATATTGACAATCGGGACCAACATGATAGCTGCTGCTGCGTTGAACATTCTCTCCTTGTGCAAGCAGAAAACATCAGAGAAGGAAGATCAGAGTACTATCGGAGGGATCAGAGAGGTAGATCACGCCGAGATGTGTGCATACTATGCCAAGGTATTATCTGAAAGATCTACCGAGGGTCAACACTGAGTTAAAAAAAAATGTCCCCAGACCTAACTATCGGCAAAGGCTGACTATTTTTGAGGTTTATAGATTCGGAAATGGTTGATATCCACGTTGGAAAGGATGAGGGTTCGGGTCACTTCCAGCTCCACAAATCGATTCTCTGTGAAAAAGTTCCCTACTTCGAAAAGATGTTCAATGGAAATTTTGAAGAGGGCACAACTAACTCCGCAACTCTACCCGAGGATGATCCCAAAGCTTTCAACATACTTGTTTCCGTAAGTACTCTTTCCTGAACTGTGATTTAACCACACCTACTCCCCTCTACCTTCTGCAAAAGAGAGAACTACTTGCAGATGATCATAGTTCTGCCATGAATCAAAGTGCTATTACAATAAGCAGAGATATCACGTTGTTTGTATTATCATTCCTGTGTTGCGTACTGATGGCTTGTTCAATATAGTGGATTTACTCAGACCAAGTGTTCCCGGTGGGACTAAGAGAGAATCAAGAGAAATGGTGCGTTGGAAAACTATATTTGTTAGCAGACAAGCTCTGTCTTCCTGACTTGATGGACCGAATATTAGACGAGTTTACATTCAACATGGAGAGGGATAATTGGTTGCCGGTTATTATTATGGACATTCCACTCAGCGTTGAGAGTCTCTACAAATGCTGTCCTCGCGAGAATTGTGGGATGTTTCGACTCCTTGTCTCTCTGATGTGCTTTCTACTATTAGAAACGTACAAGGCACATTATCTGAAGAAGTGGCCAACAGAGGAGATTGACTCGTTTCTCACATGCCACGACGACTTGAGACATGCGGTTTTCAAGATGATGAGGACCAAACGTGAGCAAACAACTTTGAAAGAGCAGTTTTTGAAACCAGGATGCCGGGTTCATGAACATGGAGAGGACCAGCCTTGTTCTCAGCTCTACAGAAGAGCAAACAAGCAAACGGAGCAAGGTTAGTGAGCAATGATTAAGAACACATATCTCGGGTAGTAGATAGCAAATACGCTGGGAGTGGGCCTTCTTGTAGTCTCCAAGTCGTGGAGCAAAGACAGATTAACAGCTCGACGATCGACAGCTAAATACTAGATAATCAATAATAAGAAAGATTGATCCCTCTTTTGAGACTTTCGTTGATATACATTCATTGCTTTGACAGCTTCTGTTTGACAGTTTATGTTTTCGCAACGTTGGTTCCAGCATATATCTGAGATACGAATTGACATCAAGTGAAGTGAAGTGAAGTGAAGCTTGGAGACCCTCGAGAGACCCTCCCAAAATAAAGTGCAAGCTTGGACCGGCCAAGCCGGAAGCGGCGTTCACGTGACCGTAGATCATCTCCCCGCCATCTTCCATTACATTACTACGATTTCTGATCATCAATAGTAGTAGGTCGAAACCTCAATTCTTCGACACAATTGATGTATATAATGTGAAGTTTCCTACATCTAATACAATTCATCATCTTACCGTCCCAAGGTCCCGATCTTCTCTTCCCTACTCGTATATGCACAAGAATCCCATGCAAAAGGCGAATTAACTCCGACATCCGCTCTATCCTGAAATGACGTAACATGGATATCATTTCATTGATAGCTACCCCTGTGCATTGGGCTAGAATTTCTCGGGAGCGACCAAAACCAACACAGGGTAACAGGGACGAAAGCTTATCAAGGAACATCGGCACCACCATTTGACTTGACGTCTCTACTACCAAAATAACTTTCAAGGACCACTCATTTATTGTTCCTTTTCCAAGTTTCTGTTCACAAGAATTTGTGTTTAATACTTTGCTCTTGCTCTTGCTCTTGCTCTTGCTCTTGCTCTCATCCAGTCTTCTATACTTCATCAATACACAGACTTCTTGCGATTGTGAGGCTATTGTCAATTTACGAGTGAAAGAGCAGCTGCGATAAGGAATTCCACCCAAACCCTACACAAAACATCACCAAGACACAACCAATTCTCCCCAAACCAACCAATTGATCTCTCTCAAAATGCCTTCTCTCGAAAAAGCTCTCCCGCAACCTAAGATTGAGCTATACAGTGGAAAATACTTCGCAGCTTGTGGACTTGGTGGTATAATTGGTATGACCCCTCTTATCTACCCCTCCATGAACCATCTCTCATCCTCAATTCCTCTTCCGGATCTTCCGCAACTAACAATCTCTTCCTCTCAGCCTGTGGCCCAACTCATACTGCCGTCACCCCGCTCGATCTTGTAAAATGTCGTCGTCAAGTCGACTCCAAACTTTATACCTCCAACCTTAACGCCTGGTCCAAAATCTACCGTGCCGAAGGTCTTCGCGGAGTCTTCTTCGGATGGTCTCCTACATTCGTGGGATACTGTTTCCAGGGTGGTGGAAAATACGGTTTCTATGAAGTATTCAAATATCTATATGGCGAGAAATTGTTCCCTCACGCAAATCAAACAGCAATCTTCTTGGGTGCTAGTGCTAGTGCGGAGTTTTTGGCAGACATGGCACTTTGTCCATTTGAAGCTATCAAGGTCAGGATGCAAACTACTTTGCCGCCTTTTGCAAACAGTTTGAGAGAGGGAATGTCAAAGGTTATTAAAGAGGAGGGATACGGAGGGTAAGTTGGCTCTCTCCTTCCAAGAGATCTCTTGGGATTTGGAAACGTATGCTAATTGCCTAAAATAGACTCTACAAAGGACTCTATCCTCTCTGGGGTCGACAAATCCCTTACACAATGGTGAAATTTGCAACCTTCGAAACCACCGTCAACAAAATCTACGCTTATTTGGGGAAACCTAAATCCTCTTATTCCGGTCTCCAACAAACTGGAGTTTCTTTCCTCGGTGGTTATATTGCTGGTATTGGTTGCGCTGTTATCTCTCATCCAGCAGATGTTATGGTCTCGAAACTTAACAGTGATAGAAAAGCCGGAGAAGGAGCTGGAAAGGCTATGACGAGGATTTATGGAAACATTGGATTTGGAGGTCTTTGGAATGGCTTACCTGTTAGAATTGTAATGATTGGAACATTAACAGCATTCCAATGGTTGATTTATGATAGTTTCAAGGTAGCATTGGGCTTACCTACTACAGGAGGTCATTAGATTAGATGGTGTTGGGTGAAAAATAGCTGGAAAGGAATTGGGAGATGGCGATTTGGGGATACGGAGTCAGCCGGATGGATTGGTTTGGGCTCTTTAATGAGATATTAATGAATGAAATGATTTATTTAAAATGTTTTCTAACATTCAATTACGGATATCTTGGATGGAATAGACGTGTAGCTCACGTACTGGTGGCACGCGGCTCTGAAACCGGAACACCTAAGGAGGGGGTCTCAACGAGTTGAAGACTACAATTGTTCTCTACACATCTGTGGTAACACAACAGTATTACTTTCGTACTTATTCTCTTTCTCAAAGCTTTTCCTCTGGTATCAATTGGGGCACACACCTTCGTTCACCGACGATTGTTTCATGAAGGGTGAAAAGGAGGAATTTCAAGTAAGTCGACCCAATTACTCAGACTATATGATATAGGGGATTTGAAACAAGGACTCTTCTAATCCTTGTTATATGTAGAATAGTTTCTATAAAACTCAACAAAAACAACCTCTCTATCGTTGATCGGCTCGGTATTATCCTCCTCCTTCTAAATAAATGTATGTATTGGTTTTGTGGATGGCTGTGTGTTATCTTCCTATTCTTGACCCGCGGAAAGGAACATACTTCCACAGTAGCCACGTGTTTTCCTTGATGGTGAGTCCTCGAGGCAGAAGGTATATAACTAACTTCCGACTTGTATGAGAGTCAAAAGTAGAGGCTATCATTTCTCCGATAAAATTCAACGTTCTCTTAAAGACGACGATCTAATTGAACTCTTAGAAGTTAGGTATGTCGAAAGTATTCGATTGGAAATCAAACTCATACCTACTAGGTAGATGGTTTGTTCATTTCAGCCTTGTCATCCGGTTCCTTCCTATGTCATCTTGAATTTTCTGTCAGCCCAATCCAGTTCCCATGCTTCATTCCTTCTTCACGAGCGGCCATTTACTTATATAGGTATCTAGATAACGTGAAATGGACACCTATGTAATATTGCGCATTAGCATCAACGATTGTCGTATACTTACATATATGGTCATTTCTGGCGCTTTCAAATTTCTTGAATAACCGCAATATCCATGCATAGAATCACGAAGGACTACTGGCAGCGAAGATTTGCATACTATTTATCTGCAGTACGGGAGCTTTTCATACTTCGAGCGTCGATTGCAGTACTGCGCAATATTCTGCATGTTCGGCGATGAATCTAAAAGGAAGCGACGTGTGAGGAAAATCCTTATCCTCTTCTTCTCGTAGCATGTTTGTCTGGTATGTATAGTCAGCTAAATTGTGTTTCATCTTAGCTTGTTCTCTAGATTTGTCTAGTTGTTGAGATGCGTCATTAAAGGAATTTTCCATTTCTACATTCACGTTGTTCACAAATAAGACACTACTCAATAGAAGATCTCCAGACATATGAGGACAATTCAAATGATTCGATGGTGTCAAAATGTATACATCTTTGCGCGGTTGATGATGGAGATCCATTTAGTAGGTCCGACTTTGGTGAGGTCTGTATGCTTTCACTTCATACTATAATGATAACGGCGCCATCCTCAAGTCCGTCAAAATGACGTTTCGATTTCTATGGCGTGATATTTGACCTTGGAAGTTATTGAGACTTGTCATCTATCAGTACCGACTAACCAAATAAAGCATAATCGACCCCGCCAAACCGTTGAAAGTCGTACATATGACAGCACGCCTTAACGTTCGTCGACCTTTTTCATAAACTATACCTATTCAGAGCATTGACTAGTTTATAGTGCAACTATCTTCCAATGTTTCATCGTTTGGTATACCACTAGATGAAGATTTCTCTCACTGATCAACTGTTAGATTCCATCTTAGTATTACTGAAGGGGTGATCTCTCCTCAATCGAGTTTACGTTGAAGCTAAAGCTGTCAAAATGTCTAATCAAGTGTCAACGGTTTCAACACTAAGTTCTATGGGAAATGACACGTATATATAGTTGAAAATTCCCTCAATCTGAAAAGATTCTCTCTCTATTTTTTCCTAACAATCATCACTCAACTCAGGAAAACAATTTCATTATTGCATATTGGTTTTCCTGCCTCATACCATTATCAACTTCGAGAATTCAGATTCTACATCAACAGTCCATCCACATCATCTTATTCTCATCTTCAACAGCTACAACACACAAGACCATCACCATGGCCATATCAACAAGCATCGCAGTTGGACTAGCCAGCGCCGTTGGACAGGCAACTAGCTTTACTCTCTTCATATATTTCAGTCCTCCAAATCTTTTGCATAAATCTCTATCGATTCTTCTCACTGACGGGGAATTATGTTGGTACCAAGGTCATCAATTTTGTGCTATCTTGTCTTTCTTCTTTACATTCATATTCAGTATGAGTGTCATACCACGTGTATTGAGAATCAGGGGTGAGAAAGGCGACCGAAGCGAACACGAAGACGCATTGGAGGCGAAGACAAAAGATAAGACAGAAGAGGAACCAAAGACGACCAAAATGGAAAGCGAAAAGAATAGAATCAAAGAAGCGAGATCCTCAAAAATCCAACAATCCTCTGAGGAAGTGAAAGAGACAGACAAACCCTCCAATTATGACGAGCTTGTGAAAATACGTGTGGAACTTGTCAATACCAAAATCGCATTAGAGAAGGAGCAAGAACGAGTAAACCGCATCGAACAAGTGATGGAGTCGCTTCAGGCACAAGTTGGTGTCTTGCAAGCCAGATTGACAGTTAAAGATGCAGAAGCTAAGAATGAACGCAAAATGGTAGAGGCGATGGAGGAGGATCGCGAGGGACGAGCTGATCTTTTGGAAACGGGAATGATGACGCTAGAGGCAAAAATTGAGGAAGTTTTAGAGAGGTTGGATGAGAATGATAAGAGTCATGAGGCAATCGGAGAGTGGGTTGAGAAATTCAATAGCGAAGGAGCAAAGACCAAGGGGGAGCTCAAGAGATTCGATCGTGTTGATAAAGAGATCAATGGAGTGTATCGTCATTTGAGAAAGGAAGTCCGTAAAATTCAGGAAACCGCAAAAGATAATTTCGAGGAGCTTAGGGCAGAAGTGGAGGCCGTTGAGAAACATTGGATGGAGGAGTTGCAGAGGATAGATGATAATAGACAAAGTAGAGAGTGGGATCTCAGAGGGGAGATTAAAACTGAAATCAAAAATGATTTGAGAAGAGAACAGGAGATAAAGGAGATTGATGAGTTGTGGGAAAAGAGATGGGGTCCAGGAGGGGTTACCGAGGAACAATTGATAGCATACCATGAAGCTCAAGATAAGATGGAGGCGGAAGTCTCAAATATAGAGCGCTCCTCGCACGCAGACGCCGAGGCTGTAGAGACCAGAGTCAAGCAAAAGATGGTAGAAAATCTGGATGGCGAAAAGAAGCAAGAAGCAGATCCACTGGTCGAAAGTGAGACGCCGATTCAAGAGAAAAAATATCCTTCTCACAAGGCTATGGAACATGCTATGCATTCCTCCCTCGATCAAGAAAGAGATGCGGAAATGAAAGATGTCGAGCAAGGGACAGATGGAGTCATGGAAGATATCACGCATGAACTCGAGGACGGAGCTGAGGTTGAGGAGAAAGGCGATATTTTAGACGAGGAGTGGACTGAGCTTCGATATTAGAAAGCGTTCTGGAAGTTTGTGGAGTCTGGGGGTTTATGGGAGTCATGGGAGTCATGGGAGTTGAGGGTTATGAGGGTTATGAGGGTTATGAGGGTTATGAGGGTTATGAGGGTTATGAGGGTTATGAGGGTTATGAGGGTTATGAGGGTTATGAGGGTTATGAGGGTTATGAGGGTTATGAGGGTTATGAGGGTTATGAGGGTTATGAGGGTTATGAGGGTTATGAGGGTTATGAGTGGTCTGGGGAATTATGGGATTTACGGGCACTATGGAAAATTATAGAATTTACGAGAGCTATGGAAGTCATGGGATTTACGGGAATTATGCAAGGCATGAAAAATTAAAGGAGTTATGGAAATTATGGGAGTTTTAGGAATCATGAAACTCATGGGAGATATGAGAGTCATGAGAGTTTCGGGACATTTGGAGTCATGAGTATCATCGATATATACCCAAGGGAATCTCTTATTATGCGTTCTGGATGAACACAATATAATAATTAGACAATCCAAAAGATAAAAAAAGTCATCTTAGGTACATATAAAAGATCAGCAAAAGATCAAAAAAAGATTAAAATATTACCACCAAAGAAAAAAAAAATTCTAACCACAATATAACCCCTATCAAAGTAACTCTACTCGAGTGAGTATAAAAGTGAAAATGTAAAGAACAAACAACGAACTGAAGAATTTCCATTCCGCATAACCTTACCAAGATGAATATACTTGACGTATGGATCTCACAGGTAGGTAAATTTTTACTTAGTACAGGCTAAGTATTTATCAAGAGTGAGGAAGGAATACTCTCCAAACCGTTCACAATAAACATCAATATACATACGATTCAACTCGTATTCTAGCATCCCCTTATAGAATGGTACTTTCGGATACTAAGGTTGGAATGAGTGAGTGGGTCAAGATCTCAGATAAGAAGGAAAAGAGAAGTAAGGAGCGAATATTAGGATTTATGTATGAAGTTGAGACGGCTAGGTAGGTATATATGAGTTAAGGATTTAATATGGTGAAGTGAAATTATGGAGGTCGTTTCATTGATCCCACAATCATGGAAGATGTAAATGATACAATGTGAGTGAATGCCTGGTGATGTTGAAGTCTGACTTGGCCATCAACATTTGAGGAGTGGGATTATAGGTGGTATAAAGTAAGGTTTTATGATTGAGTGGATCACATCTTTAAAGAAACGCTGACTACGCTGATTTCATCTTGGGACCATAATATATAGAGCAAAAAAAGTTGAGATTGTAAGTATAGCTAAGCTATATATCCATTGAAATATCATATCGTCATAACCCATATCCGTCCGTCCATCCATTCCGTTCCCAATTACCGTCCGAAGCTATTTATCTAGCCATTGTATTCTATGCTTTATTGCAGAACACATTCTTTCATTCCAACTCCAAACGCCTTAGATGTCAATTCCATCAACAACAATACCCTTCTTCCATTCATACTCCATAAACTTAGCAATCTCACTAGCAGTCTCTTCATTGACCATAACGCTGACAAGATACAAACTAGCATCAAGTCCACATGTAATGGCTCCAGTGGTGATGACTCGAAGACCACCAAGACGTAAAGCAGCTCTACGAGCATTACTTTCACGACGATTGTTTGATTCCTTCCAAGCATTGGAGCCCTTACGAGCATTTGATGGACGTCTAGCATCAGACTTGCGACGAACATATTGACTCTCCTCTGGAGAATCAATATCAAATCGAAGGTTATTCACCACATATCTCTCCTCAACAACATCACAACGTTCTGCCAAGTCTCTTTGTGCCGCCTCACTGTTGATGTTTTCGAATTTGGCGAAGTAGTCAGGGTGAGTGGTAGCTGAAAGACCGTGAAGAATACCTTGTTGAGCAAGGAAGAGAGAACCAGTGCAGATGGATAGAAGTGTGCGTTCCTTCTCAGGATGTTTCTTCTGCAAATCAGAGAAAGCTCTGATGAGACCAAGAGGTTCAGCTTTGTTCTTGAGGACTTGATCAGATCCACCACCTGGAACGATGAGGATGTCGTATTGTGAAAGAGTGGCATAAGCGTCTTTGTAATTGAAGTGAGCACGGAATGCAGCTCCTTGATTGGAGATGGTAAATTCCTCGGCAGCAACGAACTTGCAATCGAATGCCTTGGATTCTGTAACGAAAGAGTTGAAGGTTAGCAATTGAACAAGCGGTGATGGTCAAAAGTAAAACATGAACAACAAACAAAGAGTAGTTCACTCGACCTCAAGTATATTCAATCATAAGAGTAAATGAATCAAACTCACTTGGATCATTAACATCATGCTGAGCACGGCTAAGGACTTCAAGGGGACCGATGAAATCCAAAGCATCCATGCCAGCATGAAGTGTGAATAACACTTTGATGATAGGAATTTCTGGTGTTGACATGATTGCGACTGAAGAGGTATATCAAAACGTTATGATGTTGAATTGTTCAAGTGGTTGAAGTGGTTGATGAAAAGTTGAAGAAGATGATTGACTTGATGAAAGATTGATATTCAGATTGAATGGATGATGAGGGGGAAGAAGAGGTTATAAAGTATTGAAAACAAGGTCAGGTCGTACGAGCAAGCAAAAGATCACCATATTCCTCACGTGTTGGATCGAAATGCGGGGTAGCTATGAGGAGGACAATCTACTTTTCCTTTTATGGATTAGTCTCTGGATCGGACAATGCGGGGAATTTACCCCTGTCTCCTTCTCCTTCTCTCTGCCCCTCCTTTTCTTTTTCTCTAGCTACATGTCACACGCGACCATTCCAAGCATTCCGAACCTTTGATGATATGTCATTAAGCATTTAAGCATTAACAAAGATCGAGAATCTTTACTCCATTCATACCTCAAAGCAGCCAAAAATGAAGATCAATTGACAGTTACCACCGACTTGAGAATATGACGATGACAGACCCACCCAATCATACCACAATCTGAGATGATTCCATGGCATGATTGGGCAATTGAAACGCGTATTCCATTGGCTTTTTAAGGTTCAAGCTCATGTAGAGAGCTATAATAATTCCCTCAATTTATGGATCTTTACTATCGTATGAGCGTATCAAAACGCTATGGGCCATCGCGTGTTGGTAGCATCGACCGATTGATGAAATGCTTGGCGAAGTCATGATTGTGTTGGATCATTGGCCAGAATCACTAATAAGGTTGAGTAGTTGTTGCCGATTGAGCTACTCTCTCAATTCATTTGGAGGATCTCCGAGATATCAAGAGTCTTTCCATTTTCATTGAATATGAATAGATGATAACCTCGATATGTCCACGGATTGGAGCATAGAAAACTCGCAACTATTCGATGTAACGTCGAGTCATGGGTTCGAAACCAGACGGTCACGACGGTATTGTGATAGCCAATTCATTTAATACGGAGATCCCTTCACCCACTTTCCATTTGTGCATTGATTGACGACATGTTCAATGTCTCTGAAGCTTCATCTTCTGAATGAAGCATGCAGATATCACGCCAGTAACACATTATGTTTTACTGGAAATTGTGCAGAATCATGTGACCTGTTTCTGGCTTTCGTCGACCAAATAGTAACAAGGGCGATGGTTTCCACAAATTCTAACCAATTGCTTGATTAACATTGAAGCATCCATGGAAAGTCTCTATGGTATGAATTATCTCTGAGCCCTACACCTCAAAGAGCCCAGAACAATGGGAAGCCTCATTGTGTCAATGTGAGTTTATGAAGTCATCAACTTGGCTTCTAGGATACATGAGCTCTGGAGAGTCGAGAAAAGAACCTGGGTATGTCGATGGTGGAAGTTATGGTAGGAAATCAATTAAATAATTAATTTAGTTTGATATTGATCTATTTAACGAAGTGCAGGTCTTCAAAAAATGACATCTTCCCCGTCTTGCTGAAATAGATACACACTCACAGTCTTCAAGACCTCGCTCCCCTGCCTCTCCAGGCAAATAACTGTCTCGGCGAATCTCCTTTCCATTTAACTATTCACGGCGAATCGGCCCGTCCCTTAGCCATACTACCATAAAGTCCCAACTTCATTCTCCCTCGCCTCCCCATTTTTACCGAGCGATCATGCAAAGACAAACAACGGGACAGACCCTCGTTGTGCATAAATAAAGTCAAGGTAGACGGAACTAAGTATCCAAGGCAATATTGCTGCCGGAAAGAGAACTCTCAACGCAACCATCGCCTTTGGTTTCATTGAATTGGTTCTGTTGAAGTGCTGGTCTTCTGACTAGAGCGATCAAGGACCTGGGTTAGTAAACCCGAAGTAGAAGAAGCCTGAGCTGAGAAGTCCTTCTAAAATCGTTACTATCTTCGAGAACTGATGTGTAGATTTTTCGCCTTCTGCAGATACATATTCGGGATGTGAAAATTGAGAAGGCTTTTTATTCAAGAGAGACTCCAACATTCCCGTATTCCGTATTGGAAATTTTGATTTTCTTCTAAAAATCACCTTTTGATACCCAATTGTATGACATGAGGTACGTATTGAATGTCAAAGACATTCGTAGATAATCTAGACAAGAAAAGCTTCATGTGTTTTTCTTTTCTTTTCTTTTTCTTCTGGACCTGGATCATAAAGCTTGAATGCATATATACACTTTGTGCTTGAATCAACACATCAAAACAATTTACGACATGTGGATAATTGAGGAAAATAAACTGCTTTTCACGTGCAAACACCCACGGATTGAACGCTGGCAAAGTATGTGAACCAGAACTCTCATTATCGAGTACTTCTAATTTTTATTGAAGTCTCTATACCCAAAAATCCGCTTTTATATGCCTACCTCATATCGTAGAAAGGAACGAATTCAGAAACCCTCGCTCTAGGTCGAGTAGGTCCTCTAAATACCCCTCGAGATGGAACAGCAAATTTGCCGAGTGAGGTGATTTTAGGAAAGGTGCTAAATGCCTTTCTTCCTCGAATCTTTCTGATATTCTTTTGTCCTTACTGGTAAAAAATGACGAATACCCAGGTAATACCCTATTGCCTTTTCATAGGGTGTGGAAATTCGCGGCAGGACTAAATTCCTACGATAGCCCCAGCCATGGTATTGCTTGGTAGAAACCGCCTCTCGGTGACACAAAAAGGTATATGAGTCGCCAAGCAAGAGAGGTTCCGAATAGGTGGGTCGAATCAGAAGCGTCATTATTGGCGGCATTGTCGTTCATCGTTATAAATGGTGGCGAGGACCGAAGTACACGGCGTTTCTCATTAGTGCACCTTTTATTCAGACCAATTCCATTTCTCCCCTCTCAACATGCTCTTTGATATCCGACCATCTTGCAATCACAACTTCTCCTCTCCCAACATCTTTGACATCATCACCGTCTCTCCCTCTTCCCAAAACAGATATGCTACCACCATCACCAGTAAATTCTTCATAACTTCCCGTACCTCTGGCAAATACCGCTGTATCTTCATCCGGTCCACTGATCATAGAAATACCTCCAGCTTGATCATTCAAATTCTGTAGTGTGCTCGGAAAACTTCCCAGAAAACTCGACAGGTAATGGTTATGTAGTAATTGTTGATGTCTCGTGGCATACGCAATTTCGGTTTCCGATAATCGTGATCGAAGGTCTTCGTTGCTCAGATAGTGTAAAGTATGCGCATCAATCTACAATATACAAGTAAGCAAATGCGCATCCAATTGTGCATGTTTTGGGGCATACCTTTGCGATTCTGGCTCTGACCAATCCTCTGATTAGATACTTCCACCTCTCCAACTCAGTTTGCAAACAAATAAGACCAAAATTGGTCTTCGGATCCATATCTCCAGTTAATTCCTCCACCTTCTCGATTTGCTTCTTGATTCGTTCTGTAACTCGTTCGACAAGATTGTTGGGAGGCCATCTATTATCTCAGCAGATGTCAGTCCCGATTGTAATAAGGATATCGTAGGACGCTCGAGGTCGTCGCATGTGGTGAAAAATGGGTTAGAACCAACGGTAGAATCTCTGGAGCTCCACGCTCATTAATCCAAGCTCTTGTTAAAGCTTGTAAGTCTGCCTCGGGTGTATTTGCATTTCTGGGTCGCAATGCGTCCTCGAAAGGATCGTTGAGAAATTCATCGATATCCATTATTGCAGAAGAGATGAAATTGGGGAATAAAAGGGGGACTTCTTGTATTTGTATATAATAATTGTGAACTATTCATGGATTGTAGAATATTTGATATTAATATCAAGCGCCAAGTCGCGGGGTCGGCGCGTTTAAACGCGTTTGATATTATGGGTCTCTAAGGCGACGGATCTTATATCACTTCTGTTGATGAATATCAAGGTTCAATGTTCGATTCATTAACTTGGTTATATACTAGGTAGTATGAGTATTATATTTTGCCATCAAGTCATTCAAGGTGTAACATAGAAGGAGCAAGATTGGAAATGAATCTGAATATTTATAACAATTATGGATTTGATAAACACATCCTCGAGACATTATAGACAAAAAGGTCCAGGCTTTGACTCCAAAAATTGCGGAGCTCAGAAATCCATAATTCATTCGCTTACCTAATCAGACCCAGAAAGATCTCGAGACCCTCAAGAAAATGAAATGGCCAAAAAAGATGAATATATCTTTCCTCCCTTTGCGATACAAAATCCAGTCGAAAAAATGCAAAAAAATTGGTAGCTTCTCTTTGATTGAGCGTGTCATCCTTAGTGCAGGGGCCATGCTAATCTTCTCTGTATCGTTTCAAATTGACCACTATTGAAATTGTTAGTTTAGATGTTGATTGCGGAAGAATCGGTAAATACTTACAATGCCCGAAGGCGAAGTAATTTGTTACATTTAAATTTATATAGTACCGCAACTGTCCCAATATCAGGCTAATAATTTTCTGCAACCACAAAAAAAAGGTTTCCACCACAATAAGCAAAAGATGATAATGAAGTTCATTTCTGCCATCGCACTTTCCACTTGATGAATGTTTCGGTGAACCTCCAAGCATTTTCTCGTCGCAAATATTATTCCATGCTTTATTATCGAATGCTGTAAATGACTAGATCGATTTTGTTGGATTCTCGCACAAGTAATGGTGGGTTTTTGCAACGATTGCGTTTCTATCACATCAACTTCTGCATTCGAGTGATTCAACTTACATACATTTGATTGGCAGACAGTTGCCGACAGATTTCCCCTTTTCATGAAACCCAATTGCCATTATAGTCTGTAGGATAGGCCATGTTGGTACACGCTTCTCTTCATGCGACAGACTTCTCTGCTTGATCTTGACCAGGGAGTTTTCGCTGGGTCGTTGCTTCTAAATCTCCATTCAACCGTTGAATGGTGACTTGAAGTATTCCAATGGAGGCGGCCGATTGACAGCTTCAAAGCCTCGAAACATCATGGTCCTGTGCAAAATATAAGTAGGTTCCTAGCTTATCTCTGGAAATAATTTGTGGTCATGTTGGAGGTGGGGTAGTAACCCCGCGTTAGGGTTAGATGTGGGTTTGAAGTAACCGCCTCCAGACCGCATGGGAAATCATGTCTAGCATTTCCATTATCATTTACCCTCTCAATAATCTTCAAGATATATGGTTATCCTTTCCTCGTTGCTTCCCAGGGCTAGTCGTGGTATAGTCCCAATCAAAGATGAAGTCTCATCATGGATACAACTTTATTGTTGGAATTACCGCTCAAAGTCTTGGCGAATCGTGGGCAAATAATGAACTCTATACAGACGTTCTATCATCGATAGGGCTGAATACGCTATCGCCGGCTCTTCATCTTGTTTGTCGTTTAGTTGGACCTCGAACAATATGTGGACCTATTGGCAAAGGTGAGCTGGAATGGTTGATGGTTTGTTTGTGATTTCGATCATATCGATGCATTATACAAATTGGATTGGAACGGTGCGTTACTTTTCATTCAACCCAGAGTGGGATATCAACGATGTGACATTTAGTGGAATGAAGAATCGAACGTTTACGTTGCAGTGAATTTGAAGTAATAGTGAGTAATATATTGCTTGGAGTCAGAATATTAGTACTCATCGCTGGGACTCATTGACACCCCATGACTGTGTTTATATTTATTAATAGTATATTTTGTTCTATTTATTCGATTATTCATACAACCAGGCTTCTTGAATACACCTTGTGAGGCTCGAAATTTGTCTACTTAAGCTTCGAGATCCCCTCGAATGTAAGATGTAAAGTATAAGCAAAAAAGACATTTCTATACATATATATTCTTGAACTCATCATATCTCCCTCGTTGGCATCATTAAAATCTCGAAAAACATCTCTTCTTTCTAGCAATCTAAATCACTGGGTTGTTTATCATGTCAGAACTAACTGAAAAGCAACGCAAAAAAGCTCGCCAGACCGTCAAAGCGCACGGTATATCTAAGCCTAAGGCTGTTAAAGCTTCAACGACATTGATTGGAGATGGTGGAGATAGTAGCTATATACGAAATGACAACCATCCTTCGCCACAGCCCCCTGGTATTCCTGGCACCCCTCACAATGATAGAGGTCAATCATCAACACCCGGTCCCTCTACCATTCATGATCATCCTAATTTGGCACCTCAAAACCCTTCCAGGTCAGTCCCGAGCAGTCCTCTTCGATCAAACCAGGCTCCTTCTCGATCAGCACGTTCCCAGCAGCCGGGCATGAGTGCCTCCATGGCCAGGCAATCTAGCGATACTGGTAGGCCCAGAAGCCAGGATCATACTATCTCCACCCAACACAATTCATCCAGACCTCCCTCGGCTCATTCTAGAGCTTCCTCTGGCGGCGCTCCCCCAAATGACACGGCAAGCGCCTCCCAACGTGGCTCTAGTGACTCTAGCCGTAGTCATTCCTCTACCGTGTCCTTTCGAGATCCTTTTGAATACGATAGCCCCGAGAACAAAAAGCGCCTCGGAAGGAATTGACAATGCACAATTACTAGGTTGGAAGCGAGACTTGGGTGTTTTTGTTTTGGATAGATAAAGAGGTTCAAGGAAAAGTCTAGGTTTTGGGATATATGGGTGTCATTGGTTCTTTCGTGTGTTTTTTGGGGGGGATTGCGGGTTTTCTTTTCTTATAAATAATTTTTCCTAGGAATGGGAGTCGGTTTGGGGGGGGGTGTAAAGGGGGTTATTTTCTTTGAACCGGAAGTCTTTTTTCACGTTGTTCTTTTTCGTTGCTTTATTGGGATATTGGTGGGCTAGTATATAATTCGGGGTTGGTAGAAATACTTGCGGGGTAGGAAATCACGCAGTTGGAAACAATTAGCGACTATTTGGGCGAGGAAATCTATTTTGTATGGAGCTCAACTAGTCCTTTACATGAACTCCATAGTTTTGGATCAATCAATGCTTTTACCATGCTAAATCTTTCCATTTCAATCAATGCAAAATGATTCATGTAACAGAGTCAGTAGTGATACTCATAGTAAAGGACGACAGAGTACGCGAATTGTCTATGAGAAAATGCGGGGTCATGAGGAGTTAGGAGGAAGTAAGTATTACGATACGAATATAAGCGGAGGACTTAAGGGGCGTAGCTTTAGCGAGCTATTCGTAAAAGAAAAAACAGACGGAATTTTATCATCCATGGATTTCTATAGTATCTTTATAATTTAATAATTCCTCTTAATACTATGTGAAAAAAACCTTTAAATATTATTTGAACAACAAGAAATCAATTTCTCTCACGATTTTATTGAATTTATATCAATAATTTGTAGTTGATCTTTGATTTAATTAATTTTGAAGATTTCAGTAGAGATTTAAATGATCATATCGCGCTACGTGTAAGCGAGCCCATTTTTCAGCAAGAAAGAGCCGAGAAAGCTGATTAATCATGAATAAATCTTGAAAATAAAAGTAAGCGCTAATTACAAGCGCATTAATATATATAATACAGGGGAGCGCCATCATTTTTTTTTTTCATACAATCATTAATCCCATCAGCGAAATAGGGAATTACAGAAACCGTTTTACACCGTAAAAACCAAGCTTTTCAATTTACCAACCTCTAAAACACGATTCGGATTTAAATATATACATTTAATAACAAGCTAAGCAAATCACATAAATTATGAAAGACCCCGCAACATCACCATGGAACATCCACATCAGTTCCTCCGACCTCAGCAAACTCAAAGCCGGTTTCGAGGCACCAGATATGGATCATAGATGGGAAATTACTCCTAAAGATGCTGATGAAAATGGAATCATGTATGTCCATATTAGTCGCAGCTGGACTGAAGAAGATCATTTTATACTTGCTGTGAAAGCGAGTGTTGAGGATGATGCGGAGATTGTGTCTATTACGTGGGATCAAAATGAGGGGGAGGTACGGAGGGGAGAGGAGTATGCGAAGAAGGAGGTGGTGGTGATTTGTAGGATGGTGTTGAATTGCGAGTTTGAGGCGCTTCCGTTTTATGATAGGAAGGTTTTGTGGGGTTCGAGGAGGTAGTTTTGAGTCTGGTGGTTGGGGTGGGGTGGTACTGCTACTGAGGAAGGATAAATCTGGGGAAAAGTTCATGGAATAGCATTGATCAATCTGAGGGCATTTCTTTATTTTGTTTTAATTTATACACATAATATGCGGAAATATCGCACGAAACTGAATTCAACAAAATAGAGTTCGCCCAATCACTTGCCCCATTTTTATCCAACATCACACTTTCCAATGGCACGATTTTACATGACTCTCACCATATAAAAGCACTCTCCTTTCCTGAAATTATTGAAATAACGGAAAAGATGGCCAATCGAGTCAACAACATGAGAAGGAGGGAGCCTCTGCTTCTTTGGTCTTACAAGCTTATGATTGAACACGGGAAATGAGGTCGTGGTATTTGACCGATATCCGGGTGGGAAAAAGAAGACGCACTGGAATGAAAACGACAACAATATGTTGTAAGAATTGACAATAAAAATTTAAATCTCTAGTTTTGTTCTACTCAGATATCCTGGACCTGTCTGATTACGGAGCAAAGAGAGATAACCCGCCCTCTGGTGAAATTCCGACTCACGTCATATTCTTCGAATTGTTCCTTGGGGATTCCTGTTTATTGCAGCCTAGTAAAAATGGAAGTCCTTTATATACCTTCGCAACGATTTCCTTTACCGACTTCTGGAGTATGGAAATAATGCTCAGGTGGCACTAGTGAATCATGAAGTCATTTACTTGCCTTCAATTCGCATTGTCGATCTTACAGAACTCTATTCACTTGTCTATTAGTCCCCTGTATGACTGCGTCTCTCTCCTCCCTTTTCTACGATCTCAATATATAAGGTTTCACTCTTCCTAATTTCTATTTCTGTACCTAGATAGGCATTCGATCTCCGAAAGCTGCCAAAACTGGCGAGAAGAACAGCCTGCGCCGATATCTCAATTTGACTTATGAGGCTACAATCCGTCAGAAGGGGAGTCTACGATCTTACTGTCACCACTTTATGAGTTGGTACTAGAGATATTAAGGATATAGAACTGAAATGACAGTGAAAAGTTATATTGGACAACGGAATAAATCATTTCCTCGAATTTCACACGACGAAATCTAAATCTCGAGGCTTAAATCCTTGAATTCACCTAAATTAATCCGATATCACTACATGGTAACCATCTGCCCAACTTCGTAAGTTTCTGTTGTGATGGACGTAAAAGCCCTTGATGCTTTAGAACAGGCTGGCAGGATGAACAACTTTTATAGAAAGCGGGTGCAGGCCATGGGTGCATATGGAGAAAGGGCTGACGGTACATTGAATGTGTGTGCATTCACCCTCTGCCGCCTTCTTCCCAGCGCACCCCTCCCCCTCCAATACCTACATGATTCACCATCAATCTTCAGCAAACAAGCATCATCTTCAGCGAAACACAAACCCCACCCCTCATCTCATACCCTCGTCCACCAGCCCAACACAAATCCAAATTCCCTTTCACGCGATATATAAGCAGATCTTCCAACCATTTTAGCTCATTAAACCGAACATAAAGAGCAAAGCCAGAAAACTATAAGGCATGACTTGTAAGTTTGAGACAAACTATTTGCCATTACTCCATTCTCAAGAGAATTGCAAGAATGGGATGGGGAATTTAAATTGTAGCCTAAAGACTATAGTGAACATGAGATAGAAGTAGAATGATAGCTTGGTCACAAATACATGACAACAAAAGTAACTATTATACAAGCGTAGAGAAATGATAGCATTATATTGGGTCCTAAATCCCGTCCAGCTCGTGTTTATTCCTCCTTCACGAACAGCCAAACACCCCGCAACTGGCTCAGAACTACAAGCAACCTTGCCAACAACTATTAGTTGCAGACCTCATAATTTCTCCCCAATCATTGTGCAGTTTGCTGTTTGAAATACAAGGAGTAGGAACATTTATATAACAATTAATAGAAAGTTTGGAAGTGTATCCCGTAGTTTTGGAGAGATTTCCATCAAACGAGAGTGAATTTATTGGACCAATTTTTTTGAAACAACTCCAAATGCTGTATGTGTAATGATTTGCGGACAATAATTGTTTTCTCAATTCGGAGACTAGATTATAATGAGGCATTGTGAAATCTTTAACAAGCTACAACTGTATTTACCATGTATCCTCCGAGTTTTTTGACCAGACTCGACGTTGAAGATATGACGATAAAAGTGATGATGACAAAAATTATAATTGTTGGTAAGATTTTCAACAAAAGTACACTTCTGTTCGTCTCTCTCATCCTTCATGATTGTTTCGACCTTACTTTACACCCCAAATCGTAGTGGACATAGAGTCTTTTGGGCACGGTAACGAAGCTAGAACTTCTTGCACGTTCTTCCGGTGTTGTCTTTTTTGGCTATTCAAGTCTACTGAGGTATCACGTCGAAGATGCCGCGCCTTTAAATGTCACAGGGCGGAATTTGTTTGCCGAGTAATAGGACGAACGCAGGAGTTATGAATTGATACTCAGATAGAGTCATTGATTCACCAACTATTTCTCAACTGTATACAGATTTCTGTCGTTCAACGCATTCACCATCTTCCCCCACATTTTCCCTTTTTTTATTTCTTTCTCAATGCTAACAAACTCTCTTATAAATTGGCTTTCTGTTCCCTCTCCTCTCTCTGCAGCTGATTGAGGAGTACCCAATGGAACGCGAGATGAGGATAGCATACTGAACCAGCATTCCTACATGATACATCATTAACGCGGGCGAAGCTGGACGTGAATAAGGTACTATATCTTGATCTCCACTTGGCACAGTATTGAACTGAAAAGCACGCAATGAAAGAGGTAAAGAATCAACAGAAAGAAGTGAAAAGCTAAAAATGACAGCGAAGAGCTTCGAAGATGACAAGAAATAAACCTGAATCTTCTCTCGAAGTCTGAGAGAGCAAGGAGTATGGACAGAGGCATATTACTCGTGAAGGTTTCATCTATCAAAAGAGCAGGACATACGTTTCGTCTCCTCGGCGCACGTACTGTTTGGATAGATTATAAAAGCCCTGAGCGACGACTTTTATAACAGAACCCCAATCTCTAGAGTGGGAAGTCAGGAGGATGAAGTTATGAGTCTACTAGCGCATGGGGTTTTTCTAACTTTTGCTATTCACTAGATCTCACTTCTCCTCACTAACATTGCTTTGCTCTCCTTTGGTCGTCTTTCCTTATTAATAGCACATCATCTCCTAGTCTTAACCATTTCCATCTATACGATAACGAGACACGAAATCACCATACAGGGAGTGAGATACATGTGGCATTCATCCACGTGAACAATATCTCGTTTGCATATCAAAGCCTTGAACGTGTTCTATCCCCTCAGCCTCCAAGTCTCGATGTCTAAATCACTTGATAATAACACGCCAGAGTGTAAAATTGACGACAAGTGTGGAATGGATGACAATGATACTCAAAATCAACAATGTCCATCACGAATTTCTTCCTTTTTCGTTCACGCAACAGAAGCAGCTTCTTATTATTTCCTGACTTGAACTATCTGTACGTTCGAGATTAACGATGATCTTACCCATGTCGTTGAAAAGAGTTCTCTAATAGTTCTGTACAAACTGCCACTTTCATGAGAAGGAGGCTCTTTATATGTTCCCTTCTTCCCTATTCTCTTCCGCTTCCGATTCGACTTTTAGATTCACTACAATCTTTACACTCCGACTACCCCCTTTGTCAGAAGATTTCACCCCCCATAAAGCTCCTTCGCTAATCTGCCAAGTTTTCCAAGTCTCCATCTGCTCATCATAAATCACGAGGTTTCTCAATCACCAATACAAGTAAGTACCCATCACCAATACTTCAGTACTCCCAATGAATAGTCTTCTCATTCAGCTCAGAAGTATCTGACAACCACTCAACTACCTGTGTGCCCATTATCCATACTTATTCACTCACTCATCGCGTAGAGTCCCTGCCTGATCCCCTCTTCCGCTCTCCATCATTATATAAATGCCTCTCCTCTTTAAATCTTTCTCTTCATTATGACGCCAGCAATTGGATACTGGACATTGAGGAGTGTAGCTCATCTTTCAATCCCATTAATATCCTTTGCCTTTTCAACTAATTGCAGACCACCTTGATACTGCGTGCCACATCTCATCTATCTATTTTTCGTCGAAAATCTCAGATAGATTACACGATGACATTGAAAACGAGACTAAAAATGACAACAATAATGATACCGATGATTTTGACAAATTTACAGCACTTGACAACTGACAATTGCTTCGCAGCGAAAATTCAAGACAAGACGAGGAAAATACCACAAAAGATAGGCAAGGAATAGAGCATGATAAAATCAAAGCCACCGAAGATTCGCACCAGTTTTTCACACGCCCTGTATCTAATTAATTCAGTATCGTGTTCTTGAGATTTCCCTGACATTGATTCAGTTCGCACTGGGAATGATCAATCAAGAGGTTATCTTATATACACCGAATGGAAGAGAAGTAGAAGGGGAAATCATGAGCATTGGGCATACAAGTTAATCGAGCCCCCCCTTGCCCTTTAACTCTCGCTCTCTTTCCCTCGCAAAACAATCTTCCTCACCATCCTCTCGCTCCTCCTTTTCCCTCACTGTCTCCCCTCACCTCCAGCCACCCAGCAGCTTCTCGCAACCATTTATTATAAAAACTCCCTCTACTTCTCCGGATAACCTACGAACAAACTTCCAGACTTCGCACGCGGATACAAAGGAACATGCCCATCTTAACCCCCAAGAGCTTAAATCAGAACTTCTCATTTTCATTCATAAATCGTTTTTAACCCCTCATTCCTAACCCCACCTTTCATTACCACAGCCCATGACATTTGGCAGAAGTTCTAAGCTCTCCAAAAGAAAAAAACTGCAAAAGAGAGAGAGAGAGCCAATAACAACAGTAGCAACAGGAGTCAACAAGCCCGAAATAGCCATAAAGCACATTAACTGATGAATTAAACCATAATAACAAAATTATACCACTATCAGTCA